GTGCGCGTGCGAAAAATCACGCGAAAATTTTCGTCGAAGTGAAATAATTCTAACTTTGTTTCTAACGCGACAGGAAACGTCCCTAACACGTACAAAATTCTTTCTTCCGTCGTTGGTCTTCGTTACGAATTCCAGGCACTGTAGTTACATAGAAACGAACATGGGATAGGCGTTGTGTACCGCTTAGATAATAGCCGTAAGAATTGCTTAGATAAGGAACGGCACAAAGCGAAACAGCCTCTTTTATAATGTATTCGAGAAACACACTGAAATGTACACTGATAGCGAAAGGTCTATGTAATCCTGGCCCGTAAACAAGGTCAAGTATTGGACACGGGATGAACTCGGCCACCTCTTCATTTTTCAATTTATCCGCACGTTCGCCAAGGTTTCCCAATTCGACGCATCGTGTGCGTCCTGATTCGCTCTGATACAGTGACGCACCATATGCGTCCTAATCTACTAATCCAAACTTGAATATTTCAAGAACAAAAATAAAAATAAAAATATAGTACCAATATCTATGATAAAGGACCATTTCACGGTTTTCCCAATTCGACGCACCGTGTGCGTCCTGATTCGCTCTGATACAGTGACGCACCATATGCGTCCTAATCTACTAATCCAAACTTGAATATTTCAAGAATAAAAATAAAAATAAAAATATAGTACCAATATCTATGATAAAGAATCATTTCACGGTTTTCCCAATTCGACGCACCGTGTGCGTCCTGATTCGCTCTGATACAGTGACGCACCATATGCGTCCTAATCTACTAATCCAAACTTGAATATTTCAAGAATAAAAATAAAAATAAAAATATAGTACCAATATCTATGATAAAGAATCATTTCACGGTTTTCCCAATTCGACGCACCGTGTGCGTCCTGATTCGCTTTGATACAGTGACGCACCATATGCGTCCTAATCTACTAATCCAAACTTGAATATTTCAAGAATAAAAATAAAAATAAAAATATAGTACCAATATCTATGAGAATCATTTCACGGTTTTCAATATCCTCTAACAAAAAGGATAAAATCAACTGCTTTCATATCGAACCCGTTCATTTCAATACGCTATCTCCATACAAATCAAGTTGTTTTTTTTCCATTTCTTTGGGAGGTATAGAATCGATCGCGAACAAATACCCCGGGACGTTTATTAACTTCGATCTTTGATGTTTAGAGAATAATTGAAATCTCGAATAGATGGGACATCGTGGAGGTGGACGTTATTGAAATACGCGTCGTCGATATCACGGGTCTCAGGTAAAACTATATTATACGAAGAACACTTTTCGCGTGTGCTCGCGTGCTATCGAAGCCATTACGGTGAACCATTAACCGCCCATATCGAGAACCTTGTTAATTAGCCGCGTAATTGATTAGCTTGATTTCGACGGGCGGACAAGGAACCTTCTGAGAGGTCCATCGAGTATCGTCGATCCATAATTGAATTACTTCCGGAACACCACGTCTACGTGTTTCTCGTCTGACCACTGCATTAGAGAAATAATGAAAATTACACAGGGTTGGTCGAAACTTTAGATGCACCGTGCGCGGCTCGTTAAGCTTCCCCGAGGAAAATGGCAATATAGTGAGAGAGACTCTCCGATCTATGTACATAAAGATGAAAATTAGAATTTTTGAAATATTAACACTAGAACTGCCGGGGATTGATGCATACTTATTTTTAAATTGAAAATAATGTAAATTATTGAATAAATGAAGGAAGAAATATAACAAAAATACCTCGATAAAATTTATAATTTAATTATTACATTCCGTTCCCAATCGGGAACTTAAATTTCAAATGTTCTATAGTAAATTAAGTAGACAATACTGAAGACTCTGAGTTGGTTCCAAGTGGGAAGATTGCGCAATTTTCTAATAAAATTTTATTATTTATTTCATGCCTCATTTTTAAGTAAACTCGTCATAAAAATTCGCGCAATAGAGGGTTAAAATAAGGAACTGAAAATTAGTCATTTTGACCTCTTTGGTAGTTCTAGTGTTAACTTCGAAAAAAATTAATAATGTCCCTAGGAATTATTGCCATTTTCTAGTCTATTATTCGTCCTATTGAAACTGGACTAGAACAGATGATAAAAACAATGTTAAAACAGTGGAAGGTGTGTATAAATATGCGGTTGCAATTCTAGAAGAGGAAGCAAACCTTGTCATTCGTGTCATGTAGGCGTTCAAGGTGAGCCTTCGCGATCATACGACGAACACTAATAGATACGTTTTATAACACTTTAAACAGTGTTTTTTAACGCGGCTCGATTTGTGTCACAATATTATGCGACAACTAGAATCAAATTTATACAATCTGATTTATGATCATCGATAACCGTGCAACAAAAAAGGAACAGGTTCGATAACAAAATTGATTATTAATTCGCTCGCTTAATTAAAATGTTTCAAAATTTTTTAAATTACGATTGAAAGAATTTGAACAGAAGACGATGACAACGAACGAATTTTTCTTAAATTTACAAAACGAAGAAGACCGAAAATATAACTTCGGTATTTCGCATCGCGGAAGAAAGGAATTCTTGGCAAAGAAACAATTTTCCATCGAGCCCCGTAGAAAAATAACGAAGCAACCAGTCGAATTGGTCGCTAATGCATATTCCATAATAAAGCTAGGAAACGACTTTCGGCGTTATTTAAAATGGAAATATTTACCTAACTCCGATTTGCCAACAAGTTTATACGCTATAAAATTTCAAAACTTGTATACGTTCCCCTGTTTATTTTAACATCGCAGAGATCCTCCAATTTTTCCGTTCGCTTTATCCCCTTCTAACGAATCGTTTTTATTTTTGTACGCTGAAAACTACGACTGTTCCGTTTCAAGATACCGATTATTATTTTACGACTTTTCTTTCGAATAAGTTTCTAAATAAATTCCTAAAGGTACGAGAAATGATTCTGAACTTAAATGGAAATTTTAATTAAAAAGATACAATAATATTTTTGTTTCTATAACACTTGGATTAATTTTTTTCCTGTTATCAGTTTATTAAAAAAAACTTGTACTATACTTGTCCCAGTTTAATCTTGTGTTGAGATAATGGTATCGATATAATTTGCCTTGAAAATTTTCAATTTATCTAAGACTTTAAATTCGTATCACTAATTCTTTCTTCGGGAAATTTGAAAACCTGTTTATACCGAACGAACCGATGCGAATAAACGCATCCAATTCACTTTGCCCGACGAAGCGCTTGCAAATTTAATGTAAGCTTCAACAAAGACTGATCGATGGTTACGAGACACGAAAGGACACGGTATAAAGAGAGACTATCATCGCTCTAGAAAAACTGACACATTCGTACAAGAACGTCTGTACAAGAATGATAAGCGAAACGCGACGTTATATTACGCAAAAAATCAATTTCTTACGAATTAGGTTCGTATATGTATATTAAACAATGAACATTTAATTATAAAATTATGCACATTTACATAAGTGCGAATTTATTGGTATATTAATATGTTATTAATTAATATAAATATTAATTAATTAATAAGTATATTAATATGTGAATTTAATTGTTAATTATATAATTAAATCAATCTTTTTCAATTTTACAACCCTTTATGGTGGAAAGACAATAACCCCCATGGATTCACCTGTGTAATAATACTAGAAGTTACTAGAACTTCAAAATCAGTGAAGCAATTATTTTCCTCGCAACGTCTACCCCTTGCGTAAATGTACATTCTATATCAAAATGATAAATTTGTTCGAACGTTGATTAAAAAGTAAAATACGTCAACGATCGTTGACCAGGTTTATCGACGAAGGTATATCTCTAACCGAAATGGCCACCTCAGGCAAGAATAATGGAAATTATTAGTCACTATCGTCACGTGACTTATCAAAGATAATAATGTTTGGTGAAAAATAATCGAACGAGTCTATAAGTTGGCACCGTTACTATCTTTTGTTTGTATTTTTCATATCTGTTTGTAAAGCTTGCGTTTATTTTTCTGAATTATTCGGTTAATGTTGAAATATTCGGTAATTGAGACGGTGACGTCTCAATTACCGTTGGTCGCGCTTCACTCCGTTTCGAAGCAACGTACATATGTATATACGCTTCTCTTTGACGCGCGACTTTAAATATTTACGCTCGCTACGAATGTATAAATATAAAGAGTATCATAGAATCCGGGTATCGTTCGAATTCCTAAATCAAAGAATTCCATCGAAAGGAACGAAATGAGGAAGAAAAAAAAGAAAAATATAAAAGCTAACCTCTAAAAATCTGTGGTCGGGCACACTCGCGATGCGTTGAGGGAACAAGATAAAGCTGCGCACACACGAGCGCAGAAACGTAGGGAGTCAGCTGGTTTTAAAAACAGCTGTGTTCCGTCATCAACGAAACAAGGAGTTAAATATCTCTGGTCACCGTAAAATATCATTGACATTGCACCGTGTTGTTTCTCGTCGGCCTATAAACCAATCGGTTACCTGATAAATAAGCGATTCCACCGTGTAACACGCACATGCATACTACGTAGCTCTTGCACTTGCAACCATGTGCAGGCCTCTCTCGCATCCGATCGCAAGCACGTGCGATAGAGCGAAAGAGAAAGAAAGAACGAGAACAAGAGATCGCGGAGTAGGAGGGTCAAGAGGGTGGGGGGTTACGGGAGAAGGAGTCGGAGTGGGGGGGAGGAGACGAGGAAGAAGAAAAAAAGAAGACGGAGATACAAATAGCAAGTAGGAGAAATAAAAGTGAATTTCAAGGATACAATTTGAGAACGTCCGTGTCCATACGTCGTTTTCCAGCGCTGGGGGACGACATATTTATCGTCTGTTATCGCAGCAGAGCCCTTCGCAGCAAGTCCTTGAATCAGCTGAGCTCGATCGTCGTTTAGGAAGGGCCTCTGACTGCTACCGATTATTTATCACAGCAATACACACAACAATATCAGTCTTTCACCACTGTGATATAACACACTGTTTCACCCGTTGCGAGCAAGTTTATTGAGAAACAAAAAAAACAAAGACACGCGCGCGTGATGGTCGCTAGTCAGTCGTTGAATCTTCGACGCTCACCACGAAGGAAAACGACACCAGACGAATTTTGCGACGTCAGCGTTTGATGATGTTTTCTATGGATGAACGAGCGTAGGATCCGTCGATGTGTAGCGATATACAAATTGTATTCCTCTTTGTCCGAGCGGACCAAGCCAAAATCCTCGGGCTAGAGGATCATTTCACCACCACCAACCAATGATTCCCGTTCAGAGACTTTTACTGTTCGACACGTTTCTCGCGCACACAGAAAACAATTCTTTCCCCTAAACCTCCTCCGCCTCCACCACTATGAAACGCCTGTTCTCGTGCACCCCACTGTCAACTCACAGACTTCACCACATCTGATTCCGCTTCTGTACTGCTCTCTTGCTTGCTGCTACCTCTGTCTTACGTCTTGCCACTGGATGCGCGCGCACCATACAAAATCCCTGCTATCCTCCACAAATCACCAGCAATTCTTTCGTTTCACTAATATCACTAGAATTACGGCAAAGAATACGGCTAAACGTTGTTACGTTTTTTTTTTAATTTTCTTTTTTTTTTAATCGCCTAAAGAAATTCAAACTGAATAACTAATAAAAATATTATTAATATTAAAACGTGTTCGTTTATGCCCTTATTTCGTGTTCTATTATTTCATACGAATTATTTTTTATTATGTGGCAATCAGTTGCACAAAGTATCCTATTAATGTTGTATTTCGTAACTAAAAACGTATTTTGATTTCGTTATGAATAATTTATACATGTATACTTGATGTTGAAATATTGAAAATTTATCACGCATTATGTATTTGCTAATACGAAAACAAAAGCATAAAGCAATTACTCGTGAAATTTAAAAACAAATTCGTTATAGAAAGCACATATTCATAAAAATCACTAGTACTTGGTAACACTGTAAAATAGTATCAATTGATGACGCGTATGCGTGGAATTTAAATTTAAATTAAATAGATAATGATGTTCGTAATACCTATACAGTAACGTACGGAATCGTTATAAATAATATATAAATACCTTTTAGAAACAACAATGCGAAATCCAGTATCTGTTAAATTTGATTAAACTTGACATTTAAAGTTAACCCCTTTCACACATATTATAGGAGAAATTATATAAACCTTCAATGGTAGAGTTATAAAGAATGGTCTTATCTCGCAATAATTATTCCAGCAAAAGAATAAATTGCACGAACGGTTTAAAAGAAATGGAATTACTCGGTAAATCGGACGTATAATAGTTCGTGTTTCACCCGGACGTTTAATAACGTTGAAACAAAAGACATAACTACAACGACACATACAAGTCTATGTTTCCATATGTAAAATTACCATATATATAACATATAGTGTTACATCATATTTAACAATTTAACAAAATTATTCTAATAAATTGGTTTACCTAAAAAATGTATAAAAATTTTGATTAATACATGAAAAAATGTTCCTATTACATATAATACCAAAATTCAATGATATAAACATGCATAAGAATTTGTTGTTGTTTTTTTTTCTTATAGCCCTAATACATTACATTTTATTTTTTTTTTTTTCACATCCACAAGTTATTAAGAAGATATCACAACTAATAATATAATACAAAATTCGTATAGAAGTTGCCATTCATTAATAGATTTCGTTAGATACGTCACAAGTAGAAAATACTAATCTTATTGCTGCAAATGTAAGTACTATATATAAGTAGCTAATGTGCACTAAATTGATTCTATGCAAATGTTACAAATTTATTACACCTTTCTGCTTCGATTCTACTTTGTTGCATGCATACCTTAGCTTCTAAAAAACCTGCATTAATGCATTGGAATTTGTAAACATTTGTATTAAATATATGTAATATAAAAAATGTATCTGAGGAACTTAATACTGTTAAATATAAGAATGAAGAATTGTTGGATGCACATATTCAATATTATTTAACTACAATTAAATGCACATTTATGAACATTAATTATGGATAAATGCCCAATATTGATATGTATTATAAAAAGACGGAATAGATTAAATATCGTTTAAGAAAATAAATATCGCCAGATTAATTCATTGAAGATGATTACTATGTAAGCATGGCAATGATATTTCCTTTCAATTATCAATGATAATTTAATGTTTGCGACGTATAGAAAAAATGTTATCCGGAAGGTAGAATATTTGCATTTTAAATGGAATGTGTTATAAAATTACTCCAGCTACACGTTACCCTATTTTAATTACACATGAGAATGAACGTAATGAAAAAACATTGTCTAAAGTGACTCTTTTTCATTCGTTTAATCTTGAAAATATTAAGTACCTAATTAAGTACCATCATAAAAAATTGTTAGATACTAAGTTGTATTATAAAAGCCTTAAAAAATATCATTTTTAATAAATAATTAATTTTGGTATTAAGAGATTACTTTTCAGAGTATTATCAGTCCTTGCATTCTCTATAACTATTGAAAAACCTTCATTAATTCATGGTTGTTGCATTGTACCATGCTATGATTAAGTACAAAATTGTTGATTGGTCGATTGCCATGCTTTTTTTTTATAAAATATGTATATTATTTACTCTACCGCTGCTTTTCGTGCAAATGCTGTCAAAGACAACATCTCATTTGGATCGGTAGATAAACGCGAAAATTCGATTTCTTCGCTAATACTATTTTCTGGAAAAGATTAAATTGAGATTAAACGAACGATATAAGGAAATAAGGAACTGATAAGTTGTACTAGAGACAAATCAAAATCATAGTGTTAAGTGTAAATGGAAGAAAATGAAAAATTGATATAATTACCGGATGGTTCGATAGGCCATTGTTTATGCGATGGTGCATATAGGCACAATAATGCTATAATATAAATATTCCACATTCCATATACCCCAGTGAAAAATGCCGATGTCATTTCCAAATGCAATTCATCATCCCATTTCCATTGTCCTTCTGCGACCTGCACATTTTTTGTACGATTAATTTTCACTTTCTACGGATATTTAAAATACAATGCCAAGTTAAATACCTGGCCTAGCATAAATCCAATAACAGTTAAGGACGCGCATAACAGTGTAGCGATCATGAGAAATTTAAACCGGTATATTACACCCTCGTAGTGTAAACGTCGTGCCGAACTCATACTGGGTAACGCAGCCCTTTTTGCGCTGATATTCATAAACACTTTCCATATCATGTAAGATAAAAATATTAAATACACACCAGCGGATATACCTGCTAAAATTATGAACGATAACTGTTTTTTGTTTGCGCAAGTCAAGGAATCTAAAATTTTACAAACCAGAAGATAGATTTTTTTTTTTGTCTACAAAAGGATACAGCAAATTTAGTCCCAAGATCCGTAACCCAAATTGAGTAGAATGGATTTCTTAATTGCACGCCGCGTTCACACATGTCGAATACAAATAATGAGAGGCACCCAATGCCCACCGCGGATAAATGACGCCAGTAACATTTTAAAGAATTTCTTTGATCGCCTTCCTAAACGATAAATAATTACAGAAGTGATATTTATACAAATATAATCATTTAAAGAATTAAGAAAGACATTAACTCACCTGTATCTGTAGAAGAGGAAATCACATGTAAAAAGATATAATTAGTACGTTGAAGGGAAATTATTTTTATACACTGATTTTACATTCTTACCATAAGATGTTCTCCAGCAAAGATGAGCCAAAAAGACAAGAGCATTGCATAGAAAACTCCCTGTTTAATATCGCCCAATAAAAGCATAAACGGCATATCATAGACGAGGGTTAAGTACTCCAAAGGCGCTACAAGAGATCATGTTTAATCGGGAATAATGAATGTATTGTATAACGAGGGTAGATAATACACGGCTTACTGTTTAAAAATGTCAGAGCTGCGCCTAAAGCTAAAAGCAAATATTCCAAGAGAGCCGGAGATCTTGAAAGCATATTAACTCGTCTCCAATACCAAGCAAGAACGCATATAACAATGGGAAAGAAAATGGTTTTCAAACTGACCCATACCCTCGTAAATCCGCCATTCTGATTGATAGCCTGCAATATAAAACGAGTAAAATTAATTCATAATTTCCTGGTAAATATAATATATTTTAAACATGTTGTATATTTACTATAAACCATAAATCACTTATATGTCCTAAACCCTGATTTATATTTTTATCAGTATCAGCCGGAAGACGGATATTTAAAAGATAATAATCATGAAATAAAGAGCCAAGTTCAAACAATGGGACCAGCTTGCAATTGTAATTATATTGCTCCATTGCCTGCAAAATAATTAAATGTAAATGTACCTCTTCCATTAAATATAATTACATTAACTAATTAATGTATTTACATCATCAATACTACAATCCAAAATTCTTTCAACCACAGATGCAGCATAAGGTTTCCAAGCATCATCCGGATCACCTTTGTTTCTGTATGCAAGTCTTGCATCTAATGTTATTTTGGTTCTAGGAGCTGTGGAAATGTAAATTAATACAGATGATTATGAAACATTTAGCATGCTTCTAATAAATTACCAATTTCTATCTGACTATGATAAACAATGTCCACTTGTAAAACACCAATCAGATTTTGTTGCCATCTAGAATAATCAAGTTGCATGTTATTTCGAGACAGAGGCGTCTAAAAAAAAAATGAATAAATGTTTAAATTTTAATTTATTTTATGTACCTCTTAATACAAAATTTACCTGAAATGTATAAACAACTTGGTAGGCTTGATGATGACCATCAAAGCTAACGTTCATATCAACAGGATTACAAGCTCCTCTTCCTCTTGAATAATACCATTTATTTCCTCCAGGTTCAGATTTATTTACACGGCTATCCTTGCAAAGGGTACCAAGTATAGTTTGGCTACTAGCAGGAGTTGGAGCTAAATAACAAGTGCACAAAGATATTTTTTTTAGTTTGTAATAATAAACTTCTGTAATTTACTTAAGATTTTTATCTTGAAATAAACATAAAACTAAAGTTCTAATACTATAATATTTTCAAACTCTTTAATGTTCTTTCACTTACCAATAAGTCCACCTATTAAAAAACAAACAATTTGTGCGATGATCAACAGTACGACGAGTACCGAAAGTTTTCTACCGCTTAAGTTTTCTATGATAGTTCCTTGCATGTTTTTTTTATACAGTTACAATTGCCTACAATATTTTTAAATATAAATACAATGTTAGCAAAGGGGACGCACAAAAAGAGACGCGTTTGCCCGAAGAGTATATGAAGAGCAGTTTAACGTGCTTTTCGAGTAGCTTCGCTTTTCAAAATGGAAGCTTGCATCTTACCAATATTTGGAAAATTTCTTGTGAAATTCTCTAAAAAGATATCGCTAACCAATCGTTCAATGCTGCCAACGATAATTTGAAGAATTTTTGAAATATAAGAAATATCATCGTAGCCTTTAACATTTCATTAACAAAAGTTTGAATACACCGGAGTCTCTTAAACATTATCGAATGTAGCAAAGTGCATCATCGACTTTTTTCATTAAAAAATCGATTACATTATCTCGTTGATCGATAGAATAACCGTCGATTAATCGAGAGGAAAGTATCGATTGATAAATTAAGTATAAGATGCATTACATACTGCATTTTCAATCACTATTAGAAAATGCGTGACGTAGCGATGGATGCGAATGGGAATGGGAAGCGTAATCTTCCCCGAGTAGTTCTACATCAACGAATAATGAGTACCGATGTGAGTAAATGCTTTGTCAACTAAAAAGACAAGAAAACCTGGCGAGAAATACGTAACGATAACCGTCGTGGATCAAGTCGTTTCTAACCTTTCTGATAGAAGCATATACTGTTTAATGCCTGGATTGCCACAATCTGTTTACCAAATCACATGATACGTGAATAACGTCTATTATCCATTTTCTAAATAATAATTGTTGAAATTAATATACATAAAATGGTACATATAATATTTATGATTGTTTCTCATATTTCATTATAGTGAAAGAAGCTAACACCGATTTAGTAACATTTGCATGTCTTTTGTATTTTTATGTTTAGGAAACACCTAAAACCACAGATTTGGACTTTGTTTATGATGATGCGGATACGCATGCCAATGAAATTGCTGAATTATACAGCTACAATGAACAGTGTGAATTACATGTTAATCTTACAGTGAGTATAGGCATTTGTATCGTACAATGCATCAAAATAACAAAACATGTATTTGTTCCTAGGCATTCGAAGAACAAATGGAATCTTATAAATTGCGACCCTGGTGGCAAAATATGACAGAAGCTCAACAGAGATCTGTGATTTCCAAATTGTTAGACCAATTAGAAGTTTCTAATAAACAGTTGAGAATGAAAGCAGCTAGGTGTATCTTGTATTTAGCTCAAGGTTGTTGGGCTGGAGTACAGTCTGACAAAGAACAACAAGAATGGACTAGAATCAATGTAATGTTACTGTATGAAGCTGGAGTATTCCCAGCATTTGTTGAACTTCTTAATATGGAAATTGCGTATGTCCACTTTTATGTTAAAAAAAAAAAAGATTTAGTTCAACAGTATTTTCTTATGTACCTTTCCACTTTCAGGAATAGTAGCAGAGCTGCCCCTGCAATGAGAAAAATATCAGTTAGTCTTGATGATTCTGTTGATTTAAGGGTAATTCTGTCCGTTTTATATATCATAACCGAGGTAATGAGAGAAGAAATGAAAGATTTAGAGAACAGTATTTACAAAGATAACATTGAATCTTTTAAAGAAGATCTAATACATCCGTATGGAGAGGAATTGCTTATAGTTAAGCTTCTCGGTATGGTAACGTACCATTGCAGTGGATCGGCTCCACATTTTCCTATGAAAAAGGTTCTTCTACTCCTGTGGAAGTTAATCTTAGTGTCCTTGGGTGGTATTGATACACTAAGAGAATTGAAAAAACAATACCGCGAGGAAGCCGGTCTTGATACTCAGCAAGAAGATACTTTAGAAGTGGCCAAGACCATGAGAGCTAGCTCTCCTCCAGTTAGTGCTGCAGATTTAATAGAAACACAAAATCAGAAAAAAAGTAATCGATCTTATCGACGAGTACGTCATTGTTTTATTTTTATATTTTATTTCATTTTATTTGAAATCCGCCAAACTTTCTTATTTCATTGTCTCTCTTTTTTTCAGTGTCTAATGAAACAGAGTTCATTGGATGAACCAGGTCTAGGAATGGAATACGAAGGTGGAGAACTAGGAAATAATACTGGAAACAATGAAAGCGAAGGAGAAATGAATGTACTTATGAATCAGACTGGTTGGAATCAAAATTACTGTGAGGAACAAAATAATCAGCTACAAATAAGGCCTAGTACTCCACAGCTCACCAAAGGAAAAAGTAATTATTCTACTTCTTATGATAAACATTAATTATTTCGAATAATATACTTCTGCAGGTTTACCGTGGACGCCAAAAGTTAGACAAAAGGATGTGGACACTTTTCTTGAAGTAACAAGATTAAAGTTTGTTGGGTACAATTTAGAAGGGGATAGAGAAAGTTTGGCAGGATTGCCTCAACCAATCCACGAAGGTGTTAACACACTTAAAAAAGTAAGTTAAATATTCGTACATCTTGTGTTTACAAAAATCTCAATGCGCATTAATTGTAATAAATATTTCCAGCATATGTACACATCTTTAGCTGAAGTTCAAATACAGAAAGAAGAGCAAATGCTTAGAAACCCTATAACTACTCCAAGGTTTCCGATTCGTCAGACACCGACAGAAATCGTTTATCATGCTATATTGCCGTTTGTCCCACAGTATATGATTGCATTATTAAAAATTTTGTTAGCAACTGCACCAGCCAGTAAAGCTAAAACAGACACTACCAATATCATGGCTGATGTTCTGCCAGGACAAATGCCGTAAGTTCACAAATTAAAATACATGTATATATTATTTTGTATATTAATATACGTATTTCTCTTGATATAGCATGACAGTATTACAATCAATGAAACTCAGTATCGATGTAAATAGGCATAAGGAAATAATCGCTAAAGCTGTTTCTGCAATTCTACTTCTTTTGTTGAAACACTTCAAGCTGAATCATATATATCAATTTGAATTCATGTCACAACATTTAGTATTCGCTAATTGCATACCGCTCGTTTTAAAATTTTTAAATCAGAATATTCTAGCTTACATTGAAGCTAAAAATGTGTAAGTTTTTATCTAATGAGAATTAATCGTTTGTTTTAATCTATACAAATTTGATATAATATTTTTCTTATTTACAGTATTCCTATACTAGATTTCCCCATGTGTGTTATCGGTGATCAGCCCGAGCTGACTATAGAAAATCTTGAAATCGGGAATAACCAAACGTATTCGTGGAGAAATGTATTTTCCTGCATTAATTTATTACGCATACTTAACAAATTGACAAAGTGGAAACATAGTAGGATTATGGTATGTTTAATTATAAGAATTTCTTATTCATTCGTCAAGATGTATTAACGTTAATTATGTTTACAGATGCTAGTCGTTTTTAAGTCGGCACCTATATTAAAACGTACACTAAAAGTTCGGCATGCAATGATGCAATTATATGTTTTAAAATTGCTAAAAATGCAAACGAGATACTTAGGACGCCAGTGGCGGAAGACTAATATGAAAACAATCAGTGCAATTTATGCGAAAGTTAGACATCGATTGAACGATGATTGGGCTTATGGCAATGGTAATATCCTACTATTTGTCCGAACTTCCTTGTATAAATGTTCAATTTACAATTATTGTTTCATTTTCATCAGATTTAGAAGCACGACCATGGGACTTTCAAGTAGACGAGAGTGTACTACGTTCTTGCGTTGATCGTTTTAATAATTTAAGATATACTAATATTCCTAAGGACAAAGATATGGAACCTGTTGATACGTCAGTCACGTCGGTACTCGGTATGAACGTGGAATTAAGTGATGAGTTTAAACAACATTACGAATTATGGTTGCAGCAAGAAGTATTTCAAAGAAGTATTAATTGGGACGAATTGTTGGATTCATCGTCGTGTGAAATTTAAATTTTTAATAAGTGTAATATATATATACATTAAATTGATATTTTCAACAGTTCATAGACCTGGATGAAATTTTGACATTTTTACAAGTTACATACTATCGTGAAGTGTTCAGAAATGAAAAGAAACAAAAGACATTGCCATATCGTTATGTCAAAAAAAGAAAAAAAAAACTGAATTTTCATTTGGTTTTTACACGTTGAACAGTGAAAGGTCCTAATCTAATGAACGTTTAACGAAAAGACTAACGACTTTTCAAAGATAATTCATAAGAAATTGTGTCATGTTTTTTTTGTTACATTTGTTGTGTGTATTTAATTTGTGACATATTTATTGCTTCTGGCAATATTTTACTATTACTATTACTAGAGTTATAAGTAAATATAATAATCGTCTCTTATGTCATTACGATGAACTAAGATAAAATTTATTCGAATGTATCGTTCATACTCAACCATCTTAGGTTTCTGTAAATTAAATTTTAATAATGTAACAAGAAAAACTACGAATTGCATACCAACTGAAACTTCCCGTATTTTGTATAATTTTTATATGTACCCCCCCCCCCCCCCCCCCTTTTTCATTACGACAATGATAATATTTATCGTGATATAATGGTATTTACAAACATATATGAATGTTAACATGTATATCGTATATTAATTTAATTCGAAACTGCATTTTTTTAAAGAAAAATTTGCTAATTCTATATAAATCATGTACTTTTTGTTTATTACTTAATATGGCAAAAAATGCGTGTGAATTGTATGCATATGAGTAGTTGGTTTCTTTATATATATATATATGTATGATGCGTGCGTGTATGTATGTGTACAAGAGAGGGAGAGGGAGCTGAATAATTGTATAAGTCGTACAAAAATTTATCATACAAGAATCAATAAAGCACTTATCCGGTGCTTTCCTATCATGACATTGTTTCATTTAAAAAATCATATACGTAAAACTGTAGATTGTGTGAATTATACACTGAATAATTCAACTTTCTCTTTATTTATTGTAATGTATTGTAATGTATATTTAAATAGTTCCAGCGCAAGATATCGCATAATTTATGTTATTTCTTCTATTGTACAAAGTATTTCATGTGATTGGCATCATGTTTAAATCGTCAAAAGTAAATAAAAAAATGATGATCCACATGTAAGTTGTAATTTTTCAACTGTTTGCAAAATATTTAAACGCTTATCTACAAATTTATCTGTACACTGTATAAATATACATATATATATATATATATATATATATATATACATATAAAATATTCTAATATTACCTAGTATAAGTTATATTACCTGAGATGATGTAAGTTAACAAGTGGAACAATGACATTCTATCCAAAATCACTTATAAAATGCATATCAATATATGCACACTGAATTCCACAGTTAATGTCCTTTTACATCTATTACTACACATTTTAACCAGTAAAACGTGTTTTTGTACTTCAAAACTCTGTTTCAACAAAACGGAAGAAATTCAATTGTTCAATAAATTAGTCGTATAAATTACTTTGTATATGGATATAAAATTTCAGAAGATACTTTGTATATATTGATATCAAAATATGGAATGATATGATCACAGATGAAGAACTGTAACATTGATTCCTGCGACTTGTATACTCTATGCATGTCATTCAATTATTACCAACTTTTATTGATTATGGTTTTATCCATTTGTAAGAACCATAATACTTAAAGTTATTTGATTTCGCCATTTCGTCTGCCTCTTTTGGTCCTCGCGAACCATACCTGAAAGAACAATAAATAAATGTATGAGAAACAAGTTGAAATTACAGGCTTATACCAGATAACGTACTTATAAGGAATCGGTTTAATATTTTCATTTTCAATTTGATGCAGTAACGGCGTGAAGATTCTCCACGCTTCCGAGAGCTCGTCGCTTCGCACGAAATGCATTTGCGAACCGCAAAATACATCCAGGATTAAACGTTCGTACGCGTCGGGAAGTTTTAAGTCCTGCAATGTATCAAATGTTAAATAACATTTAATCATTGGCGTTTCATTCCCTTCTATATTTCATTAAACAAACGTTCATCACACGTTCTTCAACTTTACATACTTTGTATCTAAAACCATACGTAAGATCCAGCTCCGTTTCCTCCATATCGAACGTAATACCAGGCGATTTCGTCATCATTTTAATGTATAATGCCTCACCGGGTTGTACTCTAATTACCAATTCATTTCTCTTCGCTTTCCCATCGAATATATCGCCAGGCACATCCTGATATTGTATTCTAACTTCTGCCTTTCGTTCGTTCAACGCTAATGAATAATACACACGCTTGTGAAACATGAGGTAATAGAAAAATAGATTCTTAACAACTAGAGATATTCTGAATTACTATTGTAAATGCTCATTATGCCGGCTTATTATGAAAACTTCTATGTCAAGTTCAAATGTAAATTATTAAAAGAAGTTTCAAGTTTTCTATGCTAATCTTTTATTTATGTGGTTATTTACCTTTTCCGCATTTAAGAATGAAAGGAACACCGTCCCACCGTTCATTATTAATTTTCAACACAGCCATGGCATAAGTGGGAGTATTGGAACCAGCTGGTACAGTAGGGTCATCCAAATAACCTAAACGTGCTTCAGGGTCGTCGGATTCAGGATCACCAACGTATTGACCTAATACAACATCCTCTAATTCCAAGGGTTTCATGCATTTCAAAACCTTCACCTTCTCGTCGCGGATATCATCCGGGTGGCAAGAAGCTGGTTTCTCCATTGCAACTAATGAGAGGATTTGCAACAAATGATTCTGCATCACGTCTCTGATGATACCGAATTCGTCGAAGTATCCACCCCTCCCTTGGGTACCAAAAGGTTCTTTGAAAGTAATCTGCACGGATGCTACGTTTTCCCTGTTCCAGGTTGGATTCAATATTCTATTTCCGAACCGGAGTGTCATTAAATTTTGAACCATCTCCTTTCCCAGGTAATGATCGATACGGTAAATCTGTTCTTCTTTGAACAAGGAGGCTAAATGATTGGATAATTGTTGCGATGTAATCGCATCCCTACCGAATGGTTTTTCTATGATCACCCTGGTCCATCCCCTGTAAGAAAAAAATTAAGTAGGTTATTATAGTTCAATTTATGCTATGGGAGCCTTTGAAACATAGAACAGCTGACACTTATGGTATAAAAGTGTGATAAAAATAACCGTACAAAGTCAAGGACAATTGGAATAAGCAATCAAAATTTACTTTTTCTTACTTACTTTTCTCCCATACAAACGTTTCTAATATGTACAGTAACGCTTTGGAATACACTCGGTGGTAAAGCGAGATAAAACAGCCTGTGAGTGACTTGATACCCTTTCTCATGTTTCTTCAGCTCCTCGTTCAATACTTCAAATCCTCTCTGCGTGTCGTACATGCCGGACACGTAATGATTTAACTTCCAGAACTCTTCGTACCTCTCCTCTTCGCCTGACTTTACTTTCATATACTGATGGCATTTTTCACGTAATTGTTTCACGGTCATGTTGGTCCTCGCGTAACCGAAGAAGGTGGTGGTTTTTGGTAAAAGATTGTCCCTAAACAGCCACCATAGCGTTGGGTAGATTTTCTTCTTTGCCAAATCACCCTATGTTTAATATAAATTGATTAGTATTCTAATCGTGATGGTGAAAGTGATTTTTGTTTGTAATTAATTCTTTAGGTGTATTAATTAAATTAAAAAATGAAAGCTATGCTTACAGAAGCTCCGAGTGTTACAAACACGTGGGGAAATGATCCATCGAAATGGATTCCTTCAAGGTGATCCATTTCTTCTGACTTTAAGGATTGCCTGATATAGCGCAGGCTTTCCTCCGTTGACGTTTCTGAAACAAGAATTCTTTGTTACCTTTGCTGATCAATAGAAAATCAGTATGATGGAAAGAAATTTATTTAATTTATTTTATATTTATTTATTGACACTCTGTACGTTATCTCTTAACATAGTATTGTATATCCAATCATTTTATCGGAGGGAATGTCATTAGAAAAAATTAAATGATATCAGTTTCAAAGATTTCGAAGTCATCTTATAATCGACGAATCAATATTATAATCGTCCTCCGACTGTGTAATCCGTATACAAATGCCAGCACAGCATAAATCCATTACAAAATAGCTGTTACAACAAATTGTCCACATGATTACTTTAAAAGCAAATAAAAACTGGAATTTCAAGTTTGCAGAGGTTTGCTCTTTTCCGTTGACTTTGAACTGTAAAGTTTCACCTTTTATGTTAATGAGAACCCATTGATGAATGATGGTGTAAACATCTGATGAATTTTTCTCTTAGATTTGAAATTTTTGAAACTGTCGTAATCGCATATGCATGTATTAATAATTATGTAATATCCAGAGGGGAATATATTCTCGTTCGAGGTAATAATCTGTTTAGTGATTAGGAGATTAACTCTGCTATCCTTCGTAAGCTTGTATAATATAAATGAGGACTACACAGAATCAATTATTAGGGTAATAATAACTGACAGAGATAATAATTTTACATAATATCTAACAACGATATAACGCTCAATATACAGGGTACTCCTGGGTTAAATGACCAAATTTAAAATATGAATTTGGGTCCGCAAAGTAAACAAAAGTTTCCCCTGGAAGTTTGCTCGCAAAGGCTTCGTTCAAGAAATATCTCGACTTGTTAAGTTACAAAATCATAGGAATGAAATATTTCTTTTGCCTTTGTTTTGGAGATTGAAGGTCGTTACAACAGTACCCTATTATAATTTACATAGATACTATATCTTTTGAATATCTAATTTTCATTTTTATTTTCTTTATTATTTCATGCTTTTTAGAAATAAATTACTACATTAATTCTAATAAAATTATTATATCAATATTAAATTTTATATACTATATTGATTCTAATAAAATTATTATAATATCAATTTCAAAATCTGAAGTATCATTAAATACAGAAAAATTACATCGCGTTAAGGCGCTTCGTATTCGAATATAAAATTGTTCTACAAATCTTACGTAACGTTAGAAAACTAATCGTATCACGGTACGACACTTTTTGTACGGATTATGTAAAAAAAGCTAAACGCGAATACATGACAAGCGCGATTAGAGATAATTATTAACCCTTCGTTGCATTCTGTTACGAACTCACTATGAAAATATTTTCTTTTTTTTCATTATTAATGAAATTACTGGAAATATTTTCATTTGCAATTTTTTAATTTAAGTTTTTTACAATATTATATAAGTTAAAATAAAAAATGATTGTTTATCGTTACCAGTTGTGAGAGTATATTGTAAATAAAAAAAAAAAAATGTCACAATTCACTTATGCACGAATTTATTAAAAAAGAGCACAATTTTCAAAAGAAAATATTAAAATTAATTTACAAAAGAGAAAAGCACAATATATTCACCACAAATTTTTTTTTTTAATTTAACATAATTCAATTTATTAATATTATTGATAATTTGTCGACGAGAATAAAGATGAAATGAAACAATGAAAGATCCTCGTTTGAAGTACGAGCATCGACGATCTATCAGATCTCCAATTTCGTTAATCACACCTGAAGGACCGCCCTCTAACGATAAGAAAACGATAATCAGAAAAAAATATATTTCTATCGGTAGTATCGTTCAACTTACTCAACATGGTGTTGAAAAATTCTGAACTTGAGTAGCAGGAAAGTTTAGGAACGAAGCTGTCCCGGAAGAAACTCGAGGAAAAACGCGAGCGATACCTGATCACTACCGATCTCTTCAACCGTTCAACACCGACTGATGCGATCGACGCTTTGGACTGTTTCACAGCCTCAAAAAGATGCACGAACTTGAAACACAAGCACACCTGTACAAGCCACCGAAATATTCGTAAGTTGAGACCCCCTGAGACGACGAATAATTATTTCCGCCTTCTTTAATCCTTATGGAGGAACAGGGTATTCCCTTAATTACTAAAGTGGAGTCCAGTAATTTTTATCTTTCCAACAACAGATTCAAATGAATTTATCCTAGAAAGCATTCTATCGCCTAAAAATTTTCGAAAGATAATGATCTTTTCTTAAGTAACAAAAGAGTTTCGAATACATTTCATACAATTCATTGTCAGCAATGCCAGTGGCATTACGCATAATTACATAAGTACGATACCTGTAATAAAAATTTGCAATCAACACGATACCTTTCCTGTAAACTCTGAATAACTTATGGTTCTGAAGCTGTGACAAGAAAGAGAGTGGATTACGAATTAAATTTATACAGGTAAATAGGAATTTGTTATTAGAGTAGTCCTGAGAGCGCCTAATATTACCGAGGAAGACAGGTAGGAGGAATGGAAACGATTTGTTCCTCGGTATTCAAGGACGCAACATGATGCGAAAGCGAACGAATGTCTTATGTCGAATTTTTTTTTTCCTGTATTTACAAATCCTTTGTACGAGGCGAGCTCCGAAAAAGGGCCCCTTCGCATATATGACAAAAAAAAGTAGCTCAAATAAAATTTAGAAAATTAACATTAAAGCTTGTGTAATTAATTTAGATTTGCAAAATTGTTTTATGGGGGCCCTAGACAGGTGCCTAGTTTGCCTAGACCCAGGGCGGGCCCTGAAATTTCGGGGCTCCGAGGCGAGCTCCGAAAAAGGGTCCCTTCGCAAATATCACATAAAAAAAGTAGCTCAAATAAAATTTATAAAATTAACATTAAAGCTTGTGTGACTAATTTAGGTTTGCATTTACATCGATTAATATTAAAATCGTCTTATGGGGGCCCTGGACCCTTGGGGCCCTAGGAATAAAATTAGGCGTCGGCCGCCTAATTTGCCTAGGCCCAGAGCCGGCCCTGCTCCATGACGCGTTAACGTTAACGCATAAACGCAGATTACGTATACACGTGACACGCGTAAAACGGCCACCTGTTAATCTCACAAGAGGCAATAACTTTGCAAAGTAACAAATGATAACGAGTTATCCAGCGCGAATCGCTGAGGGAAATCGAAGATTCCGATCGATCAATTTCGAATTGACTCTTGAACGCATCAACGCGTTCGCGATCTACAATCAACGAAGCTGTTAGATTGTTTCAATTGTAGGAATCGGAAATCTAAAAAAGTCTGAAAAGGTTGAGAACTGTGGAAAAATTGAATTTTATATTTTATCAATTTTCCTATTTTCTCCTTTTTTCAAGTTGATTGAATTGGCAAATGAGCGGCTTATATCTAAGCACTTATGTGAACATTAATGACAAACATGATGAATGAAGAATGAAATGTAAATTTCAAATGAATATGCATTTTGAAATACGTTGGACGTACTGATAGTTAATGCATTACTAATGCTATAACGTATTTTGTATTATTAGTAATGCTTTGAGAAAATCACGATTATTATTTTATGATAACCTATGATAATCTATAGATAACTAGCGTACTATCTCAAGTGGCAGTAAAACTTAAAAATATATACATTTTTTTTTTTTCAATTGATCTTAATAAAATTTATTTTTATATTGCTAACTATGTAATGCACTAACAAAGAAGGAACTGAAATGTGTATAGTTGTGATTTATCATTCTTCGATAGCAAAGATATATAAAAATTGAAAAATTACGGTACAATTATTAATACGTATATATTGATAATGCTTTTTTCCCGTAATGCTTATCGTAATGCGTGATACGTACAACTCACGCGATCGTAACACGGTGGTGGGACAAGATAGTAGATGTCGCGTATTTGTGCAATTACTCATCAAAGGTTTTATGATTATAAATTCAACTTTTTTAACATTCATTCTGTTATAATTTTATGGTAATTTACGTACATAGTCATTTGGTCCTTAAACTAGTATGATTGATGTCTTAAAAAATGAATGTGCATATGTACTTTCAAGGTCAGATCGTATTATTTTTGTGCACTCAGGTGCAATGTAGGCTCCTTTCAGTTAAGGGGAAAGGTAGGAGAAGAAACTACCCATCACTTACTTTCATAAGTATGTATATAGATAAATAAGAGATGGAGTGGGAGATTTTTTCTCCTACAATTGCCCTCAATTAACGGAAGCCTACGATGCATCCTTCAGCACGTGAATCAATCTGAAAGACCTACTTTCAAATTTACCTTGCACTGTTTTTGCAACGACAAGAACGTAAAAATGACTCTCGTTAAAATGATTATTTAATAACTAAAAAGTAATAGATACAGGTTTTTATTTAATAAATATGCTGTTCTTAAAAGTTTCATTACCCACTAATGCTAAGAATCATTTCTTATTAACGTTATCTTCGAATTGTTATCTTTTATCCAACCTTACAGTGAAATTGAAAATATCGTACGATTTTGTTATATAAATAGAATGTGTAAGAAAATTCGCGATAAAAAATGCTTTTGTTTTAATTATCCTGTCATTAACATTTATACAAAAAAATAAAAATAAGATTATAAGATCTATTCTTTCGGAATTATTTAATCGTGTCTTTGAACGAAGGTCGTTTGCACAATAGAATATTAGGAATATCTTTTTGACTAATAAACAATTGCAAGTGTACATTAAATATTTAAAACAAAATGTTAGTTAAGAATGTTTGAAAACTTACTTCTCATTTTGTCCATGATAAATACTTAAAGATTTAGAAAATAGAATGTTTAACAATCAGCTTTATAGACTGTTTCAGTAGAAGACTCGTGCCTTTATGAAAAGTTTGTTGAATAATGCAAAAAGCATTCCATGCAACGGCAAGATAACAATGAAATTTTCTTTTTAAAAAAATTGAGGTTAAGTTTCAAAATGCAATACGATGCGGCACGCGTAAACCGATGAACTGATATTTTAAAATCTTATTCGCGAAAATCCTCGTTTCGTCGAGTTCCCCGCCTCTCTTAGTTTCATCCACCAATCTCTTATGAGATTTTACTTTTACTTACTACACTAGTAAAGAATGTTTTTTTTAATACCAAATTTAAAACAAAGCAAAGTATTACACAAAATTTGTTCATTTTTTAAGTTATTAATACATTTTTTAAATTATATACGTATAATTTAAATTAAAAAACGTAATAATATTAATTGGGTAATACAGCGCTTTATTATTTTCTTAAAACGATTTACATATAAGTAATATTTTCAAAATGTTTGTCTGTATCAACAAGTATTTCAAAATTTGAAAAGAGAATGAATATTGGAAATTATCGTCACTGTTTTAGCGTTTTCAACAAAATTCGATACTGTAGCGCCATCTATCACGGTGTATTTTCTTTGGAATAAACATTATTAAAGGTATAGTGTTATTTAAATAAAGAAATTGATTTGAAAAATGTCTCGTATATAAATCTTTAAATATCTTTTCACGATGTATAAAAATATGTATTCATAATCATCGATGTATCATATGAAAGCTCTAAGATTAATTTCTTTTAACCTTAAATCTGTAGCGATCTAATATTGTTATGTTACAGAAAATGAGATTAAACGCGGTATATCTTGGCAAATATGCGAGATCACCACAAAGTGAAAAAAAAGTACCATTTAAGGAAGCATATCCTCTGAAATTACAAAATCGCGTTAGCGGAAGAGCACCAACTTCTTTGCGTAAATATTATATTGTACTATAATAATATATTACAATATTCACATACACAATGTTTTTCATGTATTTCAGAGGACAAATGTTTATTTGAAATGTCGCTACTATTTAATTGCTGGAAGGAAAAAGAATTTGGCTTTGGTGCTTGTAATGAATTTGAACTCAAGTTACAAAAGTGTTACAAAAATCTTCAAATAACTATGAAGAATCAAAGTGAACAGAGCAAGAAAGATATACCTACTCCTGAAACTAAAAATTTTTCAGACAAACAACTTACTTATCTTTTACGTAAATACCCAACTATTTAATAAAATATTGCATACAAAAGATTTAGCATTATTATTGTTATTGTATTTGTAATATTATGTGTATAACTGTTTGAATCCAACTCAGAGCGATCGCGCTGTTGATTTCATGTCGAAAAGACCCGCTACATTAAAACAAACGCGATCGCGCTGCCTGGCATCTTTCGACGAGGTTTTTCAACTACCCCTCAAACGAATAAAATATATTTTACCTTAATGATGAAGAAGTTCTCATTTCAGCCTGTCTACTTGTTTGTGCTTGTAACTGTTTCACTCTGAGCCTAGTGAAATAACCTGTATAATAAAATAATTTCAGTTATTTGTTCATAATATAAATTATATACAATTAATATACATACGAAATGGATAATCAGATGTTACTTCTTGTATAGTATTCAACTGATGTTCAATTCTTTTTAACGCCTTATAATTTTCTATTTGTTCATCTTTGTAATAATAATATGTTAATAATAATGTAACAGCACAAAGTGTGAGAGCTATTTTTCTGTACATCCATGTTGTACTGATTAAGTTTTCCTGAATTATACATGATTTTATTATAAATATATGAAACATGATTAACTGAAAATATAATTTTACATTACCTTATCATTGGGGTGATGTACAACATTATCATAATACTTGACTAACATTCGTTCTATTATAACATTTAAACTTAGAATTGTAAAAAGTGTGATTCTGGCATCTACAGTTCTTTTAGAAGAACTAAATAATGCACATAAAATACAACCAATTGTATAATACATAATAGATTGAAACCAAGAAACTTCTCCAATAATCCAGTCTTGAAAAGTACGAATATAGGAAAAGATTTGATATAATAATTCTCTTTGATCCCTTGCTGTTTCTCTGCAATATAAAATCATTGAATTAATTAACCAAAAAGCTCTAACAGCACTTACATAAATCATAAACTTACTTAAAATCTTTGGCCATACTGTTAACACTTTCAGACGAAGATTTCAGTATAGAACCAAGTTCCTTTCCATGATCTAAAAGTTTATTCTGCATTTTGAGACTTTGTTTTTGACCTTCAAGCATTGCCCCTTGCATTTCTGAAGCTTCCAATAATTGTTCCTTCATTCTTGAAGAAACTTGATATAATCTGTAAACAGACAGAAGTTAATAATAATAATTATAATTCATATACAACAACCTACTCTTTAATGGTATTGTCAGTTTCAATTTGCCAAGCTTCATAGTTTAGATAAAAGCACATGTGTGTAGCATGTATATAGTATTCATTATATACATTAAATGCTCTGTCTGACATATTGCTAATGCAATATCTGTAAAACAAATAAATATATTGCAACAATATAGTATAACTTATTACAATAAAACAAAGTAAGTGCAATTTACTTGCGTTGATTTTCTGATTCTATATGATGACAATTGTAAGTTTCATGACCAGAATCTTCCAAGAAACAATTTGTTAACTTCAAAGCCATAAGTGAATGTTCTTGATCATTTAAATTACTACAGCTAGATTTCATTGCTTGAATAGCATTGTGCCAACATGTTCCATGATGGGACAAAGATGATTTAGCTGTAAAAAATCACATGAATTTTCTACAAAGAAAAATTGTTCTTTATTATAATAAATTATAAATACCTTTAATCATTTGATACTGTTTTTCACCCAATTCCCTCAATATTGCATTTCCATCAAATGCAAATAAAACCGAAATAGGAAGAAACAAATAAATAATCGTTTTATACTTTCCCACTGTTCTCAACATTGCCGATTAATATTTATTCTCTTGGCATTGAACGTAATAATTATACATTTCAAACGAGAAACAATTGACATATGTGCCTGATTTAAAATTTGAATTCAACAGGTAGTTTTAAACAATATGTGCGACAAAATAACACTTGATATTATACCAAAATAGAATGATGTTCCTTCTAACTCGAAAAATCACAAAACAAACAGCTTTTATTTAACTCTACCTTAATATTTCTCGTCAGAAATACCTAAGCGTCTCACAAACGTACTTTTGAGTTTGTAACGACCGCACGATTCAAAGCATTGCAGTAGCTTTTCAAATTTATTCAACAAAACTTCACAATTTAATTTCAAAAGCTTTCCAAACAGAAATACTTATCCCGGAATTTTGTTTTTTGTCTGGAACTGAATGAATCACATTTTTAATTTTATTTGAACGAGTTACAGTTGCTGAATATACAAATTTTTCGTTTCAGGCCAGAGCATAAACTAACATGGCGGAGCGTCCGATATGCGCGCCACCGCATGGTCAATTTTTCTACCAATTTCAAACATCATTAAAAATCATTTAATCATTTTTTACCATAAACTACTTTTTTGCATTTAAATATTTAATAAAATAACGATTAAAGAATTAGAAAAAAGATTTAACCACAAGGCCATGACTTCGAACTTCAAATCTGTAATAAATTTTTCAATATCTCACAATTAGAACAAAACTAATTTAGTAATAACAGTTGCAAAAATAAAAATTCTGGAAATTGCTTTCGTATTATTTTTTCAATAGCTAAAATAAATAACATAAAAGGTAAGAATGGTTCAATATATGCTTCGTGTAGAATATTTTAAGAATTAAACCTAAAGTATTCCAACAACAACAGTTTACGATTAATTTGAACGTATTTCATTTTACAAAGAATTCTTTGAAAGGCACCACATCATTCGGTGTTTTCTGAGTCTGAAAAAGGTTGTAAAAAGACAACGTACTCGTTGAGCACCGTTGGCAACTGGCCAGTATCTTTTTCCATTGAATTTGGACCGACCGAAAATAAGTGGTCGGTAACGAGACAGGACCAGTGACAGAGGTTCGATCTCTTCTTTCGCTTCTTAAAGACCGGTTTATCCTCGGATACAAAACATCATAGTATATCATTGTTGAAACGTGTTCTTCTTGCAGGCTAACTTCGAATTAATACGAACCCTTCCATTGTAACACCCTCTAAAACGAAATTGTGCATTGTTAAAAATAAGAAAATATTGAAAGATCGACTATCGTGAGAGCTATCGAGGGTAAATGTTTAAGGAAAAAAGATTATACTAATTCGAAATAAGGCTCGCAATGAGTAATGGAAAAACACTGTTAACAAACGCTTTGTGTGTCATCGGTGATTAACTAATTTTCCTTAGCAAGCTCACACAAAGGATTTACAGTGAAACAAATACGTTTTGTTTCCTTAATCAAATATAGAATCGCGATTATGAAATACATACATAAAGGGGCAGGTTCTCATTCGGAAGGAAAATATTATTAGGGTAATCAATCGATCAGCAATACTCTGGCGGTTTGCCGAAGTACATGGCAGCGAATCATCCACGCCTAGTCTGCTTGACGTCACTCCTCTGAACTCTGTATCGGTGAATTAAAAATAAATGCGACCCGGAAAAGCAGTCAATGTCGCATAATCGAAATCCGATCTATTCCAGATACTCGAGCATTTCCTCTGACGAAACCAAACGGAGATGAGACTCAAACGTCGAGTAATCATTGATCCGATTAATTATCTCTTCGTTATAGCACGCTTTAACCGTTTGATTAGTCTTAAGCTTTCTAACGACAAAAACATAGAGAGAAATTTTTTAACGTATTATAATTATAGTACGAAGGTTTCTGGAATTTTAGAGTAACGGAAGAGTTAATGCGATTACATATATAGGTGAAGAAGTAAGATGAAAAAAGAAAGCCACTGTAATGGTGTTTCGTCCTAGAAAGTCGCTTAGAGGGAAGCCACTGTAGTGGCGCCTAACAGCTACAAGATTTAATCGACCAATGTCCATTCAGAGCCGAGAGTCGACTCGGAAAGAAAGAAACGAGTTTAATGATACTCTCCATCAGTTCCATGATCGTGTCGGTTGTACCGTCGGGGAATTTCCATCAAACGACGCGCGCACCTTGAAGATCGAACGTTTTGGCAGAAAGCCTAACTTCGCGTTTATCTTTCCGCATTTCACGGAACCTTCAACGTTCCGTCTTATTTCAACCCCTTTTATTTTTATTCTTATTTATTCAACGGCGTGAAACGCGCTCTCATTCATTTCCTGTTGAATGAGAGAAACAAACGAAGAGGAACATATTGCTCGTTCGTTTCAGAAAATAAAATAAATAAATAAAAAAAAAAAAGAAAACAAGTCAACAGCTGTTAACTGTCGTAAGCAGCGTTTATTTCAGAGCAGTTCTTTAGAAAAATCAGTTTTCGCGTTTCCTTGACTTTGGCGAAAGAACGCTTTACATACGAGATCCTCCTGTGTCTTTCCGAGGATTGGTATAGTGCTGTGTGTTGTACCTTAACACGTCAGATAAACGCTCTAAATCGTATAATAATTTTCCACGGTACATTCGTAGAATTGCTAGATGTACAACGACGCGTTCCCTCTATACGTTTCTTCGTTCTTGTATCCTCGAGGAAACTCGAGAACACGAAGAAGACAAGGGAGAAATAATACGTGAAGCTGGACGCAAGAAAACGGGAGCATGATTCGATTACAATTACGTTACCTACATACGACGCGTCTATGTATATCCGCGCCTGTAAAGAGATCAAACGTTGCGTTTTGTCGCTGATGAAACCGCATTAAACTTACGGCTACCGGTGCATTGGCAAACGATTAGCAAAATCACTGAATCATTTCGGATAAATGTATTTTAATTCGAATTATAATTGATTAATTATTGACCTGGGATGATTAATTATTAAGGGCTCAGGTGTTACCAAAGGGAACAAAGGTAATTTGTACATAACAAATTATCTGAAGAGCTGTACACCATTGGATAGATCATGGAAAATCGAAGCGAAAAGTTCTGTAGCATTTTTCGATGGCATCAGTAGTTTAGCCACATTTCGTGGTTGAAAATTGACCAATGAGCGCGCAGCTTAAGTGGCAAGACACGCGGAGTCTCCGCCTACTTGCTCTGTCGTCGCACCTCGACTCTCGGAGTGGCTCGACGCGGCAGAGGAGGCGCGTCTTGCTACTCAAGCTGCGCGCTCATTGGTCAATTTTCAACCACGAAATGTGGCTAAACTATTGATCCCATCGAAAAATGCTACAGAACTTTTCGCTTCGATTTTCCGTGATCTATCCAATTTTTTAACACCCTGTATACGATCATTTATTATCAATGCTCATCGTTTGTCAAAATACCTGTAGCCTAATAAAACTTAACTCATAAAAAGTATCATAATCAGAGAAGAAATAACAATCGAATATGATGCACACTTTTTACAAAAAAAAAATATAAAAAAGCTTGCGATTCGAGAGGGATGATTCGATTGATCGCTGCCGCTGCAATCGATCCACAAACCTCTGTTCGGGGAATTATATTCGAAAAGGGGTACTAAACTGAGCCGCTTGAACTCATTCCACTTGAAGGAACAATTCGTTTCTTTCTTTTTCATTGTTTTTTTTTACTTTTTATATACAAATCGAGGTACACAATTGAATACAAGACGCTGATAGATATTCGTTAGGAGTCGTTCGATTAAAATTAGACTGCGAGAAAAGAAACGCACGGGTTTCCTGCGACTTCGAGTATCATACAACCCGAGAATACGACAATGTAAACCTCCTACAAAATGAAAGACATAATTAATTACGCTCGTTTCGCATCGTTGCAGCGGCGTCTGTCGACGCGAACGAATGAAACACCTGCGATTAAACGAGAAGGTTTTTCGATGCGGGTAAAAACGAATTACACGTAGAATATGTTAGAGGCCACTTCCTGAAGACAATTTCGCGAGTACAGAAAGCGCGCGTGTGTGCAGAAACGTATATCGTAAAACGAACATCATAAAAATCAGGGCAGGGTACGCTTGTCTATTTTGTACAATTATTATCTCAGTATTTTTTTTTTTTATTGTACAAATGTAGTACAGGTGTTTCGATGATTATGAAATTTCAAACGGTAGCACGAGTGTTTTTTCATTTGGAATCTTGTTTGTACGAAAATCGGTATTGGACTCGCGTACCGTGTATTCTACCGTGTTTGAAATAAAACAAGAATATTGATTTCGTTCATGCATATAAAAAAATCCAAATTTGACGTCGTACAACAGGAAGTCGTTAAAATTTTACGATTTTATTAAACTGCATTATTAAAAAAAAAAAAAAGGAACGATCGGTTTACCAGCATGAAAAAAAGAATAATTTTAACCAAGATAAGTTATCCCCTAAATAAATTGCCGAAGCTCGTTGGCTTCGTTCGTTTCTGTATCTTGGAAAATCGAATCTATCCGCTAGAATACACAGCAGCTTTTTTTTCCCTTCGCAGTGAATAAAAATGCACGCTTCGTTAAACCGGAAATAAATTTCATGATACGCTATGGCGCACGATCAATTGGTCGTTCCTTACGGAAGAGAGATACAAGGTGAGAGACGCGGGGTGTTCGGAAAAGGTTGTGCGGAATTTAAAAAGAAGTACTCGTCAGAATAAATAGAAAAATTTTTGTATAAATTGAAAATAAAACACTTCCAGATCCATGTTTGAGTATTATTGATATTAACTGAGAGTTTCGTTTCAACGTTGAGAAATGTTGAATTTATTTAAAAATTTAATTTAAATTAAAAACACACCTTTATCGAACACCCTTTACACAAAATACAATTTTTTTTATAACTCAGAATAGAATGATTTTTGGACCCACGTTTTCTATTTACCTTGACGAGTATTATAAAATTTGGCACAACCTTTCTTCGCCACGTTGTTATACACGTCTCTGGGTTGAAAATCAAGGAAAAGAGAAGAACCGAAAAAAGAGGGGGGCGAGGACCTACAAGCTAACCCGACTTCCGTTTTCTTTTTTTCTCTCCTTTTGTTCATTCGACATCGTTTATCCTCGTTCCTTATCTATTATTATTTACCGCTAGTTCTCTTAAACAATTATTATCTCTTTCCTTTTTCTCAAATACGTATCGGGTGTGTTCGGAACCGTAACAATATCCACCTTGTGTGTCGGAAGGGAATTGGTCCTCGAAGAAGGGTCATCGAGGACGCGTCTGAAGAGGGATAAGACGACAAGGAGAAGAGGTTCCTTCGTGTCTGACTGTACGAATGATAAGGATTGTAGAGAGAGGGGGGGGGGGGGAGAGAGCATCGATTCACCGGAATGGCAAGATCTGAAAGAGGGAAGGTCACGGAACGAGGTGGCTGCGTTCAACGAACTTCGGGCCAGCACGCCTCGTCGATCGATCCGATAAAATCTCCGTATTCTTCCACGAGATTAACCCTTTCCTTCGCAATACCTGGTCAAAAATTAAGTCTCAGCACTTTCGGTGCCATCCACGACTTACGTCTCAAATTTGAAAATAATCATTTTTATAGTTCTAATTATTCTATGCGTCCTATTTTAAAATATAAAGGCATCTTAAAGTAATCAGGGTGAAAAGGGGTTAAAATGCACCCTGATGTAACACGCGTTATGCACCAGGCGTATTACATACGCATCACGTGGTGGGGGTTTAATAAGAACATTTAATACGGTGTCATGGATATTAATAAATCATGCTTTTTTAAGATGAAGAGTGAGGTGAGAAGAAAATAAAAAGGACGCAAATGTATAAATAAATAAATTTGCGATATTCGTTTGAAGAAATGAAGAAATGCAGCGATATTCGTTTTCTAAATAAATTAGTGAATTATACTATTAAGTAGAGCATTGAAAGGTGAAAGTGGGAAAGTAAACGAAATAAAGAACCTCTACGTTGTTTCTACCTGGAGAAAACTTATTCCAGATTAGTAATTCGTTATGATAATTGCAGGCGATTACTAATTTGTATCCGCGATAAAGGCACATCGCAAATTCATGGCTCTGCGAACTGTACTTTTCCCTTATCTACCTCACTTCGTTGCAAATCGCTAAAGGAACTTTCTATTATTCATTCTATTTATGATGATACGATGTTTGAAACTTTCACGATGACTCGAATTAGTTCTGATTTTTTGGGGGGTTGATGCAGCGGTAGGTATTTTATAAAGAATATTTAAGACATTAAATACCGTAGAGAAAATGGACCTACGACAGGCTATAATTATAATTATTTCATTTGAATTTTTCACTTGCCAGCTTATGAAATAAATATAATATCAATGAACTTAGAATTTTATTTCAGTCTATATTAAATTTCTGGCGAGGGTCATCGATGGATAAACGATAAATTCCCACGGTATTTAACGTGTTAATATCCATCAATCAAATACATAGAAACGCAGCAGATCTATCAATATTTTGAAATAGATAAGATCGAAACAAGGAAAAAAAGGTGGATATCGGTTAGGTTTTCTTTCAGATAAATCTCTGTGTACATCTTCCAGACAATCGGAACACACCCTCGTTTACCTTGAGTTAAAGCCTAGACCTTGAAATATCCTGTCTCGTATAAGCCTACAACTACATCGCTTAAACTTCATTGGGCGTCGGGACGCGTTATAGTAAAAGGCAATTAATACAAAAAGAAAGGACACAGAAAAGGAGAGAAAAAGCTAATCACTTACATCGTACTTATATACACGTTTCGCGTCAGAAAACATTAAAAAAAAAAAAATAAAAATAAAAATAAAAAGAAGGAGAAGGAGCCTGAATTAATTTTCTGGGCAATCTTCTTCGAGATCAATCGACAAATATACACGCGATAGGTTTGAGCCGAAGTTTGCACCGACAACGAACGTGAGTTAACGTTAATCACAGTAAAGCAGTGAGGATTGTGATTAGAAATTAAGTCAAACGTAAACTCTCGAGCAATTTGTCTATCTGTTAATTGGTAATCGCGGCGATAGTATACGTTCAACGTGTGCCTAGTATGCATAAGTGAGATGTGCTTACTGACAATCGTCACACGCGTAAGCACTTTGAACGAGCCATGGGAAACGAGTAGATTGGCAGAAAAATGAATAGGAAATTAATTGTAATTTGAAAAATATTAAATTTTGCGAAATTTTTATGAAATTTATTTTAAATTAAAGACTATCGTCGCACCGAATCGAAAGCGAGGAATTCTCTCAGCTAGAAATTAATTGCTTTAGAAATTAATTATCTAATAGCAAATTTTTCGCAACTGAGAAATTATTCCAACGACGCTTTGCGATTTCAACGCGACCCAAAATAGTAAGGAACAAATTTCTATTAGTATACTAATTCGTTATGAATAATAGCTACGCTTCGCCATACCAAATCATAAACGACGAAATTCTTCCTTAACTCAAATATCAACTCAGATCACCTATCCCTCTGCCAATATACTATTTCCTTGTTTCTGCAACGAGCACGATTATTGAAATTTCACTGGGGGGACTAGGTTCGTAACTGATACGTGCGATCGCTTGTACTTACGAGAAAACGAGAGCCGAACTTATATAGAGGAAGGTATTGGCAGTGGTATTTACGATCGATCTTCTTAAAGCGTCATTGAAAAAATTGAAATACGCCAAGATCGATCCAGCTATGCTTATTTCCTTCGCGTTTCTTCTCGACCAGCGGGGGACAATGTGCCTTCGCGTGTTTATTTAAAAAAAAAAAAAAGAAAAAAAATGAGAGAAATAATAAGAAAGATAATGATGAATGTTCGTTCTCTCGCGAGATTAATCAGACACACACGTTCGCGATCGCCGTTGTACAATTCTAAGATTCGTACGCGGTCGTATAATATAATCACATGATAAAAAGGAATTAAATGTAAAATTAAAGAGGGAGGAGGAATCGTGAACGATATCATCGTACATCGTATCGTGAAACGTTTCACGAGACCTATTCTCTTCTTCCTTTGCCGCTGTATTTCTTTTCTTTTTAACGCATTATTTATCCTGCTTCAGCTGGCTACTTCTCACTAAGCACGTTCATTTAATAATCGCGCTCTTCTTCGTTCTTGATTAGCGCGTCACGACATTACAGTACAATATATATATACGCACTTCATATACATATATATAATATATCTATATTTTATCTATGTTCATCGTAATGAACCCCAATACGTCTAAAATTCCATATCACAAGATATCTTGTTCAGTATCACGATTTTATAATAAACCTTCGTCTCACTGCCTTCATTTATTTTTCCTCTTCGTTTCTTCTTCATGGATCGTCCCTTATGATCGTTGCCTTTGATTGCCGTTTCCTTTTTTCTTCTTCTTCTTCTTTCAGCATCTGATCTTTCCACTCTTTAATTATATTGAGACGTTTCACCCGCGTTACAACCGTGCTTTCCTTTTTCTGATCGTTGCTCGTCCAACGTTCTCGGTTAAAACTTCAACGTCGACGTCGAAAACGCTGTTTCGTCCCTTTATCCGTTCAGTCAAAAACTAAAATTAGCGTGAATTCGCTTGTGCCAGGGTCGCCGACGAACTTACACGCTCGGATTTGAGCACGCGTCTTTAGTTTATTTATTTATACTTCGATACGCGAAGTAGCCGAGTTTCAGATAAGACAATAAACGCGAAATGATAATAAAATTATCAAAGTGTCGATACCTATCGATAAAAAAACTTTAGTCATATAAATTATCAGAACTTTTAAAATATTCGCAATATCGAATTTTTGTTAAAATAAATGCTTCGTGATTATTTTTTGTCAAGATGGCAAGGTTAAAATTCTTGTAATAAATGCACCGTATAAAAATGATGGAACACCGTAAAAATGCACAATAAAAGTTTCTAACAGATGCAGAAAGAAGGAAAAAAAAAAAATGCAAGATCATAAATTGAAGCTTAAAGCTATTGGCAAGAATTAAAAAGTACATGGAATAAATTATTTATAAATTACACTCGAGTGACGATGAAATTGAAAGGTGAGAAAGATTGCTGAGACAAGGGACTGAAGATAATTTTCCAGATTCAGATTCCACGAAACAAAAGAATCGAGTTGAATGAAGATCGAGGCTCGATAATCCTGGATTCGCGAAACTGAAGAAAGTAATAGTGATTTCAAAGTAGCGTTTCAGTGGAAAGACAAGCCAAGTGTCCTTTAATCATGGAGAAGAAGAAGCAGCGGTTCGCGTCGATTGAAAATCAACGTTCCCCTTCTGCTAGCAACTGATAGCATTACCGGAGGAATCGGTTGACCTAAAAAGCTGCCGGATGACTCTATTCAACGAGGCGGCTGTGCTCCATGCCCTTTGATTATTAGATTCTTGTTCGCGTGAAAGGCTGCTCTCAGCAATGGCCTCGCTATATCGAATAAGCTTCGTCCTTAGACGTCGACCAAATAACCCTTTGACTCGAACAGAATCGATTCATCGAGACGGTGCACAAATCTTTGCTTCTACGCTTCCCTGGACACAAATAACCTCCCGCATTCCTTCCACGCTAAGAACATATAGATACGAACGTAAACTAGGTGTCATCGCTCTTACAACGTTATCACACAAATACTCGAGTACAAAAGTAAACAACATCGACGACGACTACGAGAAATGAATGCTGGACAAGCGTATCGGACAGCAACGCGATGAGGTACATGATTCGAGGTATCGCGAGCATATTGTTTTAAACAGTTCCTTCACCATCAGCAGTTTTACTAAAGATCACAGTAATACCTGGAGGTCGATTACGGGACCACCCTTTCTCTGAACCCTAGTCGAACGCTACCAGAGGTAGGAGGCACCAGACGGTGTCGTTTGGCAGGTAGCATTATCCTTGAATCGACAAGGAGGAGGACCTGTTACATCCGAGACCAGCAACGAAACATCATCGACGCGTTAGAGGAGAGAAAGAGTGGCCTCGTATTTCGGTGACTCGTCCCTGCTGTTCGATGATGTCCTCGTTAAACGTCAGTCGACTCGGCCGACACCGCGTACACGAAGGGAGCTGCGACTATCGTGCGAGGACCCATGCGATCCATGGGACCCGTGCGAGCCGTGAGATCCATGGGATCCGTGGGATCCGTGCGAACCATTGTTATGCGGTACGCTTTGCAACTGATGACTGTGCTGTCCGCTGCTGGTACTACTGCTGCAACCGTCGCCCCCGCTGCTACCACCGTCACCGGCGATCGAGTTCAACGACGGATGACTGCTGACCCTGGCTTGATGATTAGCCGAGACCGGCTGAGCTGGTCGGCCCGTTCCGTTCGTACGGTTCAGGGCCGAATATATGGTGCACATGGTGTGTAGGAACTCGTTCAACTGCTTCACCTTGTTCGTGTTCTCGGTGTTGTTAGTTTGCAATATGTTCGACTTGCTGGAACTTCGGCTACCGGTAGCCGAAGTTCTTAGCCCGGTGGTCGAGGGAGGTGGTGGAGCAGCCGCGGCTGGTAACGCGGGTAAAGCGTCGTGAGTAGTGTTCTGCGGAAGCTTTGGCAACATTCGACGTAACCATATGTGCTTCAAAGCTTTGCTAGGCGTCAGCCTTTGTTCCGGGTCCCATCTCAGGCAGCATCGTATGAAGTCGACGAAATAAGGATCGTCGCAGTTCAACACTTGCTTCAGCTTCCTCGAACCCGGTGGTCCGCGGCCTTTTCCTTTCCTAGAATTGCTACCGTTCACGATGATCGAACCGTTCGACGTGGTGGTGACGGTACAGTATCGTGGATAACCCTTCGAATTGATGAACTGCCTGCGTCGTTTCGCGGATTCCAGTACCTCCGGCGGTGGCATGCCTAACAGCTCGATGATACAAGCCATCTGGTCCGCCTCGTCTTCCCCTGGCAAAAGTGGGAAACCGGTGAACAGCTCGGCGAGGATGCAACCGAGACTCCACATGTCGATCGGCATCCCGTATTTTGCGCCCAGGATCACCTCCGGCGCCCGGTAAAACCGACTCTGAATGTACGTGTAGATGCGCTGGTTCTCGTAGCAACTCGAACCAAAGTCTATCACCTGGAACAGAATATACATCACGATTTTAACGTTACTTAATGCATCTAAGCTACTCCGAACTAGTGTTAGTTTTACTTATGGAACAACATAGTTGCAGAATCCCTGAGGCGAGTACACGAAGACCCAACAGTCTGCATTATATCGTGAATATCGTACGTGGTCTGAATGAAATAAGAGACACGTATCGTTTACAACGTACTTTGCCAACGGAACGTGACAAAATAGTACAGATCTGTTCACGAAGACAGAAGATAGAAATTGTTAGACTACGAGGGTGTATCGGTGTAAATTTGCATTACGTCAGATCATGAAGATGTTAACGCGGACGAACGAGGTTGTATAATATTTTAGAGAGGTGGCGGATAATTTTGTTTTCTACCGGCCTAGTTTAATATTTTGGGCAACGCGTAGCTAACAGAAACGCCGCGTTGGAGTTTATCCAGGGTTACAGTGGTTTCCTCGGGTTATTGGCGAGTGAGCAATAAACAATAATTAAAAAATAATTTCAAATATAAAAATGACATTTTTGTACCTTTTTCCTTTTCTAAAACCTACCTCAACCTCTACATTTCATTTTTCTACCAAAGCCAGTACACACAATGTGTACCAAAGTGCAGAACAAACTGGTCGATCAAGTTCGTAGCGGTATCGCGTCACCGTAGATAGAAAGTGACATAGCTGATCGATTGTGAAGGGTGCCGGGCCGGAAGCTTTGCGAAGGGTATGCTTTTTGACGGAAGTATTGGCCGGAGGGTCGTCCTGGTTCTACTAGAAAATAGCCGGCTCGAATGCGAGACTCTTCTGTCTGCTGTACACGCCTGTGCTTTTACCGTGAAATTGCTTTATAAAACAATGTAAACAAGCGTGAACAACCTATTACTGGTTTCATAATTCCTCTTATCGGATCTAACGTGTACTGGAAAATTAGGAATTTTCAAATTGCAATTAAGCATTACCGTTTGTTTCGTTGGAGCAAGTTTGTTGCGACTAATTACGAAAGCGCACACGTACCGTCTGTTTTCAGCGAAAGGGGTCAGGAACCATCGAGCCCGCGAGACTCTCTTTACGATGCTCCGCGAAACGAGATACGAAAGGGGAAAAATGTTTATTCGCGGTTTCCCTTTCATTCCATTGCGGGAACCAGCGATAAAAAGAAGCTCGTTCCCCTAATTGGAATGGCTGTTTAGCTTCCCGAGGTAACAGGTGGTACCTGTACGATCTCTACTTATTCACGCGATGGTTAAATCTCAAGGAAAATCCATCGAGATTTTCCGGTTGGTTGTTGTCCGTCTGGGTCTCTCGCGATATCATCCGCCACCAGAGGCGGAATTATTTCCAATATCGTTGGACCGTTTCCAATAACATCGACCCGGTCGAAATTTGTTTTCGATATTTTACCAAACGTGAAACAAACAACCGGAAATCTCGTCTCTTTTTCCGATAGACGCGAAAAATCTTTTGTGTACGCTTCGGTCGGTTCGGCAAAGTTCCGGTTCCGGTACCCAGAGTTCAATTTCAGATAACAAGGAACCGACAAAACATTGTTTTTCAAGGAACCTATGATTCTGCGAATTTCTCGATGAAAATTCTCAGAAATCATGTTTCAAACGTGGCTACCTCGGGTCGCAGTATTATCCAACGACGACTAATTTCGTTATCCTTAATTATCAGGTGAACGAGGTAGAGAGTATTTTTAACGTCACCGTTGAAAAGAGTTTTTCGACGATAGGGTATAAAAAGGTTGTCGAGAGACACGCGTACAGGGTGGACACGTCGATCAAAGCACGGTCAAGCCTTTGACGTGTCCATAATCAACGGTGTGTACGGTAACGGGGAGAGTGTTGGCAGGGAAATTGATTTTTCTTTTTTATCGATCGAATTACAGCCGTTCCACGAACCTTGACCTTTGTCGAATTTCCAGCGCAGTCTGCAAATTACAGTGGTGGAAAATTTTTTTAACTGTGCTCTGGAAAAGTGTCAAGGTTCCCTCGAAGCTTTTATTCAAAATACGTTGAAACAACACGACGGAGGAAGATCAAGGGAAAATCGATAGAAAATCGATATCACTGCGGAAACGTGCAATCACCTTGACATAGATTACAAAATGCGTCGTTTAAACAAAAACACATTGCGTAATATCGATCGTGCTATGTTATACTGCAATCTAAATAACGAGAATGCAATTCGCTTCGTAATGAATCATAATGGGAAGAAACAGGTAGATTGAGCTATTATCACACCACTCTTGTAATTAATTCAAGTTCTCTTAGATAGATATTAAATTTTACATTCCTCGCTGAAAATCTACATTAGCGATTAAATCAGAATTGCTCAGGAAAAATGGGAACATCCGAGGTTCCCATCCTTCCCCGTGGGTGTCCCCGAGGAGAATGACAATGTAGGGGAGGAGGCCCTATATATATAGACCTATGGCGGACCACCACTAGCGAGTAAACGTTTACGCGGGAAGATTTGAATTAACCTCTTGACTATAAAATGGATAAATTGTAAAATGAAAAAATATTTCTCAATTTTATTCTAAATGTTATATATAATAATTAAAAATAATATTATTCTTTTTCTAAATTACTTTTAATTGTAAAAATTAAGATTTTGAAAATTCCTGCCTCGTCTATATTGCCATTTTCCCTCGGAAAGCCTACTTATATTGAAAATAAGTAACGATTGGGAATATTGGATAGATAATTCTCGAGAAGTTGGGGCATCGAGCACAGTTATCCCTTGGGAGACAATAACCATAGGGAACAATGACTCATAGGGAAAGCCGAAATGGCTACCTTCGTTACGTTTCTGGTTACTGCTTTCGAGTTACGATCGATAAACAGTTCCTGGCCAAGCCTGAAAATATTCCACGATAAGATCTGGAATCTTTTCTTTTTTTGCTAGCTCGTTAGCTCGTTACGTTGAAAGAAAATTGAACGAAAATGCTAATGGTCGGTTCGCGTAGCGCGCAAATGTTGAATTAAATACGTTACGTGTAAGAGGAGCAATTGCTTGGAAATAAATTATACCTATTCTATAAAATTCTACACTGACGTTGGAGAAAATTCAATAGAATTGTTAGAATAAATGATAAATTTCTTTTATGGATAATAATATAATTAGAGAAAAAACGTGTGCGCTTTGTTAAAAAATCGTAGTGCGTATCAGGAGGGAACAGCGAGTTTATTGTCAAGGTCGGGCATAACAACTGACCGGAAATACTTGGGCTGCCTATGGTTCGCCGGTGATGCATCTTCGGGAAACAATCGAGCCCTCGTATAAGGGATATCGAGACGAGCATCAAGCGTATCCCAGCATTTTAATTTCCCTCTTCATTATATTCATATCGGATGCTTAACCCTTTAATGATCACCGCAGACACTCATTTGCACTTCAATTTCATTTTAATCCTTCCGTTGCGTGAGATTTCAAAGTGAATTTCTATTAACAATGACTATTCTTTAATCTAATGCATTCGTTGGTAATGGGAAGTTCCGGTTAACGAATATAAAAAACTAATTTTCTATTCCATTGTTAGAAGCTTCGGTACAAATCTCGTTTAGAGTGAAAATTTAAAAACGCGGATTACGTGAATGAAGAAAAAAACATGAATGAAAGAATAATAACAGAACAGAAAGTGCGGAAGGTAAACGCGGAATTGTGTTTTTTTCAAACGTTTTTGCGTAAGAGGCACATTCGCTGCACAATAACGTACACAAGAACGAAAGCTATAGATACGTATTTGCGTGGATATAAAATTCAATATTCAAATATCAATATTTAACGAGCCATAACGAAGTTGTGTAGAGCGCGCGGGTGCTCTACCGCGGCTGAAGACCGGATATTGTAGGATACACGGATTGTTTCCGTTGTCAGTTTGCACTATTCTTTTGCTGGGATTTGTTCAACGAACGTGCTTCCTTTCTACCTTTTCCGCTTTAATATGCACGTAGGAACGATGGTCAAGTTGAAAATTGCGTTTAAAGCATAAAAGATAAAAGTAAAACGTGACTAAATGTGTTATGATAGACAGAAATCTATGTTAAAAATTTGGAATTTAGGGAATTTGGAGACTCTGAGAATTTGGGATTTGGGGAATTTAGAGACTTTGGGAATTTAGGATTTGGAGAATTTGGGAATTTGGGATTTGGAGAATTCGGAAATTTGAGATTTGGACTTTGGAATTTGGAGAATTTTAGAATATAAAATTTAAGAAATTTGAAAATTTCAGAATCTTGCAAAGGCTTTCCTTCAGAGCCCTTAAGCCAAGAATCACTGAAGTGGTACTGTATTAAACCCAAGGGTTAATTTTCCAGCCACGAAGAAAACACCCTAGTCATCGTTCTCAAGAACAAAGCCTTCCACCACTTAGGTAGGCTTCAGGCTTTCAGAATCGCAAGATAAGTGAGCAGCCGATTCGTTCACGAGGACATATGTGATAAATGTGCATCCACGGCCACTTTATCTGTCCGTCCCATAGACACGAATTATGCAATAATTTCTCTATCGCGATAGGTAGAAGGTCGACGGTACGGTCAAAGAATAAGGAGAACACGGGTTAAAACAAGAGAGATACAACTCATCCCTCCGAGGATGATGCAAAAGTTGATCGTGCGTCAAGTGCAACGTCGCGTGACTAACGAAAATAGAAGGGCTGAATTACAGCGGTCGGATATAATTGAAAATTAATTGAACCTCCCTTGACAATGTTTTCCACGAGGCGGAAAATAAGAACTGCTCGAATAGATGAAGAGCTTCATCGAGTCTAGGACGAGGACAATTTCATCGACCCGTTAATTCCCCGCCCTCTTTTGTTAGCTATATAAATACCAAGGGGGTAGACTTTGCATGTGTTCAAGTTGGACGTGTCCTCTTTCAGTTAAGAATAATTCATTCGTTTTTATTTTTTAATTAAACACAACTCCGTGGTAGTTTCGAAGCGAGGATTCGTGTTTCCTGGCGGAACGAGTTCGAAGTCCGGTGAAATCGTACCGGTTAATAAATAATTCATTATCGTTATTACGTTATTTCCAACTGTTATCACGTTTCGCGAATTCTGAGCCGGTTAGACGTTGAACGTAATTAATTAACTGGATTGCATTTAATAAATGTCAAGTATTCAAAGAGGAGCTTAAAATATTTGCTCCGTTAAATTTAATCGCAGTGAAAATTAAACCACAATATTCAACTTTGGTTATTATGGATATAGGTGCGACTAGGATCACTGTTAAAATAAAAGAGGTTTCTAAGAAATTTAGAAATATTACAATTGTATTAAAGATATAATACGACCTATTCGCTTGAGACACCCTGTATAGGCTGCTACGTTATGGTGCACCAAGAGACCTGGGTTAGGACGAGCAATTCGTATCCAGCATGGAAAACCGGTCCAGTCTCCGTGTCGCGGAAGTGCCACAACCTGGTCTGCGGTAACGTTCCAAGTCTAACATCGGCTGCTCGATTAAAGTGAAACAATGAAGAGGCTCAATTCATTCAACGATCGATTCTGTTCAGCTAACACGCGAGAGATCGTTGAACCAGACACGAAACAATCTTTACAGTTCCAACATTGACTATCTCTCATTGCCATGGCGGTCACCGTGTTAACCGATCGTAGGTGTATACCGAGATAAACGAATGCTAAAAGTTCTTATAATGAAATTTCCTATCAAAATAATTTTAGAATTTTAGAATCATGGAATTTTAGCATAATGAAGGGTTCTACTCGCAACCCCCATTTCTAGAGGGTCCACCCTATTAATTTTTACCCTGCCCAGAAATAATGTTATTATATATAAGGCAGAAATTTATAAAACCAATCGCCAAAAAAAACACCCCTGCCTCATCGAAGCCCAAAAGCAGACTGGCTGGGCTCCGCGCGATGCAAGTGGCTTTATCAGCTGCACCTGGCCCGTTTATCTAGGGCTTAAGTAACGAGCCCTGTGATTGGCGGCGGAGGACTGATTAGACAAGCGCAGCTATCTGATTGGTCCTAAGTGTTTAACCGGTAGCACTGTTGTCGAAATAACATATCGTAATGTGACTGATACGAGTTTATACCTCCACGCGGGTAAAATTCGAAATGCGTCAAAATGACGCGTCCCATAAACTTATTATTAAACTGGTGTTCCTCTAAGGTCGTCTGGAAGTTAAAACCTCTAATTGTTTGGAGAAACGTATAATTGAAAAGCCATTGAGACGTCTGTTTTGTAAATAAGATGTGACTTAAGATTCAATAACCACGCGTGTATAGCGTTTCGATCGCTGAATGAACTCTCTACTCTCTTCATTGTTCGAAGGCTAATTGAGCTGCGCCCACTTGGAAGTGTCGTTACACAAAGCGATACCACTTCCGTGGCACTTAAATCGCGACATAAATGGACACGTAAACGCGTGCTTTCACGTTTTACCTATCATCGCTTCTCTTACAATTAAATTAAGGGTTGTGTCCAGGAGCGGATCGAGATTTCTTGGGCCCAAGGCTATCGAACTTTCCTCTCGGTTAATGAACTTGTTTCGAAAATTGAAATTCATTTTAAGTAAAATTTAAGTACCGGGGCTGCAACCCTCTTAGACTATATCCTAGCGATTTTAGAATCGTCTGTACACGGGCTCTGGTTGAAATGGTTCTATTCGAGTGACGGTACCGTGCACGGAAGCAACCTCGATATTTATTCACGTCGTTAATGGAAAAATGGGCGAAAGCGTGAACGCGAAATTACAACGTTACAGCTTAACCAGGTGCTCGTTGATATAACTACGTTTCAACATATTTTTTTCATGGAACGTTTGTTAACCCAATTCGAGCCGGCTCTATGGATTTCGGACTGTTAAAGCTCCTTAATTATCGACCGTTTAGCTTTTTATTCCACTAGAGGATTACCGGTGGTACGGAACGCTTGCGGAATTACGGCAGAAATAGTTCAGCGACCCCGTTTCAATGCATCGCTCGAAATAATTAACCGCTCCTCTGCCCGAGAATCACTCGATCAACAAGGTGTCCATTGCTTCGAAAACAACACCGTTAATCCTTTCGTTATGGTGAGTTTCATCCTCCGTATAATCATAGGTAGGTTGTTGGCATGATTTAGTCAGATAAAAGTATCGCTCAATGGCACATGCGGTATACCAATTTAAAGCTTAAGGATTAAAGAAAATAATTACAAAATGGCTGATTCTTCGTTAGAACGTATGGTTGGAAATTAATTATGATTGCTTGATAGAACTGGTAACCAGTCATTTTTTAGTTTGTACAGTTATTTTCATTAGACTTTAAGCTTTTAATTGATATACCGCAAGTTCCTTTTTCTTTTACTTTTATGTCATCAAATTATGTCAGACTTCCAATGACCTGGTGTTATTGAAAAATTTGCTGAATATAAATATAGTGATCGTTATTCTTAAGGCTGCAACGTGTCTAGCTGGTGACGTAAAATTTCCGATAAACCTAGAGTCGTGGATTAAAGTCATCGTATCGACGCAGTCCGCTATTAATAGTGAACAGAGAAACCTATTCGTTCCCTATTTTTACGACCGAGCTCTGCCGCCAGTTCGTGCATCTTATTCGTGCCTACGTACCTCTTTCCTCCGACTGTTCGCCAATTACATTTAGGCCGTGCCTCGTTTAAGTATATTTATCCCGTTTTCCGCATAATTGCGGCTACCGCTATTTAAGAACGCGTCGGAATAAAACGTTGCGATACGAAGAATCACGGAAATGATTAGAGACCATCTCTTTCCTTCCTCTTCCTCTTGCACACGTGTGCCTACAGCGTGAAAGAAGCTCGTTACAACCTTAGAAAATTTATTATCGCGTGGCCAGAGAGGATTATCGTAAACCGTTTTACAATATCGAGAAAATTATAGACACAGGTTCTGACTGGTTCAAAAACGAAATGATGGAAAAATTTGTTATGAGAAAATTTGCAAAATTTTGAGGGTAGCAGTGGAAGAAATGAAATTTGGAAGGTTCTATATTTCTAAGTTTCCAAAATTACCAAATTTGAAAATTTGAAAGTTGGGAAATTTGGTGATTTCTGTATTTCCAAGTTGTCAAATTACCAAATTTGCAAATTTGAAAGTTGGAAAATTTGAAGATTTCTATATTTCTAGCTTTCTAAGTTTTCAAACTTACATATTTGCAGATTTGTAAGTAATAAATTGGTAAAATCATCGAGCAGTCCATCAGGGGAAACCTAAATTGGGAGAAACTGAATTCTCCCTCGTTCACCGAACTTCCAAGACAACTTTCCAAAAAGTACCCGCCGTCCCTTAAAACAACCCTCGATCTTTTTTATTCCACCTTCCATTGTCACGGGAAACTTTCTACTGAATAGTGGAGTCGTGGGCCAAAAAAGTTTCCAAGGAGGAAGAAAAAAAGGCGAAGAGGATCAAGTAAGTCGTCCTGTTTATCGGAAGAAGGGAAAAGCTGTCGTAGAAACGAACTCAAAAATAGATGTTGGGGAGCTAGCGTGTAACTTATATTTAGGACTGAGAAGTGAAGATGTACAATGTAGGTGTGCAATGGTTAAAGAGAAGAGACGGTAAGATTTTCTGAACAAACTCCCAAGTACAAGATAGAATTGATGCTATTTTTATTTTAAATTTGTGGTCCCCGACGACGGAACTACTTAAAAAAAAAAAAAAAAAAAGAAAAATAGAATATTTTAATTAATGGAAGCAATATTTAAATAGAACTGCAGTTATAAAAGGTTAAACGATAATCATAAAATTCATGATAGTATTGTTCTTTCTACCGGACAGACGTCTGGAGATTACAAATGCATACTTGGATCGGTAATAAAACAATGAACAAGTCAGAGACCGATTGTTCTGACCCAATTGCGCATTATCGTTCGCTAAATAACCGATAAAGTATCGCAAATGGGAATTTCATTTCTTAAAGGCTGAGTGAAAACTGTAAAATCTATTCTACCTTGCGTTTAATTTCAGAGAGATTACTTTTACATAGACATACATACGTGTATGCCATGGTCATCGCGTTGTTAATAATTCGAGACAATTATAGCAAAGTTAGAGCAACATGGAAGCTACGAAAGCGTACACCAGCTTCGTCAGCTTTGCAAGGTCGCGAGAAAAGTTCACGATATTGAATGCTAATTCTATAGACCTCAGGATAATGCAATACCTAAGTGCACCAGCTATAGTACGATATAAGTGTCTGAAAATTTATGCTACGTACCAGCAATTCGGTAACAGTACGTACATACTAGGGCCGCAGTTTATTGTGGAGGACAAGGACGCCGGGACCGCGTGTGATTGCGTTTGTCGATACACTAATCTCGCATTGTAGTACAGTTTCACGGTACTTCTATGTAATTCAACGTTCGTACATATAAACACGAAAGCCGCGTGTTTTGCATGGCCGAGGTGTATGAAACGAGCACGCCAGCCAGCCTGTCGCGCTCGTTCCTCTTGCGGTATCCGTGCTAATAAGTTTCTCGTCATTCGGTGCAGTAAACTCTCGCTATATCGCCACTCGAGTTGAATTTCATACACGCTATCGACTCTTTCTATATTAATTGAATTGTAATCCCTAACCAGAAATATAGTAAGAGTTTACTGTATAGATTATTAGCTAACCCGTATCTAAGATTTAAAATCTTAAGAAGGGGGCTAAAGCATTTAGACTTTCTGTGACTTTCTGTTGTCGAAAAAATTCTTGCGCCATTGTGTTTAGTGGGTTAAAATCTCAACGAATGGCCGAATTTTTTCTTTTTCCATTTAGTTCCAAGGGTTGGCTTTAGAGCAAATCTCGCTCTACTTTTACCTAGTTTGTTAAAATCTAAAATATAAGGTGCGCTCACCTTAATACCGGCGCGCCCTTGCTGCTTCAACAGAATATTCTCCGGCTTCATGTCGCAATGAATGATCCTGTTCTTGTAAAGGGCGACGAGGCACTGAAGCAACGAGTGGGCGAACTTCCTAACCAGCTGCATGCTGAATCCACGGAACTTGTTCTTCTTAATCAGCTCGTAGAGATTAATACTGAGCAGTTCGAAGGTGATGCACATGTGATTGCGGAACGTGAACCAGTCGTACATATGAATGATGTTCATCGTGTCGTCCTTGTCCTGTTCCCTTAGCTTCCTCAGTATCTTCACCTCCTCCTGCGCCTGACGATGGAACCTCTTCTCGTTCCTAAGCATCTTCAAGGCAACGTGCTCCTGTTTCTTATGATCGTAAGCCTTGACCACCTGACCGAACGCCCCTTTGCCGATCACCTTGAGGACCTCGTACCTGTAGGCAACGTGGTCGTGATTCACGTGGATGTAGGAACCGTGTTCGTTGTCGTAGTCATTGTTGTTCGGTCGACCGATTATGCCCGGCCTCTTCTTCGCGTTCGCCCCGATGAAGTATATCTGGGGATAATCGAGGATCTCCTGATGCTCGTACGGCGTCAATCTGTTCTTGTAGATCTTGAGTACGGCGTCCGGGGTGGCGGTGATGGTCTTGGGTTTATAGGTGCCGGCGCTACCGCAGGAACTACCGTTCGGACGGCCGTTCTTCGGTAACGCGCTACTCGACTGACCGTCCGGCTGCGAATGCGAGTTATGACTGGTGTTACGTATGGAATTGTGACCGGAATTGTGACTGGAATTGTGACCGGCGGCGTGTGAGCCGAGGCTCAAGTTCAGACTGTCCGAGTTACCAGTCAGACTGAGCAGACTGTTGTTGGCGCTGGAACTTAAGCTCGGCAGATGAGTGCCAGACATATGAGCGGACCGGGTCAAGTAACTGGGCGACGACTCACTGGTCGACTGCTTCAGGGCTAACGCGCTACCCTTTAACGGTGGCAGGTGATTGGTCTCGCTCGACGTGATGTACGTCTGCGTGGAGATCGCGCTCGCGGGTACGAACAGGTTCGGTCTTGACAGGGACATCTCGTACGTGTTCGCCGATAGAATTAAGCTAGTCATTTGTGTCCATTTGACGATGATTTAGAAGCGTGTGTTTTTTGCCGGACAGACCGATCGGTCGAGCGACGAAAGAGGCAACCATCGAACGATCCAACAGATTCGTCCTTCGATATCTTCTCTTCGATATTTCAATTTTTTTCCATATATCCTTCAACCTGTCACCGTGTATTGTCGTTCGAACAATAAAAAAACATGTTGGTTCGAGGTTGATAACACGCTAGTTTGTTTTATTGCTATCGCTCGATATCTCTTCTATTGTTCCAAGCTTTTATTGTATACGTATATATATATATATATATATATGTATGTATAATAGTAAATTTGGTCGATCCGTTAGAAGAGCCGTCACATCGTCAGCGACGTCCTTTCGTTTTTTTCAATAAATTAAATCGACTAAAAAGCATTAACGCGATTTACTTTCAGTCTCGTTCTCGTCAGGGTCGAAATTTCACGAGCGAAATGCCTCGTCCGCCCACGTGGGACGTTAGCGAACACCTTCAGAGTTATTAAGTCTCCTAAGACGCATCCAATATGTCTTCGATGCTCGCTCGATAAGACTGCATTCGAATGGTTCGAATTAACTTATCATCGTTACGCTTACGTTTTTTATTCCTTTCGGTCATGCGTTCGAAATACAATTGAACGTCTAAAAAATATTCGTGGTTCTCGGTGTAAATACAGCGGACTAGAAATTGTGACGATTCGCTGGGCGACGGTTAACGAGTCGTTCGTGAAAAGGCCCGTCTTTCCTTGTCCGGCGCTCTCGTCAGCCCTTCGAAACCGGGCGGAAAAGCTGAGCGAGAAAAATAAGAGGAACTATGAACCCACTGTCTGACGTCACTTCCGACCGTGCACAGCTGTCTTCTACGAGGGAGAGGTCCCTCCCCCCTCCCCTTCTCGAATTATTCATCCGATTCGTATTAATTCCCTTCGTCGCTTGACCCTACCCTCGTTACCATCGCAATTCAATGTTTCCACCTTCGTAGCTGCATGGAAACTACGTAATCCTTTTACCTTCGCGCGAAGTTTCGAACGTCTAATTTTATAATGTATCGCGCACGAGGGCAAACGCATCGTGCGAAAACTGTCTACTTCCTAACCACGGAGGTTATTGGCACCGGGCCGTCCAACTTGCACGACTTCTCTCCATCGAACTTTTTCCTTTCCTCTTCTTTTTTTTCCCCCTTCTTCCACAAACGAACCACTCAAGAATATTTATTCTACCGTTCGTACGTTAAACACTGTTATTCGATGTTTACGACGAACGAGATTCACCGATTTCGTAGAAGCATCGTCACTGACCAACGGAGATTCCCAATTGATAACACCATTTCCATGCGACACACTCGGCTCGTTGAAAATTTCTCGATTTTATTTTATTCAATACATCATTCGTAACTATAGAAGAAACCTTGTCTTCTCAGGCAGTTATTTGATTTTTCACCAGATCCAGCGTCTTCATGTAATTATTCGCATCGTATCAATTCGATAAACTGTCGCACGGTCGTTGTCACCGGCGTCGAAATTTCTTCGGCAATGACATATCATGTCAACCCTGAGGAGGCTCAAACTCGAGCCACCCTATTGCCAGACTATGTGTTAGTGGATCTCTCACACGCTCGGTCGTGGACCCCGCACGCATGAAAATCGAAGCAAACACCGCGAACACGATGAACGTGACCGCACCTTGATAACTGTTTACAAGCGAAACGTTCACTCGGCATTAATCGTGCAAACTTGTTATTTTCAACGATTTACTCATGCACGAGTGAATAAATGCAGAAATGGGTGGATGGTTGAAGAACGACAGATCTTTTTCACTCATGGAAACAAAGACGACACGAAACGAAGTTCGTCGCTTCTGGCACACTGACTGGCTGGCTAGCTGGCTGGCTGACTTCTCTCTCTTTCTTTATCTCTCTCTTTCTCTTGCTCCCTTCTCTCGCTCCCCTGTCTATCTCTCTCGCGTCGCCGCCATGTTTATTCTTTTTATACCCCCGTTAAACGTTGTGTCAGGACGGTTTAGAAGAGGTAGACGACCAGGCAAACGGACGAACGGCCAGGCTAACTAACTCGATACAGCACAATCGTCACGTGTATTTAACTTTCTGTTTTTAAAAAACAATGCCGATACGGTATAAGAGATTCTTCACGGTTAAGCGACGTAGCACGACGCTTCCGGTGATAGAGATCCCTCCATCGTGATTTCCACGAGATGCCGAGTGTCCTCTTGTTTCCACTGACTCCACCGCTGTATCTATAGATTTAGTATACAGGTGTTTTTGTTACCCCTTCCACTACGTCTAGCATGCGTGATTAACGAACTTGTATATGCTCGATTTTCAACCTAGTGGAAGGTAACGCTTCTCGTGTGGTGTATTTAATTTAACACTAGGTTTTCAATTCCGGCACAACTTTTCACAGAGAAATTCACACCCACTGATTCACAATGCACTCAAAGCGGGAGCACCATTTGTCTACTCATAAAGAAACGCCTGCTGCAACACCCACGCCTGCACTATCACGTTTACAGACGGTTGGTGCTTGCCGCACGCACAGATGACCACTCGTATTCTTGTTTCGAAGCCAAGGGGAGGCCATAAACTAATACGTACATCTAGATGGTTAAATCTTTCTCCCGCGTTAGTTCCTGCCTTTCCCGCGAAATCAAACCGACCGACATTATTGTATACCGCAGTTCACCAGAGTCCATAACTGCGACGCACAGGTTGGTAGATGGTGGGGGAACGCAGCGAGCTCTCCGCTAATCGCTTTCCACTTCGTTTAGGAGTATCGCCAATCAGGGCGAAGATGCGCACGAAAGAACGAAAACTGGTCTTTTCGCAGTTATGCACTCTGGTGAACTGCGCATAATATGCGCTCTGGTATATGCGCATAAATTTGCTATAATATAAATTATTCTTATCTAAATTTCTATTCTAACGATCTTTCTGATGTAAGGAAAGATTATTATTGAATAAAGTTGGTAGAAATATTACATTGTTAACATTCATTCGACCTTTTCCTTTTTATCAAGTAATTTAGGATAAAGATTCGTTTTCCAAGAAAGTCCAAGAGATAATAAAGGGAGGAATGGTTGTAGTCGAATACAAATAACTACTGTCAAGCTTTCAGGGGGCAGCACATGTCAATGTAAACATATGTTATCGTCGTATTGTCTATCAGAACTAACCTAAGCTTTAAACAATCAGAGACTGGCGATATTTTGACCCGTTCAGAATACTTTTGTAGGCTCACAGCTGATATCATTTTGAGTACGTCGTAGTATTTGAAAGTGGAATCAACATGAATTTAATTCCAAAATCGTTTAAAGAAAAACGTTCGTTCGGTGAGCATAATTTTGATTGTTTCAATTATATTTTCCTCAAATTTATTCTTGAGCAGAAACTAAACAAAATATATACAAGGTATTCCTTGGCAATGCTCAGCTTGTTTCACAATGTAATATATCTTAGTTTTATTGATAATTCAAGCTATATATTTTTGTTCCATCTTAAACAGAATTTCATTTAATAGTTAATATATTTCTTATAATTATTATAATCCTATAAAATATAATAAAGAGCAATATTTCTGTTATTTTTTTTTTTAACTACTAATACAATACTTATAATACATTGTTTTTCTTTAATTTAGCACAACGAGTTGCTGATGTAGAATTAATTAGAGAACGACATCCAAATAAGATACCTATTATTGTTGAAAGATATTATGGAGAGAAACAGCTACCTGTTTTGGACAAAGCCAAATTTTTGGTGCCAGATTATCTTACAGTAGCAGAATTTGTAAAAATAATTAGGTATATTTTTAAATGTTTTGTAAGACATTTAATTTGTCATTTAATTTGTATTAATCAATATTAATTAATAGACGTAGGCTACAGCTTCATCCAACACAGGCATTTTTTCTATTAGTAAATCAAAGAAGCATGGCAAGTGGTAGCATGACTATGGCACAACTTTATCAAAGAGAGAAAGATGAGGATGGTTTTCTTTATGTAGTGTTTGCTAGCCAAGAAGTATTCGGGCATTAGTTACATTGACATAGATAAAAAGTAAGTTTACATAATGTAAGTTTAATTCTTGTTAACATATTAATCTAGGCATCGTTCATTTTGGGTATTTTAACTTATAGGTGAAAACAAATTTTCTGGGAGTATACATACTACGTGCTAAAAAGTTTTTAACACCTAGAAAGAATTTTAGATCTATTATTACTTAAATCTGCCTGCAATTGAATATGCAGAATTTTTGTGATCAACTTGCAGTACCTGCTGGAAATAATTAACAGAACGATGAAGATTGACATTTGTGTATAAAATCCTTATGGTGCTTTGGGCCTTCAGTATAAGCATCAACCATGTTTTATATAAGTTAAAGTTTAAGAGTAATTTTTTTTTTATGACAGTACTTTTTTCTTATTATTTTCAATGAGTATAAGCTACTAAAATAAGATTCATTTATTAATAGGTAAGGAAGTTACTTTTATAATTTTTAGCATTATTAATCTAAATTTGCTTGCTTCCATGCTCGTCTTATAAATTTTAAATATGTAAAATGATAATACTACTGTATGAAATAGTAAGTAGTGGCCAGTTACACTTGACATATATAAAAAAAAAAATGAAATCAAACATTATTCTGTGTTTGTTTGATATTTCATAAATTATGACATTACGTTAATAGAATCTATACTATGTATTATAACTTACATATTAAATAGGTAAATCGAACTTTTAGTAAGTACATGAAATTTTAGACGATAGAAAAAAAAGGAGTGTTTTAAAGTAATCTTACAACGGAACCCGTTAATGAAAATAACTTTTGCATCTAAGTCTATTCTTTTTAAAAAAATATCGAAACATTAACGAAAGTGTTCATGCATATAATTACACACTATGTAATGTGTACTGTTATGTGATAATATTATTATACTCAAATTAATGTTATTAAATATATTTGCATTATGAAATTCGATTGAATTGTAATCGTTCCTAAACGGAATATATGATATCCATTTAATATTAAATTAGTATCTTCTACTATTTGATACTTATACTATATGACAATTAATATTCTGAATTGTGTCTTAAATTCGAAAATGTTGTAAGCGCACTTATCATTGATCTTCATAGAAGTAAATTAAGTAAGAAACAAAAGTACCTGGCATTATAACTAAGAAGTATCGGTGACATAATTTTGTAAGATTTAAAATTTTAGGAACAGAAAGATTTTTCAGTTTCAATTTCTGGTATGAATAAATCTTATTTACCAATGTAAATAACTGATAACAATTTATATAAAGACATTCTAAAAATATAATACTCTTAGGTTTATCACAGGATAACTAATATATTTTTTCAAGCAATATTTAACTTAATTTACGTGAAATCTTTTAGACGAGAAGCAACAAAAAAACAGGGCTTTCTGCAAATATTTTTAAATATCTAATAGTGATACAATAATACAAATAAGGTGATTAATTAATAAATGAATATTTCAACACTGATGATATTGTACTGATAACTACTATAAATATCGGCAATATTAATGGTATGCATTATTAATACTTGTATAATGAATGAATGTATAACATATATTATGTAAAAAATTATTTGCAATAAATAACTTTTTGCAACAGATACATTGTTTCCTACAAACTTATTTCATCTTCTAAATTAGTTTGTTAGCTTTATAACTTTCAAATATACTCTAATGAAATTAAATTGTACAGAATATATATTTCTTACCTTTACGATCGTTCTGCAAACTCCTCCACGTAAAAATTTAAATACAAACTGCTGATCCATGGCAGCTTCCTTTACCAATATGGCGGCACTTCCTTCAAACAGGTTCCCGAGTTTGCCGACAACTTGGCGCGACGGATAAATACTGCAACATAGATTTGAAAATCGTCAATCTGTGTGCAACCTCGTATCGATGGCGGTAAATGCAATGTCGAATGAGTATAAAGGTGAGCGGTGGGGTTAGGCACGGGGGGGAAAGAGGCAAAGAAAAGGTAAAGGTTAGAAGAGGTTATGAACTCTAACCCACGGATGGTTGACGAAGTCTAGTTGTTGCTATGATCTGTCCAAATGACGTGCGTTCAAATTATCCATCGTTGTTACTGATTTAGGTAAGTCTCTGTAATAATTGCTTGTTTACCTTTAAATTCTTTAGTTTTTGTTACCGTTTCATCGATAACGATGTATGAAATCCTGAACGATAACTCGCCCATATCGTAACAATCTGTGCATTCATTACTTTGCGCAATACACGGTAAAAAATATTTTCTTTTATTCATATAGAATATTTGTAAATAGAGGACCAAACATTAACGTGACGATTGATCATATTTTGACATTCGCAACTTTGTTGGTAGTAACATTGCTTAGTTAATTCGGTTAATATTTTATATTTATCTTTAAAAATAAATATTCAAGCGTTTTTATTATAGAAACATTACGAATACTACGAATGCGGAAAAATATAAAGAGAATATCAAAGAGTAGTAACATTGTTCCTTGTCTCTTTAGAAACAAAAGCGTTGACGTCATTAAATTCCTGCAAAGAGTTACGCTCTTGTTGAGAAATAAATTACAATAAATATTTAAGAAAAAAAAAAGAAGAATGATGCGCAATTAGCAATACAATTTAATGCGATGGGTAGGATTACGAGATAAATCTGTGTCGATGCGGTGATCGAGTAGGTAGGAGGTAACCTTCGGACCCACGAGCGACCTTTACCTGTGAAGTCCGGTCGTATAGAAATAATTACTCTAGAGTGACTATTCTTCTTCACTGATGCCGTTCCAAGAAATCTTTAGCCGACTTGGAATGACCATTCGAAAGGTTATAAGCCAATGTAATATACATATATTTAAAAGTTGCTAATTTAAGTTAGCAAAAGTAAAAATTATTTTTGATAAAATAGAACAAGTATTTCTCTTTGTTAAATATTATTTGTTTTCAATCATGAGATTTTAACAAATATTATTAGAAATGTGTTCAATGTCCCATAAGTACTATAACATCTTTTTGTGGAAAATTAGAATCCTTTTGTAAAAGAAGTATTCGTAATAAGAATAACGTACACCATAAGTAGTTAGAGTAATTTCTATGCGCGTCTTAGGAACAAAGATATGTAAAAGTAGTCGATAGTCTACGTATATTTTCGCTATTAACTCGTTCGTGTTTGACCTATTCTCGATCTGCGTTGCGACCTCGAGTCCCAACCGATAAGTCATCGCGGGCGTGTATTACGTGACATAACCTGTAACGCTCGTCGAGAGGCCACTATGCGGTCCTCCACGGCAAATGTTCTCGCTCAGGTAGAAAAGCAGGCAAGCGGGGCGAGAATGCACCTGGCCGGTGTGTCTTGGCGGTACACAAGAGAGTGACCTGCCAACCTGCCAGTACAGCGAACGGCCTGGCTGCGTTCACCTGCGCAAGGTTGCCTTTAAACTTCAACGTGCTTGTTTTTATGGCACAACCGTTCGAACATAGTAAAAACGATTTCGTGTGCTGCAACTGTGTCCGTTTTCTCGTAGCCTTTCGTTGTTGGTATTTATTTTCTAAATACGTGAATATTATTCCGCGCCTATTACCGCGTGGCTGGCTACGTTATATTTTCAGAACCGTGCGTGACCCGTGAGAGCGCCACCACCGACACACACGCAAATGCGGTGATACAGGTCGACCCAACAGGTAGTGTATTATGCGTACCGTCCTCGAACTTTAATTTCTAAGACTCTACGCGTTTCTTAAGGTCGACGAGAGGGAAACGTAAATAACTTCACGAAATGTTAATTATTTTCATCGGATAATAAAAATCTAAATAACAAAATCTAGCGTTTTATATATCTTTTCAATTGAATCAATCTTCTGAATGATGGATGGACTGTTTGTTGTATAACACAAACTTCCATTAAGGATACAGCTTATGAACAATAAATAATAAGTTATAAATTTGTTAAATAAAAATTTGTTTACAGTGACACGTGTCTAAACAGGTCATTGGCTTAAGTTTGAAGAAAAAACGACAGGTGTCATGTTACGTTCATGAAATTCTTGATTGTAAAACGGAATAACGTTGAATCCCGAGTATGACACTTCCGTGAAATTAGATATGTGTCGCATTATTGATCGTACGCGTATAGATATTTGTTAAGAATATAAAATAATTGATGTTGAACGTAAAAGCATATTTGGTAGTTTCCTGAGTTGAAAGTTTATCGTAATTAGAAAGGTTGAGAAAGAGAATGTTCGTACTGATGTGTAACGAACGCAAGGTCTAAGAATGTTAACTATTTTTTGAACAACGGTACAGGCACCATTTTCTCGTGTTACCGCACTGACAGCGGTGACGAAGTCTGATCACGAGCGTATGGAAATGGACCATTCGCTCTATGACAGCCAGTGTAGCATGGCTATGGGTATGCGCCTAACAACGTAGCAACCCATGAACCGAAGAACTCGGTACCATCTCTTTCACTTCTTAAAATGGTAGGGGGGGAAAGGGTTGCGGCAGGTAGGGGCGGGCGGCAAATGCTCCAGTTTTCATTTTTTATACCGTCCCGATGGTTAGGCCTTTAAACGATACATTCTGTTTGCTTAGATGAAATCGGCCTCTACACGATCACGATTTACCTGATCATACTCGGTATAATGTTATGCAATCTCTATAGAAAAATATATCTTTCTTCTTTTCAAGTTATAAGCTGTATCCTCGTCATTGTAGAATTCTTTTAAAAATAATTATTTGAAAGGCGATATGGATAAATAAAAGTATTTTTAAAATATTGCGTCCTTTCCTTTGTCCCATTTTTGTAAACACGATTGACGAAATTTCATCGTTATTTCTGTCTACCGCATTTTATTCCATTAAACAAGCGAATACTGATTGTTTAGAAAATTTATCAACTACGAATCTTACGGGTATGAGTAAAGATTTTTAGGTAATTATTTCATTTGTTCTTTTTCCAGAAAGAAATGGACAGGGATCATAGGGAACAACGCGATCACGATAATTTAAATGAAAACGAAGAGGAACGAAAAGTAGGAATGGATTTTCGTAATTTATCTCGACACCATGGCATCGATCACGTAGCTGATGTTGAAACTGAGGTGTTAATCATTTCCTTTTTAAATATCATTTGTAATATACGATTTAAAAATTTCAATTTTTAATTACAGAGGGATATGGACGTGGATCAGAACGATCGCACTGAAAGTCTACACGATGATAAAATAGATCAAAGTATTGGAAGAAATTTATATAATTTAGCGCATCATCCCGCTATGGTGGGTTTTTGATATATCAATTTATATGAAAATTGAGATTAAACATATTTAAAACATATTCAATTGAAACATATTTAAAACATATTTACCTGTATAATATTTAGAGAGACATGGAAAGGGATCAAAATAATCATGTCGATAATGTGCACGATGATAAAGTTGATCACAAAATGGGACGAGATTTCCGTAATTTGGGTCCTCATACAGGCATGGTTCATTTACACTCTGGAATTGAGCATTTAAGTAATGTTGATGTAGAGGTAAAATTAATATTTTTTACAAATTTCTTATCTTACATTTCATTGTACTCACAGTTGGTTATTTTTTCAGGTAAAATTAGCCAGAGATGTTCGCGGTTCCTTAGGTTTGGGATTGTCTCTAGAATTATGTGTAGTATGTGGAGATAGGGCCAGTGGAAGACACTATGGGGCAATTAGTTGCGAAGGTTGCAAGGGTTTTTTCAAGCGTAGTATTCGAAAACAGTTGGGTTATCAATGCAGGGGAAGTAAAAGTTGTGAAGTTACCAAACATCACAGAAATCGTTGTCAGTATTGTAGACTTCAAAAGTGTCTTGCGATGGGAATGCGAAGTGACTGTAAGTTTAATCAACACAATATACGTTACGCTCAAACGTTCTACATTTAATAATTAAAACGAATCAAGCTTTCAAATCTGTATCAACATTGTAACAGTAATATCAGGCTTTGTCGTTGTAGCTGTACAACACGAGAGAAAACCAGTGTTGGGTGAATCGGCAGGGTCGAAAGTAGGAAATCGAAGTCCTAGAGTTAAACCGGAACCGCAGCAACCGGTATCCGAAACACCCCCAACCTGGGAACAACCTGAAAGCCCGAGTATGGAAGACCAAAGTAGCGATAGTGACCTCAGTGATGCGTTAACATTAGCGAGAGAGCGTTTACTTATTTCACATGCGTTGGATAGCATGGCCAAACTTATCGGAGATGTGCGTTCAATTTATTTTACATAATTCTATTTAATACGATGTAATATTTCATGTTTCGTTATACGCACAGAGTGTGAACGGTTCGAGTGAACCAGAAGAAGAATGGACCGGTCAGTTAATTTCCGAAAGACACACGTTATTCGAGTTAAGAGCTCCCAGCCCAGCACCCGCGTACTTATCAATACATTATATTTGTGAAAGTGCTGCCAGATTACTTTTTCTGTCGGTTCATTGGGCAAGAGGAATTCCAGCATTTCAAGCGTTACCGTAAGCGCATAAACAATATAAATATTAGATCATACGAGCTTGAATATTCCATATAATCATTTATGTTTACAGATCCGAGGTTCAAACAACGTTAGTACGTAGTTCTTGGGGACAGCTCTTTACTTTAGGACTTGCACAGTGTGCATATACTCTGTCACTTCCGAGTATTCTAACATCGATAATAAATCATTTACAAGCTAGCATTGCGCAAGAAAAAATTACAGCTAGTAAAGTAAAGTCTGTCACGGAACATATATGTAGATTACAAGATTGTGTTAGTTCGCTTCATAAATTACAAGTGGATTCTGTTGAATATGCATACCTTAAAGCATTGACGCTTTTCAGCGCTGGTAAGTAACCGATTAATATATCCTTCCGATGATTTATTAACGTTCAAAATAATACCTTTTTATTAGACAATGTGCTGGCTGGTGTTTGGCGCAAGAAAGTTGAAGTTTTACAAGAAGCTGCCTGGACGGAATTACAGCAACGCGTGGGATCCGACAGATTACCTCGTCTTCTTTTAAGGCTCGCGCCACTTCGTTCGATTAATCCTAGAGTTTTGGAAGATCTGTTTTTCGCTGGTCTTATCGGCAGAGTAAGCGTAGCTAGTGTTGTGCCTTATATTCTTACTATGCAAGATTACAAAACTGAACCTGAAAGTCATATGGGGTGACAATTACTATCCGTGCAATGTAGGTCGTGACCTAGTAAAGTGATATATATGTATGTATATATACATTATATATACATACATTACCGTTGAATGCCTTGAATATTTTTATACAATGGAGAATAAGAGAAAGTATAACGAGGCAAAGTTAATTTTTATTTTTCGTAAAAATCTTATATGCCCCTTTCTAAAGGTGTTAAAACTCAGGGTAGATGTGTATTTTAACTTGTTAATCAGATGTAATATCTAGTTTACAATATTTTGATGTTTCAGAGTTTTTTTTTCTCTTATTTATTATAAATTTACTACGTTTGGTACAAAACTTTCCACAAGTTGCACCAAGGTAATATTAACAATAATATATGTATTTGTTTCTAAAAATGAAGTACAAAATGACATGGTTAATTACGTATTATATGTTATTAACTTAAATTGTTTTGAAAATATATGTTTGGAAAGTTTTGTACCTACGTATAACGTAAAAAGAACATGCAGGGCAATCTTACTATATTCTCAAGTAAAAGCAATTTAGCCCTTGAATGAATAATTTTGTATCGGAAAATTCTGATTTTGAATGAAAAAAAAACAACAGTCTTGTAACTTTTTCCAATAATGTCTTCGGTTATTAGATAAAGGAAAAAAGTCGAGTCAAGTATTGATTAATGAAAATCAAAATATTATTTTTTTATAGTCGCTGTTTTTTCCGTCCGTCAGAGAAGAAAATTATAACTTAGTTTTGATACGAATCAAAGCTGAAGTATACGTTTAAAGAAAATATAAATGATTTAATGTAAAAAAAAGAATATTAACTTTACATAAGTATTAGTACAAACAAATCGCGATTTTGTTGTAATTGAAACTATTTCTTAATAATTTCATAACTTTACTACAAATAAGACAAAACGTGTACATGTTTTCCTTATTTCCCCTAGAAATTAATCATGATAAATGATATATTTCTAGGCTGTGCTTTATTGTAGATAAAAAATAAATGGTATTGAATCTTTATCGTAAAAGAGTAGGATGTGCAATAGTATAATTGATGCAACATTCAAAAGCAGAAACAACCATTAATCGTAATTTATTTTTAATGAGAGACGAACTAATGAATTAACTCTACTATAAATGTATTATTAAGTATTATTTACTTCAAAAAAAACAAAAAAAAAACAAAAAAAAACGACAATAATAGTATATTTTTTATGAAATGCAGGAATACTTATCAGATTAAAAAATAAATGTATATGTGTTTACTTAAAGAAATGATGTACATTTTATATCTTACTGCTAATTGTAACTATATTAATCTAATATTAATGATAAGTACATATATTATTTGTATTTGTTTGATGATTATGAAAGAGGTAAATAACGTTAGTATTTTTAGGTGAAGTTAATAATCTTGTGTATTTAGCATCATTACTAATGTGTAGAGTATTGATATTTTTTTGTGAAAATATACTGAAAGAAATCGTTGAATATTTTTAAACTCGTCACGATTGTTAATGTTCTTAAAAATCAATTTTGCTAGTTACGAGATTTCCATAAACATTTTCATGATTAGTAAGCGTGTAGAATATTCTGAACAGTGTTTAATATATAATTAAAGATAAGTATCCTTTCTAATTTGTTAATCCAAAGATTAAACCACAATACATCTTTTTCTACAGATATTCATGTATATTATACTTATTGACTAGAATTTGATACAATTTATAGTAAATATGTATGTAATATTTTAATTAAAAGTAACTCCAATTTTATGTTCACAAAATGGCATAGTGGTGGATCAAATTAACAACAATATTTTGTTTTGCATCATTACAAGTGATGTTGATTTTAATACATAGAGTTGTTATTTGTACTTTAGAAAGGAACTTGTTATCCATTGCATCACATGTTATGTATGATGTATCAATGACAAACTATAAATGAAAAATATCTTTTGAAATTTATATATTCTATGTGATACAACTATTATGTATAATATGCTTAACGGACAATACAATTAAAAATAATATTTGACTTGAAAAGAAATGAAACTACGTGTAAATATAAAACGTGCCTGTATGAAAGATATTTATATTAAATATAATAATTTTGTAAGTCAGAATATGCAAGATACCTGAAGATTGTTGCCGCTTCAGTTTTACTATTATCAAAGAGTATGTACATACATGTTTAATTGTGGTATAACGTATAATTAAACAAAATAAATAAATAATTAGCATATAATAATGGTGTATCATCTTTTCCCCTATATCAAACATAAAATTAATAGTGGCAATTCGTACGAGTCTATACTGAGGGGCGATGGACCTACAACCCTTATAGATCAGCAGGGCCGGTCTTGTCATATGTGTGAAGGGGCCCTTTTTCGGAGCTTGCCTCCGAAATCTCAGGGCCACCCCTGTAGACCAACCACCACTGACTATTTAGAAAAGTACTTATGCAAGAACCCTAAAAGTTGTAGCATAGAGTCGCCCCTGCGGAGTGAGTCATATCCTAAGATTGCTTGTAGAGGCGCTTTGCCGCCATAGCCGCTTTATCCACTGGTGTTTGTGAATTGGTTTTTCGTACGAAAGTCAGAGTCGCTGAGCGGACTTGGGTTCAGTAGCGATCGGTCGAATGGACGGAAAGTATGGTCATGGAAAATCTCGCGTTTGTTTGAATGTTTTATGATCGAGTTTTCCGTAACGAAAACGTCACTTTCCAACGGCACTATCAAATATTTCAACACTCGCGTAAAACCGGCTATTCCACGACAGGTAGACCAGGTATTCCAATCCGTTCGACCATTTGGAACGTGGGTGACACACCTCCGAAGAATTTTTCTTCTTGGCTGGTTTTTTTAACAAAAGCACAAAAAGAATAATAAATTGACTAAAAATATATGTCGATACTTGTGAACATTTTTAAACATATTTCTGTGTAAATATTGTGAACCAGTGTTATGACGTACCGTAACAAATATTATTCTTAAAAATCACCGAGTGTTTTCATAATAGTGAAAAAATAATATGTTGTAACAGTGGTGCTCTTTATTGAAATTGTGTTATTCTGTGGCGGGAAGTTGTTTTCGAAGGAGTGAGCGTCACCAGGTACGCTATATTACTGCATAATCATGCTAAAGGTTAATTTTATTGGTTCATCAATTATTTCAGTGTGCCTGTTCTTTAACGCGCTATCTTTTTTTGTTCACTTCATATGCTGCAATCGCTATTTTAAGTGAATCGTCCAAGTATTTTGTAAATTATGATAAAATATAGATGGCGAATTTGGCGGTGAGTACGAGTTTATGCAAATAGATCTTTGACGAGTCACTTTGTGTTCTGTTCCTCCATCATTGTGTTTATCCTGGCAATTTAACGAGATTTTTGTTGCGTTACTTGCATAACAGAAATGCGATTCCATCTCATTAGAAGTGTCGAACCATCCACGTGTACTCTTACATAAAATTGCTTCTTATATATATATATTTTTTTTTTTTTGAACTAAATGGCTTTTTTGCACGCTTCTTGTTACCGAAAATCATCTCTGTCATTATTAAAGATGAGTTTCATTAGTTTTTGTCTTCAGTTTTCAGCTGGCATCTCTCTCCTCCGTGATTATCCTTTGGATATCGAGTTTTGAGTTACCATTCGAAAAAAAAAAAATTCTTATTTTATTTGACGACGCGGAGCTCACGGTTTAGCTCTAACAACCCCGCTACTGGCTGTGTTCTCTTCACTCTGAGAATTCTTTGGAGTTTCGACTTTCCTGGAAGGCGATGCTCTTTATCCTCGTTCAACGATTCGATTCGAACTTTTGAAAACTTAGAAAGCTACGCAAATGCCGAAATCGGCAGCCAAGTGGACATTTTGGAGGTCTCTGTCATATTTTATTTTCTCCTTTTTTATATACATCATTACCCGTCGTACATTTTTGTCGTTACAATCAGAGCAATTGTGCGTTGTTAATTAATTGCGCGTTCATTAAAACTTGCATTCTTAAAATATAATTTGCGCTGAATTTTAACGATTGAGTTTTAATGCTGTTGGTTTTTTTTTCTCTCATCAATCGTTTCCATTGTTTTTTTATCTCATTCGCATACACCGCGACGGCTGTATATGTTCGATTGGAAATTGTACTGATAAATTTTAAAATGCGCCAATCGCAAGCGTGGAACCACTGTGTGCTATAGGTTCATTGCAATCGATTAAAACTGGTTGTGTAATACGCAAAGGTGTACCGACACATACCAATATTCGTGTCTGTGTGTGTGTCTGCTATTATTATTTTATATAATTCGAAGAAATAATTCCAATCGATTATCGTGCAGAGTAAAATAATCCGATTTGATTGTAGCAAGCAACTAATTAAAAATTTAATTTTTGTAAATATCAGGATCGGCTCTGGGTCTAGGCAGACTAGGCGGCCCCCTAGGACCCCCCAGGGTCCAGGGCCCCCATAAGACGATTTTAATATTAATCGATGTAAATGCAAATCTAAATTAGTTATACAATCTTTAATATTAATTTTATAAATTTTATTTGAGGTACTTTTTTGGTATGTCATATACGCGAAGGGGCCCGCCTCGGACCCCCGAAATCTCAGGGCCGGCCCTGGTAAATATATATATTGTATAATAGAGTTTTAATTTTCGTCATTGTTTTACTAATTTCATACTTTTAAATGAAGAATAAAAATTCATCATTTTTTGCATTATTAAAAATGTATGAAATTTCTACGAGCATTATTAATTCAATCGTGTGAATTGAGTAATAGATAGGTATATTTTTTTAAACTCCGTCTCGTCGGTAAGTCTCAAGATAAAGCGCTGTTTCTTACAAGTGATAATACACACTTTTCGTTCGCCAATGATTTTTTACCTATACTGATGTCACTCGTCTTGCGTACTCAGAAGTGTCAGCACGAACTATACTATCATTCTAAAGTTTTCCTTATCAACCGTACAGTTGTAATTTTCCGGATTTCTCATGAAGTGTTTCAGTTTATTCCGAATATTATTTATATTGTGGGTATCGACGGTTCTATACCTATGGTAAGAGAGGGAATATCATAAAATGTGACTGACGATTAATTATTTTAGAAAGTGCAAGGGGCCCGTCGGCGAAGACCACGAGGATAATAAGAAAGGGAAACGGAAACGAGCCGCGGATACCGAGATCGAGCCAACGACCAAGGAGAAAGAAGTTTCGGCCGTGGAAACGAAACGGAAGACCATGGAACATCCGCTTACGAGATGCGACACCCGTGTACCAAAAGTTACACCGATCATCGACGACTACGAGATCAGTAATCACGTACTTGGACTTGGAATAAACGGCAAAGTTGTTCAATGTTATGACAAAAATACAAGGGAAAAGTATGCGCTTAAGGTGAGATAATGGTTCCTTCTTTTTTTTTTTCTTTTTCACAGAATCGGTCCTTGGTTTCGCTAATACAAGTTTGAAATATTTCAAACTATGGAAACAATTAATTCCTTCATTTTCCTCTTTCGATGGAAAACTACAACAGTGCTCATATTAAAACACCACGGTTATGCGATGAGACAAGCCTCATTGAATTAACTATTATTTCCTCTTTCATTATGGATTGGTATTACGTAGAACTTAATTGCAATTTCACGCACGAATAGTAAACCATCATGTTCGAACGTATGATTACAAAACGAACGGATTGTTCGACAGGTGTAGATAGCAACCAAATGCGTTACGCGTGTTTAATGTATGTACGTAGCGCCATACTTTATGGAGGTATAAAACGCTCTTATCAGAAAGTACGTAGGTATTACACGTTTAAGTGTAACGCGACACGTCTATCCTTGGCTATATTTGGAACGGCAGAACAATGCTCCAAGGATGAATTCCCGATATCTGATGTTAAATGTCCATACCAACGCGTAATTAGAGGATCATCGATCCGCAATGTATCGATACCTACTTGGCGTGGTGAAGTATGATCATCGACTAACGATGTCCAAGCGAGTCCAGACTGCGAGTCATCCTCTATTTATACCCGGTGATTTCCCATTCGACCATTCTGACCATGCAATATATCACTGGAAACCGACTTGCCTTTTTTATTTTCTTTGTGTATCACCTTGAAAAAATTTCGGGGTTCCTCGTATGTTTGTTTTTGTTTAATTTATCGATCTTGCACCGGCATTTGTGTGGAAAAATTTCACTAGAGTGTTGTTACTTCTGTACAAACGTATACAGACACGTGTATTATTATAATAACCCTTTATGAATAATTTGATTAGTATTTTGCAAAAAAATATGGTTAAAGAGGTAGATAAATAGAATGTCAATGACCGATTATGAGAATCATGTACTGTCCCTCGCATACACGTAACTACATGTTTCGGAAGTTATTTTTCTTATTATAAATTTCATTTTTTATAAATTTTTGTATGTGTTTTTTTTTCAATTGTTTCTTAGCAGGGTTTTAAAGCTACTTCAAATCTACTTAGCTTGTTTATCCAGTAATGATTTATACTTCCATCTTATATAAAAAAAAGTAAACAAGTAGGGTGGAGAGGAGGCGCATCTGACTAAATGGATAAGAATAGAAGTACTTGATAAGCTTCAACGAAAATATGTCATTATTTATGTAGTATTGATGATCTCATGCTTGCTAACATTAAAATGGTTAATATGTACCTGGAAAGATGCTGCTCTGTCGGTAATTCAGGGTTGTAGAATTAATAGCTTCCTAATCACCAGTCTGTAAGGATTAAATTATATGTCAACCAAACTATTTTAAATTCACTAAGAGTCAATATAGTAATTTCACGCAATGACAACTGCAAGAGATTTCATTGTTGGAATTAAGCCACATAAATCAGCGAAACTAAATTATGACTAGAAGTAAATCTGATTGCAAAAGTAATGATCTTACTTTTCGAAATGTTGTTATGGCGACCCAGGGCCGGCCTTGTGGCGATCTTCAGGTACTTCCGGTGTAACAATGCAATATCTTACTTTTGTATTTTACAATGAAAATTTATTCAGTGCACTGTTCTTTCAACATAGTCCTTAAGAATGTAGCATCACTACTGTTGTGGTCGATAACTCATTGTCAGTTGCAATTCTGAAACCAGGAACCGCAACGTTACGCCATTAAGAGGAAAAAAAATTTACTTTCAAAAGAGAAGAAATAACGGATAGTAGTAATGAGCAGTATACCCAATTATGTATAAAGTCCATAGATCAGTGGTGAATCAAAAAAAAAGTACCTCGAGGCATGCTTCAGGAGAAAGTTATCGAATCATATTTCCGCACACCTTTACGTAGTCGCAAAAAAGTCAATGTCTGCCGACGTCACAGTCCACCGGCTTGCAACCTAACTTCTTGTTATGAATTTATGTCTGTTGATTGATAAACTAATACTATCAAACAATCAATCAATAACACTGTCACTTATTTCTTTCTTGATTTTTTCGAGAGTACACGTTTCGTATATTTTTGTGATTCGACAATCCCAATAACAGGAAGTAGACGATGGAAATATTGACCGGATTTCGTTCCTTTGTAAATATTTTTTGCACTCGTTGCAGTTTTGTGAAAAAATAGTGAAAAATAATATTTTGTCATTACTATTATTATTATTAATATTTTAATTATAATTAATAATACGTTATTTTAATTCGGATTACAAAAGTTAGATTTTCCGTTACCGCGCATGCGCCATGCGATTCTTTTTCCTCGTTTAAATATTGAAGCGTGGGATGATGGAAATAATCTCATCTAGCTGGCCATCAATATTAATCCACGTATGTACATGCCACGTAACATTGTTAAACGCTAATCTCATTATCACGAATTGTCGATTATTTGTTGCGCATGACCGTTGATACATTTTCATCTGAACAGTAACGCAACAGATTAACGTGGGAAATCACATGAAACTAGTTAACTCATCCGAGAGCAGAGTATTATTGTATCACGATATTTGTAATGTACAAGATAACCTTTCAGAGCAAATGAATTTCTATTTCTAAATTCTATTTTTATAGGAAATTTATCTATTTCGTCATTGCTATCGACACTGTTGCTCCGGGTAATTTCAAATCGAAACCGGTTTCACCTTCTTCGAGCTCGATTCCCGGGTTTTAATTATATTTGCATATTTTTAGACCGCGCGATACATCGGATGGTCTAAAAATATATTACTCAGCTGTGAGATACTTTTTTCCCTTCCTTTTTTCCATTTCACAACCGTAACACTTTCCAAAGAGATTTTGTTTCCAAATACTGCGGTGTAGAATTACAGACACTGCAGCGGCAAGACAGCTTACCAATGTCGTTCAATTAAACTACACTTATCAATCTCATATTATTACCTTACATTAAAAATGCTGGTTACGAACTGCTATAGAATGCAAGTTTTATCGATTTAGCGATATCGCGACGTCAGCTGGTTTTGGGTCATTCACCACTCTACATACCTACAACATAGTTATAAGTTTTTAGATGTATTATAAGCTTTTTCTTCATCCAAAGAAATAAAAATTATCTGTAGATGTACGAAGATGTAGATATTGCAAGTCACGCAGTTGTCGTTTCTCATGTTTATATTCATTTTGATCCTAACTGATTACGTCACTTCATTTATTCAAGGATTGACGTTAATTTCATAAAATTACGAAATTTTTAAAAGCTAGATAATTAAGGCTGAAAAGTTCATTTCTATGTATATTTCAAGAGGTTTCTTTACTATGAGATACATTTTTCATTTACAGGTATTGTATGACTGTGTAAAGGCACGTAGAGAAGTTGAATTGCATTGGAGAGCATCAAATTGCAGACACATAGTTCAAGTGAAAGATGTGTATGAAAATACATATAGCGGAAATAAATGTTTATTGGTTGTTATGGAATGGTAAGCTACATGTACTTAATTTTTAAGTATCATTATGGTAATGAGGTTGTAAATATTTAATAAATTTTTAGTATGGAAGGTGGAGAATTATTTGAGAGAATACAAGACAGACAAGATGGTGCCTTTACAGAAAGAGGTAGTAAAAATGAATCAATTAATAATTTTGTAATATTAAAAATATGTAGAGTATACAAATTCTTTATTTGCAGAAGCAGCACAAATAATGTATGAAATTTGTGTTGCTGTAAAACATCTGCACGATATGAATATTGCACACAGAGATCTCAAACCAGAAAATCTTTTGTATTCCAAACCAGGTATGTATTTTTACACTTTCTTAATTTTCTATTGTTAGATGAAAACATAAGTTTAATAATATATGGTATATCGTTTTTTAGATAACACTGGAATATTGAAACTTACTGATTTTGGTTTTGCAAAAGAAACGCATTCAAAGGATACCTTACAAACACCATGCTACACACCCTATTATGTTGGTAAGTTGCGTTTAAAATTCTACTATCATTTTTGTAAGAGAGATGGTTAAACGAATGTCCTTTTTTTTTCCAAAGCTCCTGAAGTTTTGGGACCTGAAAAATATGATAAAAGCTGTGATATATGGTCACTCGGAGTTATAATGTACATATTGTAAGTGAATATTATTTCTAAATAACTGTTGTTATAAACTCACACAACGAATAACATTAATATTTTAGGTTGTGCGGTTTTCCACCTTTCTATAGTAACCATGGTTTAGCAATTTCACCAGGAATGAAAAAGAGAATTCGGCTAGGTCAGTATGATTTTCCAGCTCCTGAATGGTCAAATGTTAGCTCTGAAGCAAAAAATCTTATTAAGGGTATGTTGTGTACGGATCCCGCTCAAAGACTACAGATCGACGAAGTTATGCGCAACAAATGGATCGCTGTAAGAATCATATTTTGATACATTTTATAAATCTATGTACTTTTCTTATAAATATAAAATGTGTTACATTAATTATAATATAAAATATTATAAATATAAAATATCACTTTTGTTACATAGCAATATACCGAAGTACCAGCTACACCTTTACATACCGGACGCGTGCTTCGGGAGGGTGAAGAACTTTGGCCGGAAGTTCAAGAAGAAATGACACGGTCTTTAGCCACGATGCGTGTAGATTATGATACGGCTAATTTGAAACAATTAGATCACACAAATAATGCGTTATTAAATAAACGTAGACGAGCAAAACAGGCGAATGCTGTGCCACCCGCTGCTAATGCTCCAACAGCAGCATCCTAGGAAGACGCGACAAAAGCCAGAAACCGCTGGCGTATTTTTTTACAAAGATGTATAAGGTATAGTGTAATTATCATGAGAATTGTTTTTTGATAATTGGTACGATGTAAAATATAAATGATTACAATCGAAGTAATCTTGAGAAGAGATATATATATATATATATTAAAATTAAAAATCACAGAGAAATGGAAATGGAAGTGTTCCAGTAATTTCTAACAAATTGCATGAATTCGTGCTATTGTGCTTATGTACCACTTCTAAGAAGTTTTTCTTCAAATACTATAATGACTGTGGATACTTAACTTATTGAAAGGCACTACTACTGATACAAATTATGAAATTTGTCATTTAACTATAATAGTTTCCTATCAATTACTTAATACATATTTTATATGCAGTACTTTAATTTATCATGAACATTTATATCCATGTATTTTTGAATTTTTATCCACGCACAGTTAAGAAAATTACAAACTGTGACAGAAACGTTCAGTTAAACGATTATACAAAAATATACAATGTACTTTTAAGTGATAACATTGACTGAGGCTAAATACGTGAAGAAATTCTTATAATTGTCATAAGGTACTACTGACATGTATTGTCCTCATTGCTTCTTAGGCACTAAAAACATACGATAATTTTTAATTTTTCAAATAGGAAAATTTATAATAAATAAAGTTATACTTAGAAACAAATATATAAACTTCATTAAATGAATGTAGTAATTATATTTTTTTAGATGCATTATATAATAAAAAATCCTAATGAATGTAGAGGAGAAAAATGCCTTAATTAACCAGAGGTCAATTTTCAGTTATAAGTTCAACTAGAGCCATTAGGTATTTCAGTTAGGTGCATATTTAGGCGATATTTAAGAGGTAATTAAATCTCATATAACGTGTTACTGTTTCTTCAGAAACGACTGATATGTTATGAATTGTAAATATTATATGTATGAATTATTTTTTAATGAAATAATCATAATGATCGATTATATGTATAATTAATAGTCATCTATGTTAGGTATTAAAAATCTGTAATAGTTAAATAGACCTTATGACTGATAAGTAACAAAGAAATAGAGTTGATCAGGCCTTAGCTTGTCTCCACCATGCTATATTTAGTAAAACTATTTAAAAATTTTTAATTAATTGGTAATTTTGTTTTCGCAGTATATGTACCATTAAATAGCAACAATTTAGAATTGTGGAAACAAAATATTTTTTAGCACAAATATTGTATGATGGTTCAGCTCTTGTTTTATTTAAAAAAATATATATATAACTACTTATTAATTATTATTAACCATGTACAAAAACTTATGTGAATTTTAATTTGAAAAAGTAAATAATTTTGGAATATTTTCCTAGATTAAAATATATGTAGTTAAGCAATTATACTATAAAAAAAATTGTTGCATTGTTATACTTGGTAAAACTGGAATAGTACAATTTTTATAAATTAAAATGATTATAAATTATACAAAAATTAATACATATTTTTAATTCGAGCTGGACTGTAGTAATGAAGTATTTTTGTAATGAATTTATGTCTGCTGGTTTGCACTGCATTTATGAAACTTGACAATAAATATACAGAATGTCTTTAACTACGACATAGTCGATTCATTATTTAATTGTGATTCTGTGCTGTAATTGCAATGTATTACTTTGCTAAAATTGTATTATTTCAATTATTGAATTACTGTAATAATCTGAACAATCTCCAATTGCAAAAATTAAAATAAATACATATTATTCGTCTAATTTTACTTTTAACTTCGTTACTGAATTTAGATTTAATCAATGTGTAATTAACACAATATTGTATTCATTTTTACATTATATTTTTAAGCATAATTATATTTATCCATCTGAAAAACTCTTGAAAAATTACAGTAATATTCATAAAATTTATCATAATCAAACGTTTAAGATTAATTTCCACAATATATAAATATATATTTACATATAAAATATAAATAACTTAAGCTATCTATAACTAAAATAAACCTTGTACAAATATTTGTTGTAACTAATAATTTCAAAGATAGTACCATGATTCGTACATTATTCAGTAAAACCTGGCAGAAGGTATAATAAAACATGCAATTAGATTTACATAGTTTCAATAAAAACATTTGTTTAATTTATAAATTATGACGAACATTACAAAGACAAAAAAAAAAATGAAATGCTCTGAATATTTTAGGCGTAAAAACAAGTAAAAATCTACAATGATCACGATTTATTTTGTGCTCCGAATAATGTAATAAATCTTTATGTATATTTTTCTTGTATTTATGGACTGGAGTTATGTTCATTCAGATGACAGATAATTTATAAAGAATCATTTTACAAACTCGTTATGATAATATATCACAATTTATGAAAAAATATAATTATCTCTTATAGTAAACTTTTGTCCACTGTAAAATTATTTTATAGAATTTTAGCATTCATGTTCTGATATAAAAGAAATTTAATTTCCATCATTTAGTTGGTGATCTGTTTGCTTTTAGTATAAACAGTGAATAATATCGTTCACGTGTTATATATTTTGAACGTATCTATTATGATTATTCATGAGCAAAATATTATATTTGTATTGTACTAAGAAACTGTATACTTACTGAAATGTACCAAGCATATACAGTATTAAATTTCGACAATTTATAATGTTCAAACATTTCTGTATTAGTTAATTTTACTTCAAATAATTGCATTAAAATCATTTCATTTTTCATGTAATTTACAAAACCAAACACTGTATATTTACCCTTTTTAACCCGATCATTTTGTATACATTGTATACTTATATATTTAAATGAACAATTGTATGTGATTTTGCACATTAAATTACAACAGTCTATGTACAAACTAAACCTGAACTATATAACATTAAATGCTGTTGTGTACGATTTTTATTAAATAAATCCGGATAATGCTTTCGCGATATAATAGCATACGCAAGGCATTAAAGTAATATCAGATTAAAGTAAAGTACTTTATTAAAATGATCACTAACTTAATAAATTTGCTACGAAATATTGGAATGCAAAGGAATGACAAACTTTGGTCCAAAAGGAGACCTATACGTTATACCAACATCTGCATATACTTTGTTTGGCAGTGCAAGATTACATAAATATAGTCTGCCATTGTCGACGCTATGAGACAATGGTAGTCCACCAAGTAAACTAAATTTGCTAAGTATACCAGGTGTACCTGTAGCCGGAGGTTCGATAGCTAAAATAGGTGCTCTGTTACTATTTGCCCACCTCGCTATAGGTGTAATCATTTTAGGAGAATTTTCATCACAAAGTGCTACGAGTATCAAATCCACCACTGCCGGTAAATTTTTAACTTTTGTTTCTACCTTATTACCTGTCAGTTTGTACAGGGATAGTTCTTGCAAAAGAAAAATATCTTCAGAATTTTCTACAAACACGATTGTTTTAACACCGTGACTAGATAATTGTCTAGCACAGTTAACACCTGCCGCGCCAGACCGATGAGGTCCTGACAGTGCAACAACCGTTGGCCACTGATGCGCGTTATTCGGATTAAGTCGATGACTTCCACCTAATAGCTGTAATATTATTTCTGCACCCGCACGACCAAGAAGTTCGACCTATTTAAACAGATTAATTATATTTATCCGAGATATATATATATATATTTATTTTCTTATTTTTTAATGTATTTTACATACTCTACGTTCCCAACTAATTCCAAGCCGATCGGCTGCTCCTATTAATTGACGGTGAAGATTAAGCGTTATACTAGGAATTATTAAACCATTGTCTGTTACATATTCCTTTTCTCCAGCACTAGGTACCGTTATCTGTCTAAAAACTGTGGGTTCGGCAACGATAACATTCTCATCGTGCCGATATCTTCCCCTATTATTTTCCGATTGCCTAACAATATCAGGCTTCAAAGAATTTATTTCTTGCCATACAGCCTGTAAAAAGCATTTAATAATATTTTTAAAAAACTATAATTTTTATGATAGCTTTTGATATTGAAAAACAAACCTCTTTATTAAATAATGCTAAATTCTTTTCAAAATCAAAATCTTGACTTAAAGACTGATCGATCGGTGTACCAAATGTGTGTTCATCCCTTTCCAGAGCCCTTTGTCTATGACTCAATCTTTTTTGTATTGGTTTATTAGCAGATTCAGCTGATAAAAATAAACTGTTATTAAAATTGCTTACTATTTCCCTAAATGTAAAAAGATTCTGTCTTCAATATTATACCTAATGGAACTTTTCCATTCGCAGGCTGTTCTGTAATAGGTTGAGCATTATTATCCGGTTTTTTATTAAAATTAGGCTGTGTCTGAGAGGATGTAGATTGAACAGAACAGGGAACACTTTCTGAGAACGACCTTCCAGCTCTTTTAGCAATAGGTCTCTTTACAGTTACTTTATTTTGTGTTTGATTAATATCATTTGTATTCGATGTTTCATTGATGGATATGAATTCTACATTTAATATATCCTTTGTACTGAAAATATAAGAGTAATTTTCATTTTCATTAATTTCATATTGGCATTTAATAACTTATTATTATTAGAAAAACAACAAAATTATAATACCTTAAAACAACTACTTGCGAAGTACTAGGTACACCATTATGAAAAGCTTTTGAGAGTATAATATCATCTTTATTTAAATCAACTATCTGTCCTTGGTAACTTCCAATTTCCTCTGTACACTTCACAGAAACTGTACAACCCACAAATTGTTCTGACATGCTGGTTACCTGTTTGTGTACATTAAATTTATCAATGAAAATTAATAGTCAGTGGCAAAAAAATAATGTTAACATAAAAAATAACGTCAAATAAATGATACCTGAAGTATGTGTTTTATAAATTGTAAATAAAAACTTTAAAAAATTAAAACATATCAGAAAAACGAAAGTTATACGAACCTATAATGTAAGTGATTAAATGTGAATATATTGTTAATAACGACTGGTTAGTGTGTTAAATAGTGTCACAATTAATTTAAGATTTTGTAGTTGTTTTGAAATTTAAAAGTATTAAACATATGTCAATATATTCATTAACGTACAATGCCCGAAACAAAATTCTTGTATATTTTCATCCCTACTCTAACCGCATGCCGCTCATAAGTACTGAATATACCAAACGAAAAGAATGCATACCTTGGTTCATACATACTTACTTACATACTATTGGTTTATCTTTCGTATTATCGATTCTTTCTAACAGAAAGTATTTAATTTCAAAAATTTGAATTTAACGTATGTTTTTCAATTTAGGTGAAAAAATTGAGTACTACTTAAAATAATTATATAAAGATATTTTACAAGAATCTCAATAGTAGTATGAAATAATAATTTAGAAAAATAAAAGGTTATGAAATACTGTACTCTACTATATTCGGCGAAACAAGCCGAAATGACGTTCCTAGCGTCCAATAACTAGTCAAGCAAGTGTGATCCCCACTTTACTACACTTTACTGCGTCCAATCGGTATTGTATATTAAAGTCTCTTTCACACGAAACTTTAATTAAAATTTGAATATTTGAACCTAAAAGCAAAACGTTTCTTACCAGTTCTTACTTCTTACAAGCTGATATGAAAGAGACTGAAGTTTCATTACCGTTCGGTCCAATATATCCTTTCTATATGCATGCATTCAAGAAGAGAGTCTTGTAAATGATCTTAGAAAGAAGTGAAATAGCAAATTTTATAGTAAATTAGATATAAATTAATATTTCAGTTAATATAAATAATTTTTATTTATTCATAAATCGTACAAAACATGTTTAATAGATATATAAAATATTCATAGAATGTTAATATACTTATTTACAGGAACACTATCCCTCAAATAATATTTTTCTTTAAGAAAAATAACTTTCTTTCAATTTAATTTATAATTCACTTAAATTGAAATCTTTGCACTTGAGATTCTTCATTGTATTGTACTTTCTTTTTTCTGTAACTGGTACATCAAAGATACTTGTGGAAAACTGTCTATAGTCTTCTACTAATTGATACATCTTATCATCTGTATCTGAACATGCAAGATCAGTTTCAATTACATTACACATATTATTTACATCATCTTCAGTAATTGAAAACTGATCAAACACTTGCAATTCTTCTTTCAGTACTGCATTTAAAATAGTAGCCTGCAATATTTATATGATGGTAAATATCAGTTATACAATGTTTAAAGAAGAATAAAATACGTACTCTTTTTCCTCTCTCTTGTAAATCTTTTAATTTTTGTTTCATACTTTCAAATTCTGCATCACTGTACTGTGTTCTCTGATACTTGTCTTCTTCCAGCAGAACATTACTTGGTACAGCAATATATTTATTTACAATACTCTAAAATAATTTATATTTTATTATCACATTTAAAAAAATATTAGTATTAATGTGATTACCTCAATATTTTTTAAATGTGATACTATTGCTTCATAATATATTTTTTCTAATTGCTTTTGATTTGTCATAAGTACTGCTAGATTCTCAGAATTTAACTTGTATACTTCCTTAATTGTTTCACACATTTTACTAATTGTGGAATGAGTCCTTTCATGTACAATATTTTTCACTATAAAAGAAAAAAAATATTTATACCAGAGCAACGTTATTAAAATTATATTTATTATAAAGTTACTTCTATTTTATTAATATTTCATTACGTATAAGAAAATTCATATGGTAAGCAAAAAATAAATAAAAGGAACCAAATACACGAGGAACTAAAGGAAAACACAACATGTATAAATTTATATATATTAGTTCAAGGGCAATTTTTATTTATTTCTTCTTTTAAGTTATAACGTAAGAAAATAAGAAGAGAAAAGCGAAGCGTTAGTCTTTGTGATTAACTCCGTTCGTAGGAACCGGTGAAAGTATTCCAAGCAATGGACGAGTGTAACTCTAGTCATGATCATATTCACATGATACCAGAGTGCACCCGTCCAACGATTAGAATATATTGCTGTACATATTGAGAATGTTGTAAAATCTGAAAAACGTTCAAAAAATGAAACTTAAAACGGCGGCGCCTTACAAGTAGCGTAAACGGCTCTTGAATGAAAGTTAAACAGCTGCATTTCATATTCTTCTAATTTACGTTTCCGTAATTCTGAGTACGCCATATCGTTAAATCGTTTTAGATACACATAAACTGTACGACGAGTTGATTGAAGCACTCAATATCTTCATACTTCTTCGAAGCAACTTTGTTCCCTTCGATGATCACACCTTGACGTCCGTTGACAAATGAACATGGCGTCTATGTGCTTGCGTACGACAGCGTCCTTTGTCCCTTTGTGTTCCTTAAAGCATCTGAAGTTGTTAGCGGGATTTCAGATTATTTCAAAATTGACCAATCAAATACAAATCTTTTCCAATGAGAATTTTCTGTTCAAGTTACACCAGAAAATGATTTCAATTAAATACTTTGAATCACGTTATTTTATTTACATCAATGTATCAGCAATCATGTAGAAATATTTTATTAGTATAAGTTATGTAAATTTGTCTTTCATACACAGGACTTTATTCAGCAAGAAAATAGTAGTGTCAAATAACAGATTTTCCGTTCATACTGCGCAGATTTACTGTGGTTGGTTCTAAGTTTCCCATTATCATTTTCATGTCACATCCTGCAATATCAACTGTGACTGGTATTACAGGTATTACTCGTACCGACGGTAGTAAGGAGATTTTTGTTTGTGTAGGTTCCCTAGATATCGTCAAATGGCGCCAGCAGTGTCATTTTCAAAAGGCGGCGCAGTTAGATACAAAATTAAAAAAACTTGTAAAAATAAATTGAACGCACTTTCAGCTTGCTGGATCTATCTTTTCTTAATGATTAAATATTCCTTATTAACACTAGACTAAACAAAATAAACGGCAGTTCCAATTTATCAAAATGTTTAACGAAATAGCTGACATATACAAATTAATAACTGTGTCATATTTCCCAAGAATTGTTAATTGCTATATTCGCAATCTTTTCCAATAGATGGCTTTCACAAGATTTCTAAGAACAAGCATTTAGTTGTAGATTTCATTGAGCTCATTTTGACGTTGAGAACCAAACCGATAACGAACCTCCTCGCTTCTCACGATGACCTCTACTCTCGTGGATCTACGGACTAAAGCTTTAATCAGTAATACATTGTCAACTTCACTGAAAACGCTGAATTTACGTTCAAACTCGTGAACGATATTGGTTTATATCTTTTGATCAAAGCTGATAATCCTTTTCTATAATCCTGAAAGAACACGTGAATTTTGATACATTGCATACATATTATACTATTACTTATACAACTCGCATACATATACGTATATATTAAAATTGATAGTACCTTGCTTTATTTATTGTACGAGATAAATAAATTTAATGCGAAGAAATATATAAATTCAAATAGTACAGTCATCTTGTTTTCCCTGTTTAACAATTATGCATACAAACGAGAAGATCGTTCATGTATCAATATTCGAAATCATTAAATTACATTTTCTTTCTTTCTTGTGTGGCTTTTATTTAATAATAAAAAGATTTCCAAAGTGGATTTGGGATCCTAAGAAATTTTTCATGCTGCAACAACGAGATAGGCCCCCTCCTTGTTTGGTGGACAATAATTTAGGAATTCATTCACATGTAAAAATCAAGGTAAGCAAAACTTGTAAAATATTTTTTAGTTCAATGTAATCCGTGTAACACAATTTAAATTTTGAATAAAATTTATCGAGAAAATTGTATAAGAATTGTCGACCCCTGATAACACTTGACGACATAACTGTTCGATGTGCACATTCGATTTCGATCGATCAACATGATTATAGGTACATATTTTTAGTAAATTTTAAAAACAACTGTGTCAGTTTGTTTGTTTTTCTCGAGAATGATTGACTGTTAATTTTATTCTACGGACATTTGTGAGAAGTGTACAAATAAAAAAATTGCATTTATCAATAAGTGAAGTAAATGGATGTTTTATTAGAAATATTAAAAATGTTTGTTACTTCTATAGGGTGTGAAGTTTCATTATGTAGAAGCTGGAGATAAAGATAAACCACTTATATTACTTCTACATGGATTTCCTGACTGTTGGTTGGCTTGGAGGGAACAAATACCATGTCTTTCTGTACATTACAGGTATAATTTATTTTTAATAATGTTTTAGTAAGAATATTAAGATATATAGCACAGTAGACAATATCTAGAATAACAACTTTCTTGATTATTTAGGATAGTAGCAATAGATTTAAAGGGATTTGGAGATAGTGACAAACCAGCAACTAAACGTTCTTATAGAATTGAAGTTTTAATTGAGGAATTAAAACAATTTATTTTAGCTCTTGGAGTAAAACAATGTAGTATAATTGGTCATGATCTAGGTGGACTTTTAGGGTGGTATATGGTAGCCTTATATGGGGACATGATTCACAAGTTTGTTGTAATTTCATGCCCCCATCCTAACTTTTATTGGAATAGAGTGACTGGGAATTCTGTATTTGATTTAAAGTAAGTCATTCATTTGCTGTTAATTAATAATGTATCAGTTATATATATCTTATTATTAATATTACTATTTAGATGGATGCATTTTAGTAGATTGCCATTTCTTCCTGAAATTGATGCACTCAAAGAAGATTTATCCATCATAAATGATGCATTTCAACATCTTCAGCTTGGTGAAATAAATACTGACAAAAACTACGTAGAAGCATACAAGTATGCATTTAGCAGAAAAGGTAATCTAAAAAAAAAATTATAATATTTTTTGTACACATGTAGAGAATAAAATGAAAATTATTGTTCTCAGAGGATTGGACAGGTGCTATTAATTACTTCAGAAATCTTCCTTTCATAAGACTTAATACAGATTCTTCTGAACAAATTTGTACTAGAACCCTGCTTATAGTTGGAAACAAAGATCCACTTGTGTCAATAGAAAACATTATACAAAGTTCTGAGTACATTGAAAAATTTAGTGTTAAAGTAATTGCTGAAGCACAACATTTTCCACATCAACAAAAATCAAACATAGTAAATACAGCAATTTTAAAATTCTTAATGGGTAAGTTATTTATTATATAAAATGTACTTATGAATTGTAGACAGAATTGTTCACGTTTTTGATAACATGGTAAACAAATTAATTTCTAGGTACAGTAAGTAACACAGAGAAACCACCACCCAAGAGTATTGTATCTTCTTGGTTTGGATCTCTAAGTAATACTGTTAAATATGGCAATCACATGTTTGATGCTGTTCATAAAAAAACTAGTGGTGTGGTTAATGTTTTACCTAGTAAAATATTAATATTCTTACCCAAGTAGAAATCTTCAAAATTTCAATTTTTTGAAAAATCTACTGCAAGGCTTTTGTGACCCTAGACGAAAAAAAAGCATTTTCTACCAAATATATAATATTGCATAGTTTATAATTATGGATATTAAGTGATAATATGATGCATAAACATAAACAAAGGCTGACTTATTTTTGTTATATTACTTTTATCAACATTTATATGTATATTGTAAATAAGATTGTAATTAAGGAATCAGCTATATTTTATGTAAAAGAATTCTAATTTTTTATATGAGTTACATGAATATACAATTTTATTTTCTTTCAACGAGAGACCCTATATCCTAGACTGTCCTAAAGGACGAGTTTTCGTTCGTTCTAATTTATATTAATGTTGAGTATTTTAAAAAGACCGCCATAAATTAAAATTTTTTAATTTCGACAATATCGCCATCTATACAAAAACGGCGCAAACTACTCGACGAGTTACCGATCGATTCCCAGAAACAGTGGAGCACTAGCGCCATCTATCGGGAGCTCGTTGAAACTACTTGCCGAATAGTTTCCGCGATTTCTTGATAGATGGCGCTAGTGCTCCCCTGTTTCTGGGAATCGATCGGTAACTCGTCGAGTAGTTTGCGCCGTTTTCGTATAGATGACGATAGGGTCGAAATATAAAAATTTTAATTTATGGCGGTCTTTCTAAAATAAAAGTTTGTCAAGCAATTATTTTAATAATTTTTCGAACTCGTACTAATCAAGAGATCAAGGTATGTTTAATCTGTAGTCACTGTTAGCAAAAGGAATGTTTTCTCATTGAAATAACTGCATTATTAAATAATGTATAGTGTATAGCAAAATTATTTTTAATAATAATGTACATACGTGATAAAGCTATTTCGTTTAAAATGTTGTACGCAGTATTTAGTAAACTACCCTAAAATATTAATTACAGCATCATACGTACCATGTTATAATTATATTTTTCAAATATTAAACTTAATTGAGTTTAATTTATTATATTTATAAGAATTTTATTTATTAAAATATATGTATAACAGTACAAAAAAATGTGAATTAAAAAGTATTATAGTTTCGTTGAAAAAGTTGAGCAATTTGAGCACGATATTATTTTCTTCCTGTTTGATAAATATATTACTTTGTTCTACTTCTTTTAGTTTGCTTTCTGTAACAATTATTTGAAAAATATTATTTAAGAATAGGTAGTCAATACAGTATTATTTAATATCTTACAACTTACTTTCCAAAATTTTCTCCATCCTCAATGGTTTCGGGTAATTCACAATTCATTGTTTCTGGTAAGAAAAAGCATAATAGAGCACCAAGTAAAGGTCCTACTCCAAATATTACTGGTGGTAACCAAGGTTCAATCTTTCCCTAAAATTGAATAATAACATTTAGTGGAGTATGATCACATTGCATGCATAAAAACTGCATGAATAAAAAATATTACCATAGTCGCAATATAGGGCGCAATCATACTTCCAATTCTAGCACAAACACTTCCTAAACCTACTCCAACGTTTCTAACTACAGTTGGAAATGCTTCACTGCTATATAAATATATTGTGGGAAAACTAAATGACATTCCTGCAAGTCCTAATGTAGCTAAAAATACTGTATAATCCGAATTTGTTATCACAGTCAGTGAAAGTAAACTTAAAGCAGATAATAGATTACCACCCATTAAAATTTTTAATCGCGATACACGGGATATCAAAAGTAAAACTACTATAGTGCCAGGTACTTCAACAGCAGCTAAAAATATCATTATACCTTAATAATTTTTATAAAAAGTTAAACGAAAGAACATTATTCTTCTTTATAAAGCTTACCCGATATGGCAACATTCACAAAGATATTACCATCAATGTAACCCATATACTGTGCTAATCCAAAGAAACAGCTACCGCAAACAAACCAATTAATACATATACAAATAGTTTTCAATCTTAGATTTGGTGTTCTAAACAAATGTGTAATATTGTATTTCTCCTTATTTTGTTTGTGACGAATTCCTCTATTACTTTCATATGTTTCAATTGCTATTTTAACATTTTCTACCGGTATTTTATTTCTGCCAGCTGCTTTCATTAAAATTTGTTCTGCTTTTGATAATTTACCAACGGCAAGTAACCATCTTGGTGATTCAGGTATAATCCTGCAACACATGCAAGAATAGTCAAGTTCATTTTGATTGAAACATATTAGTGTATAATTAGTTTTACATACCAGTAGTATGACAATAAAAATATTGATGGTATAGAAACTGCCATTTGAAAACCATCCCATGTACGTGTTAAGTATGAAATTAAAGGATTCATTAGGTGACCAAGTAAAAATGGCACATGGAAAAGAACCGACATAGTTGATCTCCATTCTACTCCTACAATCTCCATAACTGTAATTTATTACATAGTTCATTGTAATACTTATAAAAATTATATTGTATTTACAATTTGAATAAATTGTTTACTACTTACGTAAAACAAAGCTAACAAGCATAGTACCACCTGTAGCTACAGCAGAAATAAATTTGAATATTACAAATAATTCATACCATGGAACAATTGCACTTATAATTCCAGTTATTGATTGCAGTCCTATTGCAATCATCAAGGGTTTCTTTCTACCAATTCTGAAAACGTACATGTCACTTCCAGTAATCTCATTTTATATTTATAATTTATAACAACTCTTAGCATACCTATCAGCCATTATACTGAAGACTAAATTACCAACAAGAACTCCAAACATTATACAAGATTGTAAAAAATTTGCTAATTGCTCACGGTCACAGACCAAGTCCCACTAAAAAATTGTAAAGTTATATTTAACAATTTGTAAATTTATTTTAAATTAAAGGGTCATACTCACGCGAGTTATAATGCTATCCTTAAATATACGCTTGTCGTATTTGAAACTTGTACATTTTTCCATAGTACCATTTCCTACATCTATATAACATTTCATTATTGTAGATTCATTAGTCATTGATGTTGGTGCAGCACATGAAAAATTGGTCGGTGGTGCAAGAAATATAATTGAAAGTTGATGCCAAGCTACAGGAAATTTTACTAGAGAAAGTGCTACAGCAATGACGATGTGCCACAGGCCCATAACGCCCATAGCATTTTGAACAACATCTAATGGTGTATGATCTGAAAACATATTTTTTCGTTATTAATACTTGAATTTTCAAATCCTGTTGCTATGTATGTACTATTCGAATTGCAATTACCGCCACTTGATTTTATCGACAGATGGTAAGTATCATCAGTAATTAATTTTAATTTCATATTTTCAAATTCGAATAGCAACGTACAGAATAATTTGTATTTAAGAAATGCAGTAAATAATGTCTTATAATATCAAGGAGGAATAATATTGAGAGGAATTATTTTGTACAATTATATTCAATTAAAACTAATATAATTCATAATATAATTAATGTCTTTATAACAACTTTATTGAGTATCATTAATCGTGTTGCAAGAGTAACTTTATTTTTATAACCGAACAAGTTTCTCATACAACTTTCCAAGAGCAATAACGGTACCTATGCGACATATACATGTGCATTATTCGCATTACCGTAATATGATCTTGAATTGGAGAAACGTTCATTGTGCATTTAAAAATTTAAATTTAGTTGGTCATAAAATATAAAAATATGTACAATAAAATTCACACAATCTGAATTTTCAATATTCTAATTAAATTCGATTAATTTACATTTTGAAATCTAGAAGCTAGTTCAGTTATATGTATATGGAAAACATATATAACAGCGCAGGCCGTTTATTAATAGATCATAGATAAATTATTAGAAACAAACAAGTAGTTGAAGAACTTCATACTGTGATTTTTGTGCCATGTTTATCTGTCATAATTTTCCGTAATGAACTGCATAATACCATAAAAATATTGAAACGCGGAAAATTTGATACGTTGACTTCGCTAACACAAAACATATTTTTGTTTTTCACCTTGGATAACAGCAGTAAAAGATAATCATTGTCATCGTAAATTGTCCACGGAAAAAAGAATTTGAAATGTTTACATATCATTCTAGATAAGAAAATCCTAAGTTGACAACTGATAAAATTGTGTCCCATTTAAACAAAATCACTTCAATTTATAGAATATTTGTACATAAATTATTTATTTACATTTATATAGAATAAAATAATACTTTAGTTAAATTTTTTATTTTAATTCTATGAATAAAGAAACGAATTTCTATATCTACCATTGTTAATTCAATTTTAATTTAATGTCAAACATCAAATTTCAATTGTTTTTTCTCGCATGCGTGTCGCGATGATGCAATTAAAGACGCGCGGATTGTACCACCAAATTAAATGTATATTTAGACTCACTCACATTTCAAATTCTAACACAAATAAATGGAGAACAATGCCAAATATTCCTACTTACCTCTCATCGCCTTTTCAAGCATTGTGTTTATAAATTTTGTTACTTTATTACTGTCCGTAAAATTACTAACAATGTACGATATCCAAATGCTTGATACCTTCGCTAACTGCCGTGCTGAAAGTCTTACACAAACTAAAAGAGCTCCAATACTCTATTCTTTATCTGTTTTATCGATCTAGAATGAAAGATTTCTGGCGAGATGAAAATCTCAAATTACCAAATACCTACCTTATCGATACTTTTGACAATCTTAATCACTTTTGATTGTTACCATATCACGTTATCTAATAACGTATGTTTTTAAATCATCGATTAAACCTTACCTATGAATGGATATGAATGAATAAATGAACTATGTTAATGAAACAGTCTGATATTCATTGTGCATTACATGATAAAAAATAATTACATTAGCGTAAAACAATAAATTAAAAATTATAAAAATGTATCTTACATTATGGTAGAGGTATTTATTTGTTATATGAAAAGGAACTGAGCAGTGTGTTCAAACCTCGTTTCGGTTGATCATTTTGTTCACCTTCAGGGCTCAATTTCCTCTTTTTCGATTCCGAAGATTCAGGCGTATTACGATTTGGGATCACCTCCTTTTCTTTGTATCTTGCCAAAGCAGCCTTTGTTAAATCTGCAGGACTTAATTCAGGAAACTCTTCCTGTAAACTTTTCTTGTTCTTAGCGTACCAACTAACAAATGTTTCTTTCTTCGGTGCATCTTTTGCTTGTTTCGCCTTCGGTTTTGAAACTATAAATGGTGCCGGTTTTTGTGGTTTATCCAATGTAATATCTAATCCAGCTAATCCTATTTTATTTTCAAGATAATAATTAATTTAATAATATATACATAATATCATGAAATAAACAGAATATAATGATCATACCTTTTACAGTTGGAGAATTTCCGCTCTTTAAAAATGGATTATTTCTTTTCATTGATAACGTTTCACTCATCGATAAGGGCTTAATTTCTATATCTGGCTTTTTAATAGGTAATAAGATTGTTGATGCATTAAGATCATTATCTAGAAGTTCATTGTCGCTTTTTATTTCTTCTTCATCGTTGTTCTTATTCTCTACTTCTTTTTCCTTTTCTTCCTCTTTTATATCAGCAATTGATTCTAATTTATTAGATAAAGCTATTCGGTTTATTCTTCGTGCATATTTAATTGCTAATTCTATAACCTTCTCTGATGCCATTTGTTCACAAAGTTCTACTGCTCGATATTCCAAATTGCTCTGGCAAGCGAGCTAATTGAATAAAATTATGAGATATATAAATAATTATTTAAATTCCGTACATGTATGATATGTAACATATTAAATATTAAACATACCGCAATAAGAGACAGCATTGCTTCATCTTCTTCTAATGGATCACTTCCCAACTTCCATAATTTCAATTCTTTTTCTGTCTTTTCGCTTTCAAATTCACAAAGCGGTGGAGTTAATGATGTTTCTGCGATGACAGGACGCGGTGTAGTTGGGGGATAATGACTTCCTTTGCATAAAACGCAACGCGCCATACCGTGTTGCTCAGAAATTCCAATTATAAAATAATGATCTGCTTTACCCTTGGACTAATTTAAATTCATTATTATTATTCAAATATACATATAATGTGATAAATATTGATATTACCTGCCCATTCATATTACTAGCAACTTTCCACAAAGAAGATCTTTTATTATAAACTTTAATAATATCATCAGCATCCATTAAAACTGGAGATCCAAGATCAGAAAGTCCTAACCACATAAGTTCTGATGAAGGTGATAATGGGAGACATAGCGTTTGACTATGTAAGGTCAATCTACGAATTTGAATCCATAGTAAATTCATGCATTGATCACCTGACACTCCTATACAAATATTTTGTTTTCATTAAAAAATTATTAGTAAGATCAATAGAGAAATAAATATTACCTATCCCACTGTGATAAGTAACCACTAGATTATTTTTGAGTCCATTCATTGCCACCACAGGACCTGGTAAAGCTATCATTTCACGCTGCGTTCCGGCGACTGTAAAAATTCTTAAATATCTCTTAGACGTTGCAAGTGCTACGAAATTATCACCAGCAGCGATACATTGTCCTTCCTCATCCTCAGGAAGATTTAACGACCATTCTTTGTTTCCAGACCCCCAGCCTATTTATTCATTAGTTGTAGTTATCTTAAGTGAATTGGTCAAAAATAATTATTTCATATAATACTAACCTTGTAATGATATTACAACAAGTTTACTTTGTGTATCACTACTTGATGGACAATTTAGTGCCAATGCTTGGGATGATAAAGCTGCTATTGTATGCCTTAAGTAATTATTAATATGCATACTACGATGGATCGTCACATCATGAAACTCTACTTCAATACTACATTCATCACCATCTTCAGAAGTAAAACATCTTACCATACCAGTATCATTCCAAACCTATATAAATTATCATTGTATATAAAATCTGTAATATACAGTTTTATTGATATTGGATTAAGAAAAAATTTACCATAAAACGGGATAGTAAATGTAATGGAGATGAGCCAGGTTGAAATGGTGGTTGTAAATGAATTTCAGATGGAAGAACATTTACATCATGTTGTGATTTTTCAGATGCTGCATCAGATTGACTTTTATCATCTTCATTATCTACTGATGCTTTAATTTTACTTAAAGATATAACATTTTCTCCATCATCATTATCATCATCATCTCCTAACATATCAGTATCATTATCTCTAATATCTCCGTTTGTTTCTACATTTAGCACATTACTTGTTGACTTATCATCGAATATCTAAAGAAAATATATTTGTTAAAATAATGGGAAGAAAACAGATTTTAAATATATTTACCACATCTACACATCCTAATTGACCCAAAGAATCACAGAATGCTATCTCATCTGGTTTATCAATATTCCAACATAATGCAGTAATTTTGGAATTTTGTTGGTGTTCAATATAGCCAATTAATTCCTTTGTTTGTGTATTCCAAACAATTATTTCTCCATTTACTGAACTAGCAGCTAATAATGTACCGCATTCAGAAAATTTACAAATACTAATTTCCTATATTATAAAGAATAATATTATTTCTTTTATATAAAATGTACAGATAAAAAGAACTTACACTTTTTATATTAATGCACTTTAAACGAAATAATTCCTTCCAAGAAGATCTTTCCACTATAACTATGTCCCTTGAAGATGGATATGCAAGACAACTTCCATCTTTAGGGTGAAATGAGGGTACACCATATGTTTTAGCCAAAAAAAATGAGTTACATTTGGGTACAATATTAGGCCAAATATTTATAGCTTTCTTTTGTTTAATACTCCATACACGTACTGATCCATCTGCACTTGATGATGCCTAAACAAATCATATTTTGTAATGGCTATTGCTATTAAAAATAAATTGCTGATTAATTAAATATACTTCACCACAAATTCTTCTTTGGGATCCAATGATAGACCCAATATAGGAGCTTCATGCCCTAACAGCTCTATGTTATTTGATGTACTAATATCAGTAACTTGAATTCTCATATCACTGTAACATATATTAAACATGAGTTTATTATATTAATTAAAAATCATTCAATTAATGTGTTGCATACCAAGACCCTGATACTATAATGTTACTATTTTTTGATGTTGCTAATGCTGATACAGGGGCTGAAAACCTAGTGACTATTCCTTCTTTTTCAAGATCAGGATAATTAAGTATTTGAACAATATTATTGTCATTGCCGACAAATATTTTTCCATTCTAAAATTAAGATATTTATAAGACATTAAGGATATAAATAGATACATGTGTAAATATATTTCATATTTAAAATACATGTATACCTTTGATATAACTGATATAGCCTGTTCAGAGACACAGCTTGCAGCTGGATCATCATCCATCAAGTTCAACCAGGATCTAACATCTCCATCTGATCCACAAGTAACAAGTCCTCCCCTATAATCACAGGTACTTTTAAAATATTTATTCCTTCTGTTGTTTTACTTTATTACGTTAAACTCTTCTGATATAATGACACAATTTTAATTATGCATATCAATCAATATTGGTATTGAAAATTATAAACAAAATATATCTTTTTAGACATGCTTTCACTTACTTTTCACCCGTAAAATAACAAACATGCGTGTGTCCTTCAGGATGTGCATAACGCATGGGTTTCTTTATTAATGGCATCGTTTAATAATTTAATTAATAACTTTTCAAAACATGTATTCGTATATTTACTTTGCTAAATCTCTAATTATAAACTTCGGACTCTTTATACCCATACTTTGGCGCGCATTCTAAATCTTAAGTTCGATTAGAAAATATATAAATCCCTACGCATATTTTTTATATAAGATGTAAAGAAAATATATTAAATGAACGCTAAATAAATTTATTTAAAATTACATCAATAATTATATGTACAAAACGTTTAAATACATTCACAATACGATAAGAATTTGTAAAATCTTCGTAACAAGCTAGGAAATTTCTTAATTATATCATAGCCTTTTAAAGCACATGTTGAAACACTGCTTCTGCTGCTATATTCCGTGCATTTAGTAGCAGACGCAGCCTTTTCTAGGGTGACCGAAGAGGCAATGAGGAGTTTGTAAATTTCGTTATTATAAGATTTAAGTTTATATATTACAATCATCATGATTTCAAAGGCTGCAGTAGGTATTGCTGTTGGAATAGCTGGAATATTTGTTGGATATTGCTTTTACTTCGATCAAAAGCGTCGTAGTGATCCAGATTTTAAAAAGAAATTGCGTGAACGTAAGTCAAGTCTTCGTTTCTATTTCCATAGAGAATTCTCTACACCATGTGATGTATTTTTAATGGATTTTGTATGTGATTCTATCTAAAATACTGATTGTTATATTCACTAATTGTTTTGATAATAGTGATTGTTAATGAAAAATAATTATCTTCGGAAAATTACATTTTACATCATTGTTAATATTCTGCAATGCACGTTCAATGTTTGTTTTAATCCTCTTAATATCTGAGGATGATATACACATTTAATTTATTCAATGTATATTGTTTCATATTTATAGGTAGAAAAGCTAAGAAGCAAGCTCAAAAAGCTAATTCAAAAATTCCAGATTTAAAAGATCATGAAGTTGTTCAAAAATTCTTCTTCCAAGAGGTTAATATTATATATTTTAGTGTTTAATTATCCATTGATAATGTTTTTGTTAAATTATTCTAATATGTTTTAATTATTATAAGGTTCAACTTGGAGAAGAAATGCTTTCATACGGTGATATAGAAGGTGGAATTGAGCATTTAGCAAATGCAGTTGCTGTTTGTGGACAACCTACACAATTATTGCAAGTTCTTCAAAAAACACTGCCACCACAAGTTTTTCATCTTTTATTGCAGCGAATACCAGCTATTAGCCAGGTATGTGATAAGATTAATATTTTAATGGGGTAAGGAACGAGGAAAAATTTTGTTTCTTGTTACAGAAGTTATCTCAAACTGCAATGGCTGAGGAAGATGTTGAATAAAATAATACTAAAAATTACGTTGACTTTTAAAATAAAATCTAACTATTAGTAGAAGTGTATGCCTTCTTTTGATAATGTAGACATTTGTGTGACTTTAATCTTGTGAAACTTTCTAATTGTGTGGCATGTTTTCCTTGATTAAACTTCCATACTCCTTAATATTACATATTAATAATCAAGAATGTGATATACATTTATGTGCATTTAAATTTTAAATAGAAAAGTATTTTATATTAATTTGTTAACTATGATGTTCATTTAAAAATTACAGTTAACTGCCACAATGATAAGTCATACAAGTAAAATATTTTTGATTAAGGTGGCAATAAATATATAATACACAAAACTTAGAAAGATTTCTGGTGTCACACAAGATTTTCTTAATCTCTTTATATGACTGTAATAAATTGTTCATATTTGTTAAATGTGTAGCAATTTTAAGAGAGAACAGAAATGGAGAAAAATAATTGAACTAATACTAAAATTAAATAATGTGTTTGATTTTATAGAAATTTCAAAATGTATAATTTTATGCATTAGTAGTAGCATGTTGAAACATTAGGCTCATTCAATAAGGAATTCATATGAAATGTGATCAGCATTTACAAATAGCTACAGAAATGCAGTTATGTCTATATATTCTTAATAAATATATTTTATAGAATTTGCACAAATTTATGCAAAAACATGTATTCTACCTTGTGAATATAAAAATTGACATCCTTATAATAGATGTATTAAGCATATGTACATGACATTATTTTCAACGGTACTCACTAGCAAATTAAACACTTTATAATTATTTTTTTGTATAAAAAATGTTCTATTCTTATAAACTAAAGGCAATAAGAAAGAATTATATCTAGTATCAAATAAAAACGGTTTTTCTTAAAAACTGTATCATGTAAAAACAAAATGAATGTTATTAATAAAAGAAAAAAATAAGTTCAATAATATCCTATTGTTTTTACATGTAAAACAACTTTACATTGTCGATAAATACATTGAGGAATTAATACTTACTATCTTTTATTAAAAAATTATGGATATGAGATCTAGGTATATAAAGATCTTTCCACAGATTAATATATAATATATAATTTTTTATTTCCTTTCATTCCCTTTAATGTACAATAGTAACTATACTGTACACCATAACTGTACAGAATTTTTTCTTCAAACAATAAATTTTTTATAAATTATCCAGATGTAAACAACTGACAAAACAACAAAGTAAAATAACAAACTCAAATATAATTTATAGTACATATTTTCTAAATATATTTCATCATAATACTATGTATCAATATAGAACAGTTTTCTTGATAATGATATTTGTTTAAAAAAAAGTAACATGTACATATATGGAATAGCTTCAGTTATAACACTATTATATTTATGACCTTTATGCTATATTACACAATCATTCAAACAATGCAACAATATTTTACATGATTTTAAAATGAAAATACGGCAGTGTATAGCTTTCACTTAAACTGGTTTTACTATTGGCAACATTTGTTTGTGTGTAACTGCTAAAATTATGAAATAATGATATGACAAAATCGGTAAACACTTAAATTATAACAAACTGTACAACAAGGTATTATCGATTTTTTTTACACATCATAATATTTTGTACTTTTTACACTGATCAAATCTTACTATATACATTTTCAGAATGTTTTCATCATCAAGAAAACCTTATATTTCAGTACTATTCATCACTTCTATTTAACAGTTAAAATTTCATTTCTAGCTTCTTCCATAATATCGAGAGCATTCTTTTCTATAAGACTTTTTGCAAGATCTTTACCAAGTTGTTCGGCACCTGTAAGACTCATATTGCTTACTTTACCAGGTACAACACTGCAGTAAAGTTTCGGTTCTCGATATGGACATTTTCTGTTATGTAATGAATGTACATTTTTATTAATTTTCCGAAAAATAATACTTTAGGAACGAACACATCTAAGTTTACTTACTTCGGAGGTTCTCCATCATCATCTGGTATATAAAGTTTGCTTTTAAAGGTATCTTTAACAAGTTTCTGTCCATCTAAAGACCATACAGCACCAGTAATAGTTAGATTCTTATCTTCTAAGGTCGAGGAAACAGCGACTGGCGCTGAACATCCACCTCCCAAGGTTTTTAGAAACGAACGTTCACATACACATCTTAAAGTTGTGTCTACATCGTACAATGGTTCCAATAGGGACAATATTTTCCAATCTGCTTCCCGACATTCAACTCCTAATGCACCCTGCCCTACAGCATACAATGTACCTTCCGGTTCTAATAACTATAAATACCGGAAATAGATATAAATAATAATAAAAAAGGTAATAACAATTTTATATAAAGTTACAACAAAAATTACCTGACTTATTCTATTTTCCCAATTCATTCTTTTTAAACCAGCAGCTGCCAAAATAATTGCTGCAAAAGGTCCATTTTCATCGTCCAGCTTTCTTAATCTAGTATTTAAATTACCACGAATATTTTGCACTTTTAAATGTGGCATGTTACGAGCTAATTGAGCCGATCTGCGTAACGAACTAGTACCAATAACACTACCTTCTGGTAAGGTAGATAATGTTTTGTCTTTGTACTTTTTAGACATAACAACTGCATCACACGGATCTTCGCGTCTGTAAATTTTATTTTAAATTTTAATTAATACAAGTTTTATGTTGCTTTTTTTTCTTGTGAATTAGATAGATGAATTGAGGTAAAATTTATTTGTATATCAAATACAAAGATATAACATATTTAAAATCATACAAAATAAAATATGTACAATATTAATGTACAGAGATATTATAATTGACAAAGTATAGTCAAAATGTTTCTACGTAAGTAATATGCATTTCATGTATGCAATATATCTCTTTTATGAATATGATAATTTTATTGCAAATTTAAATTTTAAATCTGTAATCATCCATTTTGGAATAACAAAGCATGAATAGCATGTTAATATGTAGTTAATTTAATTTTATGCTTACTTTAATATTGCCCCTAGAACCATTCCTTTTGGTAATGATGTTGGTAAATCTTTTAATGAATGTACTACAAAGTCAACATTGCCATCTTCTAAAGCAAGTTCCAACTCTTCTGTAAAAAGAGACTTCTCACCAATTTTAGGTAAAGATTTATCTAAGATCTTGTCTCCCTTTGTGTTCATTGTAACTGCAAATTATAGTATTTAATACGTATTTAGTAAAATTTTATTAAAAATTTTGCAAGAAATATTAATCGTTTTTCAGGAAAAAGAATTTATTTATAATTTTTCTTACCTATTTCAAATTTATTTTCTGGATTATATTCTTTTAAACATCTTATCACATAATTTGTTTGAATCAGAGCCAACTGAAATAATAATTACAAGTACTTCAGATATGTAATGTAAATTTTGCATTTTTATTAAATGTACAATTTTGTCATATTCTTTTACAAAATGATGGTTAAATAATTAGATCAACTAAAATACTGCTGCTTGTTGGAAATTGAATATTGCATATGTAAATATTCAATGTATCAAGCACTAGTAAAAAGTGCTGAGTAATGCACCATTTAAAACAACAAATGCCACTTCTAACATTTTACAAATCATGCATTACATCATTTATTCATGATATGAATTTTCTATTCGGATAACAGGATAAAATACGTATAATCATATTTCGAATTAAATTTGAATAAAATATTTTGCTTCCTGTATCCTTAAAAAATAATAGTAAAATATGTTTATCTAATTGTTATTGCTTCCGTTATTATTATTACATAAGTTTCTAAAAATGAAAGTATTAAATAAGAACAAAGAATATGACAAAAAACATACTGTCAAAAAAGAAAACGTTTTGTACATTTATGTACCTGGCTTTGCCGAGATCCTACTCGTATTACGTCACGTGTATCCGTCATCACAGCAATTTAAATTCCTTCACGTTCTGTATATTGATTACAATAGAATCTTATCAATGATTATTATTATGTAACAAAGTTACCCTATTTCGGAATGTGTCAAATGTAATTCTGTTTAAAGGACAAAAAGAACCGAATTTAGGTCAAAGACACGAACAACTTTCACTACATTGCTACACTTAAAAGTAATCTCCAGGATATACTTACAAGAACTTGAATTCAGTATTAATAAATATATAAAATATTTTGAATTCTATTAGATGTAGCAGATTTCACAGTTACTGACACTGCAGCAGATCGTGAAAATAATCAATTGATATAAAAGGTACTACATTCTTAAGACGCCATATTTTTAGTATGAAACGGCACTGGAGAACGTGATCACTGAAAGCGACCAACTGGAATGAATCAGAATGAATCGAGAATGGAATGCTGATACCGTTCCGACCAGTTCCGACTATGTAATCGCCAAGCGAAAGGTCTGACGGTGATTTAATGTTTTTTGAATGTGTATGTTGAATGCAATATTGAATACAATGGCGGGATATTTAAACAAGTAAAGTTTTTTCTTTTTAATTTCGCTTTTCAAACTCACATTTAATATAATTAATAATAGTTACATTATCAGTAACAATAATCAAATGTAATTTAAGGGTAATTAGAAGCTCTGATTGAATTATGGTGTGTGTAAATAAAAAGCAAGCAGTGACTACAGATAGTCACTGCTTCAGTGACTACGCAAGCTTATTAACTATAATACAATCAATCTCTACAGTTTTTGTAGATATAAAATTTCTTTATACGGTGCTTACAATATTTGCTTTGAATACTCAAAATACTTTGTTGAAAAAAGATATATGTGATGTATCAAATATTTCATATAAAAACAGTCACACCTCAATATGTGAATATTCCCTAAAATTATCTTTCATTATTATATTTATTGTAAAATAAGTTACAATAAATAAACATATATTGCAGAATGAATGTTTCTTTTCAAATACTGATTTATAGTAACATTCAAATAATACAAAACTCATGACTGACAATTTGAATTTTATAGCAGTTAATGTACAAATACTAAACACAACAAATCACATATACAATATTTTTTTAATGAGTATTGCACATTGTTAACAAAAGAAAAGAAAATTTTAACAAATATACAAACAAAAACATGTATATAAAACTGTTTTCACTTATACCAGTGATTTAATTGCTGCAGTAGTTCTTGATTAAAAATATATACTATCTGTGCATAGTACTCCATATATAAATAAAAATATTCAGATGCTAATTAAATACTAAATGATTAATTTGTACATATACACTTTTCTTTTAAATAAATTAAGCTTTTAATGTTATAGTAACATTTAAAATTATTCGAATAAAAAAGTAGTAAATTTAATTTACTACTCATATTGCTGCATTAGCGAAGCCTATTGTAATATACAACCACTTGCATTTTTGGGGTCTTTAGTGCTGTGATGAATTTCATCCTCCTTGACAGGAGGTAAATTTTGTTCTTTTTCAACTTTTGCCGAAGTTAAGCCTGATAATGTTTTATATACATCCAAATTCCATACAGGATGATATGATTGCATTTGAAAATCGATAGGACTCACTAAACCGAATGTGGCTTTGGTATCTAATACTGGAATTTCTCCTGGTATTTTATGATGGTAACTATAAAATAGAAATAGAAATTAAATAATCTATTACAATACGTGTAGGTATAAAGTACTTACATTAAACCGTTCTCTCTGTTACATTTGTCGAGAGTAAGTTTTACTATAGGGGCTAATCTTTTGAATACAGCATGTTCATCTGGCTTTACTTTAGGTGCCGGACCATTTATTTTTCCATACTCTTGACATAATATTTTCGCCTTTTTTAAGCAAGCTTCACTTTCTTGTAAAGCTTTAATTGCTTCCCCACATTTATCCATAGCCAATAAATTTTCGCCACAATAATTATAAGCCTATAAAGATAAGCGAAGAAAAGTATAATTTAATTTCTTATAATTAATATTTCCAACATTTCACTTACATAAGATTGATAAAATGCTGCTTTAAATTCTAAATATTTAATCCATTGACCTGTTATTTCTGATTTAAACGAACGTAATGTATTAGCTGCATCCAGAAATAATTTACTTGTTTCATTAGCCAAAGCTGATATTAAACTGGCATTATGCTTTAGTTCCACTGCTCTTGCTACAGTCACTGTAATATATTGTATATGAAAATTAATAGCCATGAGGAAAAGTAATAATTATATGTTATAAATATAGGCAATAAACCTTCTTGTGCTTCTGCTGTACACTGATTCACGTATGCATTTAATATTCGTGGATCTAAATCACTTCCTAATGGTGGAGGATTTGCCAATTGTGGTAAAAATTCTGTTTGTACAAAAGTAAATATTCCTGCAGCCCTTCTTAGCATTGTATGTACATCTTTTGCTTCGTTCATATTTATGCTGAATTATATTTATATTGTATTATACTTTTTATAACATTAATTTTATATATTCAAGATTGATTATACTTACTCATCTTTAGCAGCTAACATTGCAGCATGTTTCATAAACCAAAGTCCTACATTTACACTCATATTAGCTGCTTCATAAACAGAATCAGCACTAGAACTATAATATGAAAGTGATATTTTAAATTATGCTCAATATTTATTCCTGTTCGCAGAATAACATATGTAAAAATTATATATTACTAAGTGTTTGTTCCCAATAATGTCTGTGTCCACTTATATATAAGAACATTTCTGAGTTTACTAGGATTTGGCCTGCCAACATGTTGATCTTGTTCTGCTACTGAATTTATCTCCCATATAAATCCATATAATAAACTTAAATAGCTATGAAAAGCTGGTTCTATGGTATCGCTGGAATTATTTGGATTTTTTATTACATCTAAAAGGCGAATTCTTGATAGTTTTAAATCACTGAAAGATAAGAAAGTTAGATAAATGTATTGTGGAAAATATTAATAATTACAGGTACCATATAATTATTTTTAACAGTAAAATCATTTATTTTATAGTATAGTATAATATAGACACTTAAAATATTAATTAAGCCCGCAAAGAACAAAATGCGTTTTATTACATCTAATAAATATAGCTAACCTGCACAGTTTTCTTGTAGCATCAGTTGGATTAGCTATTTTCAATTCAAATTTTTGGTTTGTTGTTGCTTTTAATACATTACGATGAAACCAATGTGCCATGTTCTTAATGATTTAAATGAAATTGTTCCTATTAATTGTATCTAAACAACTACTTGAATTATCCAGTTTGACAGATAAGGCATCAAGGTAAAGCAGACAACACAACATACCTACACAATCATACTGTACTCAATGAAAGATATTCCACTTTTTGAAGATGGAAGTAGTAGATCGTGTAATCTTTCATACATTCTGATTACGCTTAGAAGGGTGTGACAAAGTGTTGATTGTTATATTTATTATTTTCTACAAGGTAATAATCATACAATAGTGTAGGTGTTGTTATATATTCATAAATTATCATCCACTGATGCAACGATTTTGTCATGACAACTTCTCACATTTGTGATTTAACCTATTTAGTTTTAACATAACATATACAATATAAACATAACATTATTTAAATAATTTTTGTGTTTCGATTTATTAGCACTATAGTTTTATGAAAAGATTTTCAATTTATTTATATTATATATATATATATATAAAAAAAAATGAAAATAAGGCATTTACGAAAAATAACAGTATTTTATCTTCAAGTTAAGTTATTTATATTGAAATTTAATCTTAATGAATTATATGGCAGTATTTATGTAAAATATCATTGTATTTCTTTTAGATGGGTGAACCTACAGGATTAACAAATAGTGAAACACGTGAACTGTGTAAAGAACCTGATCCTGCAACGAATGGTTACTTCGTGCAACAAACAATGTATCGTATTAAAGATCCAAGAATATCATTACCATTTTATACCGAAGTACTCGGTATGCATTTATTACAGAAAATTGATTTTCCTGAAACCAAACTCTCTTGGTATCTTTTGGGATATGAGAATCCTAAGGAAATACCTACTGATAAAAGAGAAAGTATTGAATGGACATTTAGCCGTAGAGCTACTATAGGACTTGCTCAGTAGGTTTACAATTTAATGTATAATAAAGAATTGTTTAATATTATTATAGATTAGTAGTGTATGAAATATCAACATTTCCTTATAGTAACTGGGGAACAGAAACTGATCCTGATACCAAATTTCATAATGGAAATTCAAATCCTCAAGGATTTGGTAATATATTTTAACTATTACATAATTAAAATATATCAAATATAATAATTGAAATAAAATATACTTTTTTAATGCACAGGTCATATTGGAATTGCAGTACCTGATATTGAAAAAGCATGTGAAAGATTTGAAAGATTAAATGTTACATTTGTAAAGAAACTAAACAATACTAGGTTAAAAGGATATGCTATGATCAAAGATCCAGATGATTATTGGATTGAAATTATAAGTTCAACGAGTATTGCAAATATAGTATTAAATCATTAATGTTTATTATATGAAATATTTTCTTTAAATACCCTCAAATTCTAGGTTAGATTTTAGACAATGAAAAAAGCTGTACCTCGCCTTTGCACCATTGTTTTATATTTTTGCCAATTCTTTATTACTTTTATAATTACTGTTGAGTATAGTTGGGAAAGTATCCCGCCACTGATGGACAGAACCGTATACATACATATAATTTATGCGTATAAATAAGTACTTTATTATTTTTATGGTAACTGTAAAAAAAAATTGAAGAATCCATAGTATTAACTGTATACACCAGATGGTACCACATTAATGTTTATTGTAATATAACACTGTATTATCCGCTATAAAAATTGTGTTGTGTATAGTGTATTACACAGCTATCTGTACAAATTCAACGTTTGTTTTGAATAAAATCGGTAGCAAGTATTAAGCGCTTTTTAAATATGATATAAGTAAGTTTTACTTAGTAAATCATTGAGGTTAGATTTGTCAACATTAAACGTTTATAAATTTTGATATAGATAATATAATAAATATGAAAAGTCATGCTTGTGCCATTATTACTAACTGTGGTCATCACACTGATATTGCCTTAAAGATTTACAGGTAAGTAAATAATGTTTAATATAGGTTTACATTATTTACTGACATTTGTCCATTAATATTTTTCAGTAATCGTGTATTAATAATTGCAACCCATTTCAAGAAGTTTGGATCATTAATAACAGTAACTAAAGGATCTTCGTTTCATCAGTTTAATAATAGTATATTCTCTGCAAAGTGAGTATTTGTCTAATCATCCTATAATATATTAATTCCATATTAATTTGATGTAACAAGTATGTAACAAATATTTTAGGGTTTTGTTTGGAAGAGATGATATTGAAATTGTGGCAGCTGCTCGTTATATAGCAGAACAGATTAATTTAGATAAACCATTATTGATATCATTATCCTTAAAAAATTATGAACCAGATACTTTGAGAGCTATTGCTAATGCTCTAAAAGAATTAAAGTAATATTACTGTTATAAAACAAATGTGTAAATATGAGTTTGATATTTGGTCAATTAGTAATTGGTCCACCAGGAAGTGGAAAAACAACATATTGCCATGTTATGAGCAAGTTTTTGGAAAAACTTGGTAGAAAAGTGGCTATTATCAACATTGGTAAATAACTGATAAATGTTTTACTAATAAGTAATTTTGGTATTAATGATTTTTATAACATTTTTACATAATCAGATCCTGCAAACGAGAATATGGAATACACACCAACAGTTGATATATCTGAATTAATAAAGCATGAGGAAGTAATGTCACATTATGGACTTGGACCAAATGGAGCTTTAGTTTACTGTATGGAATTTTTAGAAGCTAATGTAAAATGGTTAATTACAAAGATCTTAAATCTAAAAGATCATTATATTATTATTGATTGTCCAGGGCAGGTACATGTACATATGTATTATATATTATGAAACATTTATATATTTTTAAGCTATAATTTAATGTTTTTCAATAGGTTGAATTATACACACATCACAAATCAGTCAGTATAATTGCTGAAAAATTAGCCCAAAATTTAGTAAGGTTATGCAGTGTACATCTTGTTGACTCTCATTATTGCAGTGATGCTGGTAATTATATTTATTATATTTCTTTCGTATAAATAATATACTAAAATGTGTTCATGTACCATTATTAATTTTTTGGGTTATAGGTAAATATTTGTCTTCATTAATTTTATGTACAACTACTATGCTGCAATTAGGCTTACCTCACGTTAATGTCATGACAAAATTTGATGAAATGAAAAAGTTCAGTCAGTGTCTAGATTTTAATATAGATTTTTATACTGAAGTACTCGACTTAAAATACTTGTTGGACAAACTGGACGAAAATCCATTTACATCAAAGTAAGTTTTAAATCTTACAATAAATATTTAGAAATGTTCAAAGTATGGAAACTTATGTATTACACGTTTTGCACTTTAGGCATAAAAAATTGAATGCAGCTTTTGTGTCATTAATAGAAGACTACAGTCTTGTCAGCTTTATACCATTAGATATTTCTAATCAAGCTTTATTATTGCAAGTAAAAAATGCTGTGGATAAAGCTAACGGCTATATTTTTGGTGGAAACGAACCGCAAGATGTTCAAACGTTACTTGCGTGCGCAGTGGGAGCAGCAAGTGAAACCGAAAAAACATCCACAATAGATGAGTACTTCTAAAGAATTTATTTTCTAAAAATAATCCATTTAATATTATTTTGTTCATATTAATATCATTTGATGTATTAATAAATATTTGGTCTATTTGGGAGGAAAATGCTGCAGTTTAATAAATATATTTTTATTAATTTATAAAACAACAAATTAGTCTTTTTGACTGACAAATATTTGCGTTAAACCGTCGTAATCATACACCCTCTTTAAAAATGTATCTACTAATTTTAATCCTGAAATGATCTAAAATATTACACATAATGATGTTAAATAGTATACTATTATCTTTTAAATGCCTATATCATTAAAAGTACTTACAATGATACCGCTACGTAATGGAATTAAGCATAAAGGAATATCTATTGATACTCCAGGTTTTAATGTTCCTATTGTTGTGTTAGATATTCCACACCATGCTATAGATTCATTCGATTCCAAGCTCAACATTAAATCCATACTTCTTTCCCTAGTAAAAACGATAAAGTTTAATAATTTGTCAAATTTCCCAATTATGGGCTATAGAAATAATGATTAATACTTACGACGTATTAATGATGTGACAATTAAAATTAACTGATTGTTCAAGATAAACTGTTAAAGGAATATCTTTCATAGTAACTCTTATATCGCCGTATTCAGGCGCCTAAAACGAATATAAAATATTTAGACGAATCGATTAATTAATTATAGGTGAAATAACACAATTTAACAAACCGTTCTTTGTAATTGACTTGTTTGTAATCTTCCTCTTTCTCCTAAGTTACTCCTCCACACAATATCAAATTTACCAATGTTTGTTGCATTATGCATCATTTTCGGATCTTTCAATAAACTTAACTGCGGTTTTAAGCAATATAAATATTGTCTACTGCAATCGGTATCTAATAAATTAACTAATCCATAAATGGATTCACCTTTTTCATTTGTATTTAATGTTGATACTGAAATGATTGTAATGATCACACGTGAGCTCAAAATCGGATTATTTAAAGTAATGCATAATGCACTTACCACTAAATAAATGAGATGACTCAAGTGAAACTTTCTCTAAACATATTGGCCCTGCTGTGAGATTTTGTATTTCAACTTCTAAATATACTTCATCTGACTTTAAACAAAAATTTTATCTTAATAAATCTCTCTAATACACAATTTTTTATACAAGGTTAATTATTACAAAAATATTACCTCTGCATTATAAAACTTTGTTTTTACATCTAATGGCTTAACTACTTGAAATTTAAAATATTTTCTAAACGATTGAGATATGCCTCCTAAATTTGTAGACGTATAAGTTACTTCACATACTAGTCTGAAAAAGGGGATCACTGCATAATAAACATACATTATAATATTCTTTAATTGTATATTCTTACATATGTGTTCCTATTTCTTTTACTTCGTGATGTATTACTTCATCAACTGTATTATCAGGTGCTAAATCTTTCATTTCTCCATTACTACCACAAAGAGGAATAATTTGAGTACTTGTTTGTAAATCTGCCTATGAAATGTTATTAAGAATGAATGATAACTTACACATATACAAAGTTTCTTTGTATATTAAAAGCATAAAAAGATATTACTTACTTTAACAGTTACATTTTTTACTAACTGATTACTTCCATTATGTACACAAAGATAACTTGAAAATATTTCACCTAAATAAATATTCCTGGGAAGAAATATACACACAATTTTAATGTGAAATTGTTGATATCTATTTACATATACATACCCAAAACTTTGTGGTAATACCATAAACTGTCCTACTGCAAGAGTTTCCATTCCTTGTAAAGCAGTACAATCATTTTTAAGCTCATTATTTAATGTATTGCCAGGAAGGTCTGTTGAATCACATGTAACAACTACTGGACTTGCAAGTGTGGGTCTTGTTAATCTCATCACTAAAAGATAAAAGCAAAATCAAAATATAACTGTCATCAATGTCAATATTTAAATAATCATTGATTATTTCTCTAATTAAATTTAAAATTATGTAAGAATCATTTTTATTACCTTTCAATTCTAGCAAATGTTCACTTTTTGGTTTAGTTTCCATTATAAATATTTATAATAAAAAATAAATATTTATTGAAATGAAGTAACAGTAGTTGACATTAAATGTTTCCTAAGGAATATAACCTGTGGAGCACTTAACATTCGGCTCGATTCGACTGCTAAATCAATAATTGAATATATTAATCATCAGATTACTTTTCAAGATGATGTTATAACAGTTTTCTCACAATTTTCTGTTGTATAAAACAACGATGCGTGTATAAACTCTAATAAAGCATAAAATAAATGAAATAAATATGCAATAAAATCTGTTAAACTTCTAAAATCTCTACGAGAAAAGTTTGTAGCAAAACGAAATTTTGAATATTTATTGAATTATTTAAATACTTCAAGCATAAAATTAGGAATGATGTATTCACAACATTGCAGTCACAATATTAAAAACTGTTACATTAAACTTTGACATGTAGACTTTTATTGAAATTTCACAAGAGGGCGTACGCAATGCATTCTCCTGCATTGTTAAACGAACCTAATGCATTTGTAAACCAAAGCTTATTGCATCTTGCTTGCTAGGTTTGTTGATGCATAATTATATCAATGAAATGATATAATTATATGGAATGGCCGAATTGCATATAATTGGTAGGATTTTGTCTGCTAAAAATTTTAAACAATCACAACTTTTATGCAAGTGGAGCTTTCATGCTGGTAATATGACTGTTATCATATAAAATATTAATTACCTGTTTTTCACATGATACTGATTACATTTATTTTTGTAGGTAATGGATGGAAAGTTTTAAATGGTTGCGAAGAAGGGCAAACTCAAGAAAGCTGTGACTTATATATTAATGAACCAGTTTGGGATCATCCCATAGATTTACATTATACAACTCAGACCCTTCAAAATTCACCAAAGCTTTTACTGCAAATATTTTTTAGAGATGAACATGAAAGAATATTATTTGGGGCTTATGGAAGTTGTAACATTCCATTATCCCCTGGATTACATTTTATAGAATGTCATACATGGAAACCAATTGGTAGGTTGAATATTTCCTGAAAAGTATTTAATTTAATATTATGTTATTATTTGTATGTGTGCAGGTAATTGGAAGGACAGATTAAAAGATAAATTTTTGGGAATAACTTTACAACTAAAATCTCCAAATGTTTTAGTTAATTGCTTGGATAGATTTGAACTGCTTACAGAAAGCATGGGTACAGTTAAAATTGAATTACATATACTTACAAAAAATTTTGAGAAATATGGATGTCATTTATAAATGCATATTATATTGCTAAAGAATATTAATATGTATATTTAAAATGAACTTTATGTAAGACTACAGAAATGTTTACAAACATATTTATATTAACGTTTTTTTATCTTATGCTTAATCAATTAACATATACAAAAAAACTTGAAGAAATATTTACATGTGCAAATGAAACAGAATGTGATGAATTAACAGAAAAAGATATTTCACAAGAAACATTAAGCACCCCAATTGATAGCATTTATAATACAACTAGTGTTAATACAAGTACCACTACAAGTAGTTCTGTATATCCAATACAAACTACAAAGCTTAACATATCATCTATACAAAAATCTCACAAAATTAAATACAATGATAAAATAAAAAATCATACTATACATAAAGTACAGTCAACTATATGTGAATGTGATTTAACAGTGAGTTTATATTTTTCATGAAATTTTAATAATTATTACTATTATAATTTAATATCTTCATTTTAAAATAGGTGTCATCTTGCAACATTAATTGCTGTTGTGATAAAGATTGTAACGAATTCCATTTAACAACTTTTTCACATTGTGAAAATCATGCAGCAGAATTATATGACAAACGTTATTGTTATCACAGAAATTTTATAGAACGAAATAACACTCCATTTATACTTGAGAAACTGGCAAACAATCTGTTTTGCATTTTATATGACAATCTTCCACCAACATATAGCATTAATAATGATTTGGTAGTTTATATTTAATAATTGTTACTCAATTTTTATAATTCATGTCTTACTAAATTTTTCACTTTATGCAGAATATAAAAACAAACAAAGATTTAAAAGAAGCTATAAATCCAAATAGACTGACATGGAGATGGAAAGACCAATTATATGTACCTGAATATAACAATCCTAGTCTCTATAAAGATGATGACATTATATGGAAAATACAGAGCAATTATGTTGAACCTTTGGGTGGGTATTATTCTGGATATTATATTTTTAATTATCAATATGTTAATAATTTGTTTGTAATTCAATTTAGAAATACTGCAATCTGGATTTACTGAGTTATGTTCATTTAAGAAAACTGTAAAATATCTTCGTGAATGGAAAGAACAGTGCTTGCAAACTGAATTAATTAATACAAACGAATTTCTATTTCCTGCAGCATTTAATAATTTTACTGTTATTATATCTCCTCATTTATTAAATGAAACTTACATTAAGATATCAAATGAGGTATTTATAAAATTTATATGTTTTCGTGTACTACATACATATAATAATATTTAAAATTATTATTTACAGAGTTGCCCCAGAAACGTGTGCTTATCTGTAAATAATTACTATTGTAAATATTCTTGGAAAACATGCAATAATGATACTATATTAGGATCTTGTTCTAATGGAATATGTTACAATATTGTAACAGGTGTAAAGTATTTAATTATTCACAATGGTTCCATGGGGATTAATAGTTTTAATGTATATTTTAATATAGGAAATGTTTCTCGAAGTTTCTATCAACAGTTCGAAGTAAGTTATGAATGGGCAGACATAGATAAAGAGAAAATTTTCTCTCTGAGCGGTAATCCCGGTTATATTTTTGGAAAACCATTAATTAGTGGTGTTTTAAAAATAAATAAGACTAATAACGTGGAAAGCAGATATATTAATTTTAATAAAACTAATGGTTATTTTACATTGCCCATAGCTACAAGGCATGGCGAATGTAATGATGTCAACAGATATGTTCTTGCTTTTGGGGAAGATGTTAAACTAAAATGTTCTGCATCTTTACAAACTAATAATTTCAGTACAGCGTCTTGTATAGAGTTACAAAATCGTATAATGTTTTTCGCATTGAAGGATTCTTTACTTAATGTCACTCAAATAAATCAATATAGTATTTATATTTCTAAGTCAGGTAACTTTTCCAGCAATAATACTGCTGATTGGGCACAAATATTACTTGATAGGATACCTCAGAATATTGTCACGGGACAATTAATTAATGGTCGATTATACTGTTCAGGATTAATAACATCTACACGTTTAGATATTTTGTACTCTGCTTTAACAAAACCAAAAACTCTGACCAATTATAATATATTAGGAGTAGGTATTACTTTTTCAGAAGAATCTGATGTATTCTGGTCAAAGTGTATGACTGAAAACTGTACAGATATGTTAAAAGTAGATGTTATTAATTACGTTACATTTCATGACGTATCGAAGCCGTCCAAATACTATTTTGCAGGGAGTCCTAATTTAGATCTTACCTTACCATACGACTTTTTTTATCCGTTTTTAAGTAGGTCAAAATGTATTGAACCTAGTATATTTTTAATTATTATATTACTCATTATATCTTTGCACAATTTTTTGTATTGATCTCATGTAATTGTTATACTACCCACTATATCTACTTATTAATAATATTTAATGTAAGCAAATAGAAAGTTTGGTGTATTTAAAACAAATAAAAGGAAAAACTGTGTGATATTGTATATTTTATTATCTCTGTTTTGTAAAAACAATTCTGTAGTTTTAGTTCATTTATTAAAAAAAATATATAAGTACAAAATATGAATGTGAATTTCAAATTCAAATACGAATCTGTATGATTAGTGATACAAAATAGAGATAACAATTATCATGATTTCATACAATGATCTTTTTTAACGATTTTATACAACTATACATGCAGTAAAATTTTAGAATATTAAATGATTGATTAAAAATTGTATTGAGCGTATTTTTAAAAAATCATCCCAAAACAGAAGAAAATTCACTAATAGAGTTCTATCCAATGGGAAAGGCGTATTTAAATCATCCGCCAATCACAAGAAGCTGATTTCTTCTCTAAAATCTCGGTACGAACTCCTGCAGCTGTCGTGATGCACTATGGGATGTTGGGTTGTGCTTGGCTCCAATACAAGATGGCTGACACTTGTTAGTAGTGTATTTTCGTTTTATCGAATGTGCATTTTATAAAAAAATCAGTGCCTTCATATCCACGTATGGTGCATGCATGTTTGCATAACTAGTAGAGAAGAGGTCTTTCTTTTTTTACGGAATTGTTTTCTTATCATGTATTATCAGGAGACATCAAAATGTGCCGTGAAAGTGCTAGAGGCAGAATAATTACCCGTCACCAGCCATGTTCATATGTGTTCTTTTATTATGACAATTGTGATATAATTCTCGTGGAATATAGTGCCAAGGTGAAGTGATATCTCGCGTTATTGCGCTTCTACTTCATCACTGGTGTTTTGTAGAAGATTCGTTAAACTACGAAATAGATTAAATGAAAGGTATGTATTTACTCTATCCTCTTTGGAACGCCTATTCGCGAGTCATTCTTCAAACCTTTCATCTGTGTATTTTCTTTTTTTCACGATTGTCTTTTCTGTAATTTTATGCTTAAAATATCTAATAAGTACCTGACCTATTAACCTGTTATATTAAATAACATGATGTCATGTATGGTTTCTCAGTTTCTCTTTGACATATTCTATGAATTTTAATCGCTGTCACGCGTTGTTTTATATTTTTTTCGAATTGAATGTACTTAATTGTATATTATCCAATAATTTATGAGACTCTTATGAATGGTATAAATAAAGTCCTACATTTTAATATCTCTTTCAAATAATCATTATTTATATCAAAAATAGATTGTTTATTACATTTAACATAAAAAATAGTTCGATTCAAGTCAGAGAATAAGTATACTAAACATGGCAGTAACATTGGTAATGAAATTTTATCATGAGGTATTATTAGCTGAAGGGTAATTCATCATAATTTAATTTCTCTAAAATTTACAGTTTTGTAAATTGAGAACTTTAGTTTATTAATAAGTTAGAGAATAATCTCTTATTACTTGTCTAGCATAATACTTTTGGATAATTATATGATCTAAAAAAAAAAATAATTTCAATAAATTTACTTGACAGTAATCTATACTTAAGATTAACTCGAATACTTCAAACACAAATGTCAATTGTTTGCGGTATTTTATTTATCACGGTGCAATATTGTTGCAAAAGTGTAGCATGATAAATTAATAATCTTGAGATTGTTTTGAATGCAATAATAATCAAGAAAATTGATCGGAATATCATTACTGCGCACGATTCGTTCAAAATTTGCCGTGAGAGCATTCGACTCACGTCTGACACGAACCATGTAAATCACGAATGCGATATCGAAGTTACCACCGAAATACTAAACCAACCTTACGGTAAGCTATTGTTTTCAACAAATTTTAAACAGGATCAATAATTTCCACTCCGCGTTACATTTGTTAATTACGAGAAAACATAAAACGAGAAGATAAAAATATAAAAACTCAACAATTTGTTTTTTATTAGGAGAAGTGCGTGGGGTATTTAGGAAACATAACCTTATCCGCACATTATGCCGCGCTCAATTTAAAAATATTTTTTTATTATATATGATATTACACATTTTTTAAAATAATACTCAGTGTAAATAAATAATGAGAAATATATCTAGATAAAGCCTTTTTAAGGTAATTGATTTTTTTTTTAAAATCACTTAAATTGTAATTTACATTATTTAAATGATAGAATAAGAATAAAATCGCGTTGAAATTTTCTCGTCCTTGATAAAACTGGGCACCGAGTGCATTAACTCTGTACGCGATCGTATTACGGTGCACCACTTATACAGAATTAATTATCATTTAATTTTCAGCAATATTTTACCGTTTGGTACGTACATATACTTGGAAGAAATTTTCATTGTTATTAAAATTTGACACCATTACTAAATAATAATTGAAAATTATATTTAATTTTTAATGTCACAAAAGGAACGTTTTGCGTTATTAGAATACTATGATTCTTCGTTTAGGATGCAAAGGATTCAGCAATTAACTCTATTAATTAAGTCGGACATAAATAATTGAAATGTAAAACGGTACACAGCGGATGCGATGAAAAAATTATGGTACACATCCGTGTAACGAATGAAGGATCGGAAATATGTTTATGAAAAATGTATTATACAAGTGCAGAAACGTTGAATTTACTTATATTCGCTAGACAGATTTCAGTAGGATGTGTTCTTAAAATATTTCAGTCGGATAAGGGTTAAATATGCATCTAGTAGGCCAGTCTTATGCTATTTTAGAAGTAACTAGTACACTCTTGAATATTGCTCGATATCATTAAGAGATTTTTTTTTAAAGAGAAAAATAAAAATTAATTTTATATTTTAGGAGGAATTCTTGCTAATTAGTTGATTCTTACGAATTACAAATATTCTAATAAATTTATTCACATAGTTTTAAATCTATTATTAATTGTAATTATAACAAATTGTAATGTTACAGGATACTATTTTCATTAGGTATAAAAAGAAACTTAAAATGGCAAGAGTCACAGATTCCATGAAACGTGTAATCGTCAATGTTAAAACCAACGAACACATATGTAAAACGCAAAATTGTTGGTACCCATTATGGCAATAAATACTAATTAAACGCGTACGTGAAATATACTTGATTATAAGCTTGTGAAAGTAAACAGCTACGACAGACATAATCCCGTTGATAAGGGGGCATGATTATTTATTAACTTCGTATGCGGTGAATGATCAAACATCCTGTATTCGTTAAGAAGTAATTATTCGTCAAAGCGCAACGGTTGCTTCAATCGAGAGACAGTGATCAATTTTTGTTAGATAATTAAATTGTTTGTTTCGCGTAATTTTCCTAATTTCATTATATCTGGTAACGGCAACAGTACATTAGATTCTATTAAATCAAATAATGTTTTATAAACACAATAATCTTAATTCGTCTGTTATCGTATCGACCAACTGTAATGTTTTCAGTTAAAGATTAAGAAACCATGAATCATTGAACGATTATGCAACATTTGCAGGGAAGAATTTAGTTGAAATTGTAGATTTAGCAGAATATTTTTAGCCTCTTAAATTGACCGTTTACCGCTGCTCTCGCGATTCTACGAATCCTTAAATTTCAATAATTCGATCATTTTACTCTACTTTTAGCACGTGTAAAGTATAGAAAGTAACGCGAAATAAGAGAACAGAAATATCAATTAATTTTGTTCGATGCATTCGATTACCCTACTAAAAGAAAGTTGATATAATTAGAAAGTACATGAATTATAATTTTTAACTTTATTTTTTATTATCATTTCAAGTCACTAATCAATTTTAATTTTCATATACTTTTCTTTTGATTTTATTTCCACGTAACGTTATTTTTATCGTTGCGTTTTGACAAATAATTGATAATAAAAAAAATTATATTTATATGACGCACACGGTGCGTCGTCGGGTGTACCGAATAACCGAATTTTCCAAAACTTTTTTATCGCCCACCCTCTGCTAAACTTTTTCACTAAACCATCGGTGACATAAAATTAATGAAAGTATAATATTTAATCATAATAACAAGTAGGTAAGAGAAAAAAGTAGATGAGATCTAGCTGAATTCGAAGATTTAGCGAGGATCCTCCGTCGAGAAAAAAAATTCTTACTGCTATGTTACGGTTGATATAACTTTTTTATACCTTTCCAAATAACCGAGATAATTAAGGTGATCGCGTTAGGCGATTCGCAACATAAATACGGGACCACTTATTAACAAAGATGTAAAATGAAATTTTTTAAACATCGTTAATTTTACTCTTCTCTGTAAACTTCTAAAAACGGAAAAACCAATTGTAAACAATATTTTCGCCGACTATATCATTTCCGTAAATACCGCGTATCGTCACTTTTGTCTCTGCCGTTTTTACCGTTTCGATAATGAACAATCCAATGTCCTATCTATCAACTTGAAGATTGTATTTAAATATCGAAGAAATTATTATTAACATTGTTTCGTTTTGCTTTTAGGTGATAGAGTCGTGCTGCAGCGGTGGCAGAGGTGAGGGGAGGCCAGGCGGAGATCGAAGAAGGGATGAATGGAACGGCGGCGTTGCGGCGCAGCGTCGGGGGCGGCGGGGGTGCCGCCGGGGGTGGAACCGTTGAACCAGCACCCGTTGCCACCCTCGTCGTCTACAAAGACGAGGCAGGATACGGGATGAAAGTCTCTGGCGACAACCCCGTCTACGTTCAGTCGGTGAAGGAAGGTGCGTGTTATCGTGTTAATCGCGATTTTAAAATCGTTTTTCGCAGAATTGATAAAACACGGTGCAATTGAGCGTACAAGGATAGCATTCGACGAAACGAACCGGAATACCGTCTGTTTCGTTCGTCTGATCGTTTGAGAAGGTACCACGGTGTCTTATATAAGTTTCAATGCATTTAACACTTTTGCGGCTGATAGCTTTGTACACCGTTGAATATTAATGTAATCAAACGACGGACCGAAAGGATTGGAAATATTGAATTATTTATTAGATTATTCTATCATGGATGCTTTCATCAAGAAGAGAAATTATAAATTTTCAAAACAAAAAGAAAAGTTTGAAAGTTAT